AGGAAAATAAATAAAGTTGAACTTCAGTATCTCAAACACCAATATGTATATTATTATGATTATCATGGATATGTCGTATGATTTAGAAGTCCCAATCACTTATTCCATAAGAACTTTACTATTGATATCTCTAATCCTCGGATATCTTAAAGCTTTGTCTTGCCCATTTCAAGATAAATGTATTTGACTGTAGATGAATATCAAAAAATCTTATCTAGATTACATTATTTTTGCATTAAAGGTAATGTAAACTGATACTGGCAACTAATTACATGTATGTGTATATAATGTATATTAGAAAATTAGATCATAGGCAACATAATCTAACAGTGACAACTTATTACATGTACATGTATACTTTTTATACTCTGATAGGAGTCTGAACAGGAACTAGAAGATGAGGTGGATATACTGATGAGCAGTGACATCATGGCTGCCCAGATGTCCACCAAGAGAATCACGTTCTCCAGAGCCCAGAGTGGCTGGCTCTTCAGGGAAGACAAAACAGTGAGTACACTTATTTACTATGAAGGACACACTGAGAGAACACGTGTGCTCAAAACAAAATTAGATGTCAACATCAAACAAAATTCATTGTTTGCATTTGAATAGGAATAACTGTCTTCTCATTATTTGTGACTATTAATGCTGATTTAACAGTCGCAAAAATCTGTTTTACTGGCTTTGTTAATGAATTGCTGGTAAGACTCAGTTTGCGACAATTAAATCAGTTTTAACGGTCGCGAATAACAAATGAGAAGACAGTTACCTCCCAATGGTACTGCAAATCACTTGTATTAGATAGATGAGGGAGATCTGATTAGTTGTTATTTTCATTGTTATTTGTTGGTTGCTGTTATGGTGTGTAAGAATCAGTTATTCTCAATCCTATTTTCAGGAGAGGGTGGGGGAATTCGAAGCTGATTTCTATGCAGTTAATGGTTTGATACTGGATTCCAGAAAAAGGTACTGGGGCTGCAATCTAAAGCTTTTTTGGCATGTTCAGTTGTGGGGTTTAAAACTTTACTACACTACTCACTCAGGAATGAAATAATCTAATGAAAACTACATTTTTGTATTATTGTTGTAGGCGGGAGCATCTAAGTCCTGATGATGTACAGAAAAACAAGGCTATGATGGAGAATTTGACCAAAGGAAACTGGAATAACTGTGAGGTAAATCAAAATAGGAATAAATCTGAGGTATTTACTGGAATTAATGTGAAATTGGAATGATTTTTACAATGGAAACTACAAAAAATTTGTGGTACATTAAAGTTGTTATCTGTCTTCTGTCTTATTGAGCTAATCTTAGAAAAACTGGTTCAAAACATTCACTCAAGGCCCGCTTATTCCAATTATTTTTGTCTATAAGAGTATATATTATTGGAAAAGCATTATTTTGAGAGTACTTAGTTGATAATGCTTTTGTGATGATAGTTTCAGAGACGCCCCTCCCTGCCTCCCCCCGAGGAAACTAATGTAACGTGGGATGAGTACATCTCGGAGACTCCAGGAAACCCTCCATGTCTAGGGCGACCCTGGACAGCGAAGGGAAGCACAAAGTCATTCAAGGCCACTGTCGCAATGGTATTCAAATTATTTTTCTCTTATATTTATCACATGAAATTATAAGGTATTATATATATATATTGTTAATTTCATAATTTATACTGTTGTTATTTTTAGAGCAAGAACTTTCCAATGTCTATTGAAGTGTGAGTATTTCATTTACTGAATTTATGGCATTCATCTATAAGTACAAAGTATTTTCGATTAGGCCATCTGTAAAAAGTTGTTTGGCTGCCTCTCCAGACTGACTGACTAAAAATGTCCCAACTCAATTTTTTTTTTTTTACATTCCAGGACATATTTTTTTCCCTCCTATCCTATCAACAAATATGTTAAAATTTTCTAGTAAAGAGATTATCTCACTTTCCTACTGACCCAGTAATTTTACCCTGAGTCAGGAGAGTGCAAGCAAACATTATTTTAAAGACGGTCTTATTCTCTATATAATACAGCTGTACATTTATTATGGTTAGGGCACCAGTGGTTATAGCCATACTGTATAGGGGGAAAATAACTCGCGGTGTTAATATTCGCTATATTCACGGTGTTAATAGATCCGTGAATTCAAGAAACTGAATAATTTTTCAATAATTTCCATGTTTTATTTTGAAATTTGAGAATAGACCACGATAGGTTTATATACATGAACGTTCAGTACATGATCATTTCAGTAATTAAGAGTAGTATCATATATTAATCATTTTAATTATAATGCTTTGGAATTCATTTGATTCAAATTAATCGGAAGATAATAACCTGTATTTGTTAAAAAGCTGTTTTAATGGCCAACGCTACATGTTTCTTCAATCAAAACACGTTGGCCATGGGTTTTGATTACCCGTGCGTAACTAATGTTACCACGTGCATTTGTTAGCTGCATTATCGTGCATATTAGTTTTTATCGACATTTTGGTTTTAAAATATCATTCAAATAACTATCGAACTTAATAAGATGTGGAAGGATATTTTTTCGTCGTCCTTCATTAACACATTTATTATCGTCCAGTGGTTTTTCTCCGCGTTGTATTGAGGAACTTGGGGTGTACATCGTAATAGCATATAGGAAAATAATTTGACATTATTAGTCAAGGACTTTTAATAACTGCAGTTGTTTTAATCAGTTTTCAATTATTTATATAAAATCTAACAATTCTACATTAATCTATCCTGTTGTTCGTGAGATAGACATAACGCTGATAAAATGGATATAGACAAGGGAGGTAACTTTTATTATATACAAATTCCGCAATTTCAAGAAACCGCGATCGTGTCAGATAAGAGAAAAACGAGAAAATTACAACTCGTGAAATTAATCCCCTATACAGTAATCTTTTACCCAATGTAATATGGTTTTCTTGGTGAATATTAATCAATATCAGAGTTGACCATTTTAGTACATGCTACCTTATATATTCAGTTTGGAATTTTCAATATAAAAAAAAGCTACAAAATTGTAAAATATTAATTCATGGTTGGAAATATTGATTACATCAAATAATGATCCCCCAGGGGTAGGATAGTGTTACAACTTATGTTGACTGGATCCATTTAATGGACCCTCTTGCAGGTATCAGTACCTGATTACAAATTTTTATGCCTTCTTTTTTTATTCATTAGACTGCTGGATGTATTGGAGGTTATTGCCCCATTCAAACAGTTCCAGAAATTACGAGAATTTATGACAACTAAACTACCTGATGGTTTTCCTGTAAAAATAGGTATAAATTAAGTTCACAACATTCTGCCATTTGTCGAATAATCTATTAGTTTGAAAAGATTAATGTGCAGGAATAACACTGCAAAGATAAAATGCCTGTAAATGGAGAGAATGTTTGTTGACGGTTGAATTATGTTTTTTGTTTCCTCCCAGAGATCCCAGTGTTCCCCACGGTGACTGCTAAGGTGACCTTCACCTCGTTTGAATGGCGAGATGATATTGATGATTCCATGTTTTTGATTCCACCAAACTTCCGAGAAGATCCGAACCGATTCCCTGATTTATGACAGATGATGGACATTAGTTTGATAGACATATTCTCCAGCGTTAGAAATGTACTGATTATCCAAAGCGATGAAGAAGAGGCACTGGACTATTTAGAATTAGCGGTCGGAGTAGAGCTCCCTCTCACTAACTTAGGAATCTCTAGTACAGAGATGACCTTACTTTTCTAAAATATTTTATATAGACCTTCACCGATGACCTTGCTTTTTCTAAAAATTTTATATAGACCTTCACAGTTGACCTTGGTTTTTTAAGTATCTAAAAATAGATCCGCAGAGATAAGCTCTCATTTCTTGAGTTTCTTGATATTGGACACATAGATGACCTTGCTAAGCTAGAGTATCTAAAAATAGACTAATAGAGGTGGCATGTTTTTTTTTAATAATTTGAAAAAAAGAACTTTCAGAGTTGAAATTGATTTTTAGAGTATCTAGAAGTTGACCATTGTTGTAATAAACCTTTAGATTTGTCCTTTTTTTTCATGTAAAGTCATAGTTGGAATGACTTTGTATTTTTTCCATACTTAAAAAAAAGAGTAATTATTAGTATGTGTATCTTCATAATCTCAGAGAAATATAAATATGCTACTGATATGTCCATTATTTGACATCAGAGAAATAACTATTACTATAGAGATACAGAGATAAATTACTGTTCTATATGTTGTAAACATGGTTGTTCAAAAGTTTGCTCAGTATATAAAGATATATCAGACAAAGGTTGGAATTAAAAGAGAATAATGTGTAATCATATGAGATACAGAGATAAATTACTGTTCTATATGTTGTAAACATGGTTGTTCAAAAGTTTGCTCAGTATATAAAGATATGCAATATTTTTTTCATATATCGGACAAAGGTTGGAATAAAAAGAGAATAGTGTGTAATTATATGAGAGGAACTGAAAAGAATGTATTTGATCAGTTTCAATGTGGTGAAGTGCTGAACTGGGAATTTAGTTAAGTTTACCTTGAATATATTATGTAGAAGATTTATAAGGTTGTCTGAATTGCTGTGCATTTTCTGACTGTATGTCTGTTGGTTGTTGTGATAATCATTGTGTTCTTCACTGTTGTTCGGTAGACGTGTACACAAGCAGTGTGCTATACTTAAGTTGTGTACACAAGCAGTGTGCTGTACTTAAGTTGTGTACACAAGCAGTGTGCTGTACTTAAGTTGTGTACACAAGCAGTGTGCTGTACTTAAGTTGTGTACACAAGCAGTGTGCTATACTTAAGTTGTGTACACAAGCAGTGTGCTATACTTAAGTTGTGTACACAAGCAGTGTGCTGTACTTCGGTCTTTTGTTTTCTATTCTTGCTGGCTCTCTGACGGATGTCACTGTCTAAGATCAATATAGACAACTGTTTCTAGTCATATATTTATTTATTTTCAAAATGTTCCTGCAAACATGACTCATGGTGACTGTTCCTTTTACTACCTGGTATTCCCACTGTCAATTCCTTTTATATAATATCTTTTTTGCAAACTATACTGTTTATTGTTTTTTTTTAATCAATTGATTAAGCTATGATGGTACATGTAATACATTTTTTCCTAATTAATTGACTTAGCTATGCTAATAATTTTTAGTGCCTATTCATTTTTTCAATTCATAAATACATCTGTCATGTACCATTATTTGATATTTACTTTATAAATAAGCACTTTAACTCCTTAACTCGATCCTCACCTTAAAGAAATACTTTGTCATGACTACTTTTAAACAAAAGAATTACATGTATATTATATTATTGGAAACAGAAATGATTATAATTTGGAAAACCTTTCTTAAATATTAAAAAGAAATATGCTATTGATAGATTTTCCATTATGAAGATGAATATTTTTCATTGGTAATGTTGACTTCAATCATGGATATTGGGAAAGAAAGCAAACTATTTTTCACAGATTTTTTCTTTACAAAACTATCTGAATTTTTTTGTTGTTTTTAAAGGAAAGGGAAAACGATATAAACAATCAACTGATGCTTTATTTGTATTCAGAGATGTCAATTGTAGTGCCATTTCAGTTTTACAGACCACTTGTTTCAGTGAATAAAATGTTTATCTCTTCTTTGACAATCGTCCATGAGTTACGTAATTTGCTCTTTAAAAAGTATAGGATATCCGAGGATTTTATTATTACATTTTTACACTGTGAGTAATTATAAATACCTTAAATGGTATACTGCTACCGATTCAGTTATTGAGGAAACCTTTAGACCCCCCCTTAATTTTTGTTTCCCCAGAGATTTAAATATTAAAGTTTAAGGTTGTTGTTGACCAGACTTATCGAGATCATGGTGTCATAAGATCACATATACATGTTGCAGAAGGCAATAAGGAAATAGCTTTATAAATCCATAAAGCTATATACTCAGGTGACGTAACACATACGTAGTTATATCTGGACAAACACATTTGAAAATGTAATATATCATACATGTAAAAAAAAAACATTCTTTACAACTGTCTATAATAATTCATGTACCGGTCTCCATTGAAAGTCTGTGATTACAAGCTTACTTAGGTACATTCCTCGTCTAAATCTGATCTGTAAAATTCTGTATATTTGTCCCCCCTTTCACTGAAAGTGGGGGACATTTATTTCGGTCTGTCCGTTCATCCGTCTGTTTTTCTGTCCGTCTGTAACACTTTCGTTTCCGCACGATACGTCGAGAAGCTTTTGAGCTTTTGCGGTGAAATTTAACAACAAACAATTTCCTACGGCCTAAGAAAAGCCCTCATTTAACACTTTCGTTTCCGCGCTATATCTCGAGAGGTTTTTGAGCTTTTGCAGTTAAAATTTATACCATGTGTGTAAAACGTTCATCTTTCATTTCCGAGCGATATCGCAAAACCCTTTGAGTTTTTTGCAATTTAATATGTTACCATAACTCTATGACTCCGACCGCCCTTCTTAACCCCCCCCCCCCCCACACACAAATCCCGGTCTGCAAATGCTTTTTTTTCCAAGCGGGGAACGCAGATTCTCTGAACCAGCCTGTTAGGATTAAATCACGGTTGCTTCTGAAATGGGAATTAGGCATACTCTTATTTGTTAAGAGGCACATCATTCCATATTTGGGGGACAAGTGGTTCTCACGTTTTCCCGAACCTAAACTTATGTTGTAAATTTAAATTTTAGAAGACTCCACCAAACACCTGATTTTTTGTCCAATATTATTCAATCTTCCTATGCTTACTTATGATTTTTTTTGAAAATAAAAAAAGGATCTATATTTCTGGGTCACCTGAGTCACTCCGAGACTTGCAACTTTATATACGAGATAATGCACCCTTAGTGATTTAATTCAAAACTAGAGTCGGATGAACATGATCTCCGTCGATATCATCAGCTATCCCAAACCATTGGCTGGAAACTCTGTCTGGTTATAAGTCATGGCTGTCTGAATCATGACGGTACTTTCCTTCGGGATAGAAAATTTCAAATAACAACGCAAGTGTGAATACTTTAAAGGATTTTTCTATGTAAACTGTATCAATTAGACAAATTCATATTTGTTTGACAAAGTACAAAAATTAAAATGACTTCAATAACGCAATACATCCATATGCACACACTTGAAGTTTGTTATGTATTTTCATTTTAAAGATTGATAATTTGAGTAAGAACCGTTGGTATTACTGTAAAATTATATCTTTATTTTTCAGTTACTCTTCATTGGCCAACATTTTCATATTGCCCGCAATAATTTTTGAAATCAACACAAATTATTACTTTTTTGGTAGACCATTAGATTTAGGATTTGTTTCCCATTTGTCTGATCATGAGAGGAACACAGTGACTGATATTGACAGGGGGTGCATAGTCTTCCATGGCATCTGAGCCCACCTGTAGATAACGTTTTATCGGTTACCCACATCTTATATACTGAGGGGTCCGAGTTTAATTTCTAGGAGTTCCAAAGTTAAATTGACCCATTGGACTTTTGAGCTTGATCATGATCGTTACTTCCATACTTGATCCAAGCATGACAGTTTGTGCTAATGAGCTATAGACATCCTTGGGAACTCTGAGATTTTCAAATCAAGTATAAGAGTCAGTACATAGAATAGTAAGTACCATTTTTTGCATTCTTTATTGCACTATATTCTTTACAAATGTGTCTATTATTATAACCAAATAAGGTTATATCAGTATCATAACTTATGTATATTTTACAGTGGGAAAAGGATTAAACAGTTGCAGTCCCGTATTAATTTAGTTCCGGTTCTGACATTTACACACACCTTAGATATTTACTGCGGGCCTGCATTGTTGACACAATGGCGAGCACAGATGAGAAAAACGCAGGCCTCGACTCGTCGGATCTTGGATTAATTAAAAGGATAATGATGGATTCAAATTCAATACACGGAAGTGTAGATAGTTATTCAGTGCCAGGCGCACAACTGTCAGACAAGCAGACATTCAGAAACAGGGATGGAAATAGTGTCACTGCATTCCCGGTCTTGGTGGATTTTCGGAGACTGTTGCAGCTGGCGCCTAGTCTAGCATCCCTGGCATGTGAGGGGGCAAACGCAATGATACCAGGCGTAAGAACTTGTATTTTATTTTTAGCAGATAAATTTCACAGTAAGCGTTTTAAGGTTTTGTCACGGATGACGTGGTCGCGCCGGTCAATCTGTGTAGCCTACTTATGGCCTGATAAGTCAACAGTTTGTTTATATAGGAAAATTGTATGTATTCAGAGTATTAAGATATTATAAGTAATGCCCTTAAGTGTTTTTTCTGGATTTTAAAGCTAGGACAATAGGAATTCAATATATGCCTTTTAGCAGAAAAATCCTCCAAACATAAATATTATTTAAAAAACAATGACAAAAAAGGCATGTTACATGTCATTTTATTCCTAAAGTGTATTTATCATGAAACTTCAATTGGGCATTCACAATTGCATATGGGAGTGAGACCAGGTTAAATTGAAATTAAGTTAGTAGCAATTGATGTCCAGTCTCAAATATGGATTATCAATTTAGTTCTTGAATCAATAAAACTACCATTAAAAGAGGTGTAACTGTTCAAACTTATTAGTATGAATCAGTTAATATTGTTGTATGTTTATTTTTTGTTGTATTCATAATTAACCATTTCCCAATGTTTGAAGGTGTTGTCAATTCTGTAACAGGAAAGGAGAAAATTATGACTGGACTGGGAATTTTCGAACCCGGACCCCCTGCATCGCTAGTCAGGTGCTATACCTGTGCTACCCAAGCTGATATCCACAGCCCAAACCAATTCAATTGAATTCATTACTGTATACAGGGTTATTTCCATCCTTTTACACTTGCTAACAATTTTGCCCCATTTTCAATTCGCCCAGTCACGGGTTCTGTTTAAGAAATTATACTGTGTTCTTTGAATTCGCTCCGTTTTAAATTCGCCCACTTGTGACAAGGGCAAAAGGGGCGAAAATTACCCTGTATACAGTATCTGGAAATAAAATTACAAATTACAATTAACATTTACATTATTTTACCACAGGCAATTTGATATAAACATGATAAAGTTCATTTAATGTGACATTCTTTGAGATTTTTATATAAACAGTCTGTACTTTTCCTACCTATAGATCAGCAACAGAGACCTGCTTCATGCCGTGGTTGGTCTGTACGACGTTTCTCTATCTGACATGACCCCAGATGTCCTCTACTCCTCTGTCTGTGATAAATGGGCCAGGACAGTGGTTCTAGTGAGAGATGTACAAGGTTTGCTCTTCTAGCTCTCATAAAATCATACTCCTGATATATGTTTTCTTTTATTCTCTAGTTACATTTTTTGATTGGACAGTGGAATAAATAATGTTAATTTTATTTTTCCATTTTGATGAGCATAATGCCACAATTGCTAAAAAGTAAAGGTTTCATCAGTTATTTTTTAATACATATTGATTTTTGATAAATTAAAAAAAATCCCTGGACAAATATATTGAAAGGACTCCTAAATGTTGTGAAGAATTTAATAATATTTGAAATTCCTTGAGAGTGTATTTAAATTGCATTATACTAGCAAGTCTAACATATCGATACGTCATACTTCTATCCATAGGTCCAAATCCATATTAAAATGAATTCCTATGCATCTGCGCTGTTTTCTTAGGAAATTAAAATCTCTCTGTTTAATATTTCAGAAACTATGGAAGACTTGACAAAAAGAAAGACAATGAGAAGAAATTTGGTCCAAAAGGAAGAAGAAGATCAGAAGAAGGAGGAGGAGGAGGGAGAAGATAAATATGAAGAGGAAGAAGCCAGTCCCAGCAAGTTTGCTACAGTGTACAGTGACACAGAGTCCGAGGCAGAAGAGGAGGAGGAGTGAGTTCTCTCCCCTTGATTTTTTTTATTATAAAGTACTTCAGGTACTTTGATTTTACTGATGTAAATCTCCGGCAACACAAGTAATGTATGTAAGAAATGAAAAATACTGGCAATCTGATGGGGTTAAAATAAACTTTGTGACAATCTCGAATATACCTGTACATCTCCTTTGAATAATGTTATTTTAATACATGCATTATTAATCTGGGGTTTTTTTGGTAATCTTCAGTGATGAAGAGGATTTTTCCAAAGGAATAAACAGCTTCATTAAGAAGGCAGCAGAGAGACGCACACAACAGAAAAATATGGAAGCTGTGTCGGAGGACCTAGTGGGTATTGAGAACAGAATCATTGGTTCTATCACATTCGAGAAAAAGTACATGTAAGTTTGTAAACTTTAAATTTCTAAACAAGTTATTTTAATCAATTGATGGTTAAAAAAATGTTCATATTTCTTTATATTACTTAGTTCTGTGTTGTATTTGATAATTTTAGAAATCTGAGAAAGCACCATTTGCTCCTGTCCTGAGTCAGTTTTTGTTGCATCAGATTCAAAGATCTAGGAATATTTTATCTTAAATATCTACCTGTGTGTCTGTCAATCAGAAATAAGATCAAGGCCCTTCTTTTATCTGAAGTCAAAGTTGAACTTAGAGAAGCAAGATAAAACAATGTCTCAGAATTTGAATTTACTACTGCTTTAATAGGACATTATGTACATTTTATTTTCATTCATTTTTTTTCATAAAGAAATAAAGACAGAGTGATACATCTTACACTGCTCTCTGTTCGAAAAAGATACAGGAAATTTGGAATTGGCAAATACTTATTACAGGTTGGTATAATATTGTTAGAAATCATTTTTGTTATGGTGGGGTTGCTCACTCCCCCATGGCACCTGATCCCACTTCTGATGTTTTGTAGGTCTGTGTTTGCCCTGCTCCTATTTTGTATTGTTTTATGGACTTTGTTATTGAATACTTTTTGTCAACTCTATATCCTTCACGGTATTGTACCTTACTTCCTCTGTTATAGAAAACAATATGGATGGTGGTAATGTCAGACAATTGACAGATACTTTTTTGATTTCAGCAAATCTTAGAACCAGAGGTTGTGGGACATTATGATGCAATAGTAGTCCATGCAGACAATGGTGCGGTAGATTTCTTTCAGAAATTTGGCTTTTCTGACGACATTGTCCTCAACAGCCGATGGAGGTAATATATAGTTTCAGAATAATACAGAATTCAAAGTTGATCTGACAGTGAAATAAGAATATATAGAATTGTAATCACAGATACTGGTATATCAAAGATATTTTTTGAAAAAAGAAGACTTTTTGATATATTTCAGTGAATTGGCAGAGCAGTTTACAAACTGTACACTTATGTGTTATCTCCCAGCTTTCTCAGGTTAGTATAAATTACCTTGGAAGATATTTCCCCTGAAAGCATCTCTCATAGTTTTTCATTGTAAACAAGATAATTTTCATAAATCTTTAGTTTAAGTGTTAGTATACCACATTATGGTTGTGTGTTGTTAAGGAGCAGAAATTTAAGATTCCACTAAATATTTTTTTTTAATCCTATTACAGGTCACACATTGCTTTCCAGTCTAAAAATCCCAGGTTTAGAAGTGTTTGAATTGGAGCAGCAGTTCAATAAATGGTAAGTGCAAAATCTAAGCAAGATAAATCAAGATAAAGAAAAAAAATAAAACTCGTGGTTAATACCTTTTTTAAGGTTTACTACCATAATGAGGAATTTGTGCAATACAATTTATAAAATGTCCTGTCTAGTAAACCATGTTTTTTATGATTTAGGGTAGAGTTATCTCCCTTCAACACAATCCTCTTGCATTTCTTCTGTCTCCTTCTATTTTTTAATCATTGTTAAAGTGATTTTGACTCTCATGGATATGTCTGGTAGATGGAAACATATTTGTCTTTAAATAGCTAGGAGATACTTTATTTTCTTGACATTGTTTTAATATTCACAGGAAAGAAAAGACCACAGAGGTGTACCAACAGCAAGTGTCTATTGTCATGAGAATGAAGCATGAAATTATCCAGCTTAAATGCATGGTCAGTCATTTACCTCATTATTGATTATTAATTGATATAAGAGCCCCAGCCAGTTTAGCAGAAGAGTCATGCATTTTATTTATTTTTGTTCCAGAATGAGAAACAGAATCAGTTGATAGATACACTAATTCTGGAGAATGAACGGCTAAAGAAAGAGAAGCTTATGATAGGTAATATGATACAGCTGAACTTTAGTTTTTCAAACATGGACATCTTAAACATCAAACATTGAAATCATAAATATTGATATCTCAAACATCATAGATATGCCAAATTGAATTTGAAGTCCACATTTTTTTTTTAAGTATTTTACCCTCAGTATCACAAACCCTTAGATATCTCAAGGTTGTTTTATTTTTGCAGTCCCATTGAGTTGAGGTAATGAAGTTATGACTGTATGTACATGAAATAGAATCAGCAGAATTTTATACATAATTTCACAAATACACATATAAGTTTCATTTCATTCTGTAGACCTACACAACTTTCATACCGGTTGTATTTTTGATCATATATTTATTAAGACATATTTTTTCTCGAAATTTAAATGCATTAAATTAGCTCCTCTTTTATGAGCTTTATTATGTCTAAGAACATGTATTTATTCAAAGCAAGCATTATGTAAGTCATTATCTACCAGAACTTAATTATCAGAAAAAAGGATTAGAAGTACTTTGAAATTTAATTAACAAGATCTTTTGACCATTTTTTAGTGCTTCTTGTCCAATGTAAAAATAACTTATTAAGAATTCTTTATGAATCTGTTCAAAGAGAACTTGATTAGTCACATGTTCTTCTTCAAGACCAAAGTCTTATTAATATGATCAAATTTGATTAACTTACATTTGCATTCTGAGGAAAATCAATTTCAATCAGCTTACATGAGCTTCTAATCTACATGAACCTCAGACAAAAAAAATATTTGATGTTAGAAATATCTCTGATTTCAATATATAGATGTAAATGCACTGTTGGTATATATATAAATGGATACCAGACATCTTCAGTGTTTCTCATGCCCTCCCTCAAAACCCTTTGCAGAAACCTTACCCAGGATTATTGATTAAATTTATTTTATGTTGCAGAAAAAGAATACCTTGACCATCGCTTATCAGCAGTCAAGTCAGGGGCCTACGAGAATGTAAAAATCAATGACAGTAAGTATAGCGTCACTAATGATTAATCGTGTCATAGTTATTACTGTCTACTAGTAGATGGGATTTAATGCATCAATAAGTAGTGGGGTATATATACATAAAGTTTTAAGTTACTGTTCATTTATAAGGAATGAAAACTGTTTTCATAATTCCTCATCTAGTATTTCTATCATTAGTAGCATTACTACTATTGTTTAATTTATATTTTGATTTTCTTCATCTACATTAAAAGGCTTAAAGTAGAATATAGACTCCTTAAATGTTGTTTTGTATTAGACTCTAGATATATACAGATATAAAAAATGTGGTTTTACTTAAGGAATAACTGTCTTATTTTTCGTTCATGAAGTGATCAATGATTGGCTTGTGTGATATAAACGCCAGATTTATGCATACACAAGCCAATGTTGATCATCTTCATGTTTTAAAAATCTGACATATATTTTGCTTTGATTCCGCCAATCCACGGGCTCAAAGCCTGCTTCTCTCTAGGTGTTGTCCCGCCCTACACGTGGTTTTTTTTTTGGAACCGCGCCAAGACATTCATGAGGAAATAAATTACATTTACAATTGGTAATTTTATCTCGGACTAAGACATTGGAAATGTAAATATATATATTTTTACATATTCTGTAACACTTCTAAAAGTTTACAGATTTTATTTTAACAGATTTTGTTAAAGTAATGATTGATAATTATTTATTACATTTTCATCAGCGAAATATTTTATTTTTTCAATTAAAGTGATATTTTGTCATGGCATGGTATGAAATTATATATCAGATATATGGAAAAACTATAAATTTTCCTTCCATAATTTACAAGTGTTGCAAAAAAAATTTTCCTGTGCCTATTATAAGATAGTGTAAATAATTCATTATGGTAGAGACTGAAGTTTCTCCAACTTTGTTTTTGAAATCTATGTTTACAATGTTTTCAATCTTACAATCACTAAAGTATGATGCACTGGTACTCTCAACCTCTCGATTTTGACATAGTACGTCACAGCCTAGTAAGTCACTGTGTGAAAAGACCAATTTGAAAGCAAATAGAGAAAATCAAAGAAAATGTAATAACCAGAAAATTTGGTGTTTTCTGGTTGGATATAAAACTGGAATTTTTTCCAGCACCCATAAAATTATTATACTATCATTTTCAACTTATGAAATAAATTCCACAATCATCTATAAAATAATCCTGGATTGGTTCTTGGCAGATTTTATTTCTCCCCACCCCCATGACCTACATTTAAATAAAGGTTAGAATGACATTTTTATTATACCGGTAATTGTAAAGTCCATCACTTGGCAGATTATTCTGTTATATAATTTATTGTTGTCATTTTCTGCCTCACAACTTACTGAGAGAGAAGGAAAATTAATTAGTATTTTGATGTAAATGGTGATCGGGATATTTCAGACCCTGCTGATAATTAGAGAGATTATACCACTGTTATTGGACTTGTATATACAGATGAAATTCAGATTTTACAATTCTTGATAGAGTACGAATCTAGTAAAAATTAATCCCGCAGCTTCCCACCTTATTATATAATGAACCGCCACATAAACATGTACAATTAGTTTGATAGTGTCTGATATAGGAATAACCTTGACCAGTATATTGAATATATCGGTTATGGTATACATGTATAATGGGAACATTAAAAAATAATATTGCTCTCATATCTCAGAGCAGGATTAGTTCTGTAAACCTGGCGATATGGGTTGCAGATCATGAAATAAATGCTTGAAAATTGAAATTGTTTTTATTCAAATTTCTATTGAGTGAATATATATATTTAGATAGAGGTATGTTGCTTACAACTATAAATCACAAATGCAAAGGATTTTAACCATGGTAAAAATTTAGAATATATTTTATTGTAAAATGTTTTTTCGTCTTATTTAATTTTTTAAGAACATTACTTCATACAAGGTGTTTTTGAATGGATTTAGATAAGTATTAGATAATTACAAACCTCTTGGTAAGAATGACTACCTTGTTTTACCTATCTAGTAATTCCTCGGGGATACCTGCCCACAGGTAAGGTGATTTTCACTGAAGCCCAGCTGATTCGTTAATTTCATAATATTCTCTTTGACCATATATATGCTTTTTTATTTTGTAAAATCTAACAAATTTTACCATTGCTTATTGCATGATGCTCCTAATATGTATCTGATTTTGCCAATTATTGATTTTTGGGGTTGAATTCCCTTCTTTTTTTTTTTAATTGTAAAGGACTTTTGGGTTGTTACAAACATAGCTAATTTGTTGTCAACAAAGCCAGTAGGAGGAAATTAGATTTATGAGATTTGATCACTAACATTTTTTGTCCTATATCTATAGCCCTGAGGGAAATTTATTGCTATAATTTGGTTAATAATGAAGATTTATAGAATATTTAGCTTTTTATTACTTGACTAATCATTATGAAACTTGAACAAGCTAGTTGCATTGTCTTTGCAAATCTATTTATACACTGTAATATATATCACTGAATATTGTTCTTTCCATTTATTTTTACACTGAAAACTATCCTTTCCATTTGTTTTATCAATCTTTAATATTATTAGGTGATTATAATCAGTTTGTTTTTTAATCCAGATGATGAAGATGACATTGATACCAATGATCTAATTTCTGGTCTACAACGGGAGGTGGATCTAATGGATTTAGCCATAAAGCGGGAGAGACTTCAGTGTCTAGTGGAATCAGACCCAATCTCCAAAAGTAAATTCACCACTGTTGGTAAGGTCTTTTCTTAAATAACAATAAAAATTTTAGTTAGAAACAGTTGGAAAAAAAATCTGCTGATGAACAGGTCGGAGAGAATACTCGAAATCGGGTATTATCCGTGAAATTGCGTATAATACTCGATATTAGGGTATCGTTGAATCCGCGAAATCGGGTATTCCGTGCAACTTTCTATAAAAACTAAAGAATAAAGCAACGGCGCATTATGACAGTAACTGTTACTTGTAAATCAGTATCTTGTGGATTTATTTTTAATAAATCTAACTCATACGGTTGTCAAATAAGTTTAAAATCACACGACAAACACTGCTGGGGTAACAAAGAGGACACAATGGCGTTATTATTTTTCAATATAATTTCTAAAAACAAATAACTTCACTTCGTTTGTCTTTATTTCCCATTAAAGTATTCCATATACTTAATTTTCTAATTTGTGCACTATTCACAAAACGTGAAATTTTAAAGAAATTAAACGACTAACGCCGTGTTATGTATTTTTACTGAAAAATGTATGGCGTCCCTTTCTCGTGAAATATACATTACTCCTAACAGTTAGAGAGTACAGTATAAGCGAGTCATAATTGTATATCTCTGCCATAATAGAATACCAACGTCATTATAAAGAAGAAAATAAAATATGATTAAATAAATACCCACGGGAAAACAGTTTGAAAATAGCTAATTGAAGGTGAGTATCTTTTTTTTATGTCAATTTAGCATGCAATTTTTATTCAAAGACACCGTAAATTTTTTGGTTGCATTTTAATCGATACAAGATATGCTATCTTATCCTTATTTTATGCATTTGTGTGAAAATTGAGAGCAAGAGGTCATATGAACAGGATTTTCTTGTTTTTTTTTGTTTTTTTTTTGGGGGGGGGGGTATAAATAAAAGTCAAATGTGTACATCTTTTCATGAGCTTATAATACCGGTACATTGAATTTCTCAATATAGATCGAGGTACAGTCATATTGAAATATGTATTACATAGTCAAGTTTTCACATTTCTTATAGTTTTTACGTTTATGAACATGTTAATGAACAAACTGAAATAATGGAGTGTTCAATTGCGTTGGAAACTCTTGTCTTACTTTTTGGGAATATAATTCCTCATCGGACATTAAAATTTCATAAAAATCGTAGCCACTTCCTTTCTTTATTATACTATTTGATAGACAGGGTAAATTTTACCTCTTTACCTTCTATATTTTTTAGCTCTACTGGTCAGAGACCAGAAGAGCTTATGCGATAGAAATGCGTCCGGCGTCCGTCCGTCCGTCTGTCCGTCTGTCTGTCCGTCTGTCTGTAAACAATTTTTCAAAATGCTACTCCTCCTACTGTTTTGGTCTAATTTCAATATAACTTGGCACACAAGTAGACTACACTAAGATACATAATTCTGTGTATCGGTTTTTGATTTCGATGAACGGTGTTGCCGTGGTTACTAAAAATAGAAATTTCTGTGAAATTCTTTCAAAACGCTACTCCTCCTACAGTTTTGGTCTGATTTCAGTATAACTTGGCACACAAGTAGACTACACTAAGATACATAATTCTGTTTATCGGTTTTTGATTTTGATGAACGGTGTTGCCGTGGTTACTAAAAATAGAAATTTCTGTGAAATTCTTTCAAAACGCTACTCCTCCTACAGTTTTGGTCTGATTTCAGTATAACTTGGCACACAAGTAGACTACACTAAATACATAATTCTGTTTATCGGTTTTTGATTTTGATGAACGGTGTTGCCGTGGTTACTAAAAATAGAAATTTCTGTGAAATTCTTTCAAAATGCTACTCCTCCTACAGTTTTGGTTTGATTTCATTATAACTTGGCACACAAGTAGACTACACTAAGATACATAATTCTTTGTATCGGTTTTTGATTTCGATGAACGGTGTTGCCGTGGTTACTAAAAATAGAAATTTCTGTGAAATTCTTTCAAAATGCTACTCCTCCTGCAGTTTTGGTCTGATTTCAGTATTACTTGGCAAATAAGTAGAATACACTAAGATACATAATTCTGTGTATCGGTTTTTGATTTTGATGAACGGTGTTGCCGTGGTTACTAAAAATAGAAATTTCTGTGAAATTCTTTCAAAATGCTACTCCTCCTACAGTTTTGGTTTGATTTCATTATAACTTGGCACACAAGTAGAATACACTAAGATACATAATTCTATTTATTATACGCCCGTCTTAAGACGGGACGTATTATGTTATAGGCTTCGTGTCCGTCCGTCTGTCCGTCTGTCCGTCTGTCTGTCTGTTAGCTTTTCGTTTCCGGCTCATAACTTTAAAACTATTAGGCCTAGGATTATCAAACTTTGTCATCTGATGCATCTTGGGTAGAAGGTGTGTCGCGCACAAAAAGTAGGTCGCTCTGACCTTTAATTAAGAAGATATAGCCAAATATGGAAAAATCCTTTCCGGCCCATAACTAGAAAACTATAAGACTTACGATCATCAAACTTGGCCAGTTTATGCATCTTAGGTAGAAGGTGTGTCGCGACCTATTTCAAGGTCACTGTGACCTTTGATTTAAATGAAATTTTAAAAAAAAATGTGTCTTTTTACTATTCATTTACACATCCCAAATAAAGTAAGAGTATTGCACTGTCCTTATTAAAAAAGTGTTAAATCAAGAAAATACTTATTTTTTTTAAAGCATATACTTGACAGCAATCTATAACAAATATTATGTATGTTAAAGAAATCCTACCTCTCCCATGAGTGTAATTATCAAGCACTGGTCAAGACTCAAGAAGAATTTTGATAACAGAAAATTGCATGTCAAATTAGAGAGAAATTAATGAGTTTTGAGTGTGAGGAGTTCGCTAATAGCTAGAGCATGGTGTTATCTATATCCCTTGAGTATTGGGCAAATGTGTGAGCCTGTTGGATTAAAAATAGCTCTTGCTGGCTAGCCTAAGTTTTAAAATAAATTTAATGAAAAGTAATTAAAACTAATTTAATATTGCATAGTAGAATAATCTTATATTATATAAAATTGTTAATTTATAAAAACTAATTTTATGGGATTGGGGTGGAATCAGCATGTCCATATGAATTTTATATTAAAACCTGTTGGACATTAAATGTCAACCAAAAAAAATCTTTGAGTATTTCATATGTTTTTAAAAAAGTTATGGTAGATAGTGGAGACCCATTCATCTATTGGTATTAATGAGTAGACAAGCATCCAGTTAAAGATTAATTAATGAGTTCAGGCTAGCTGTCTTAATCACTCTGATCAAGCTGTATGATGACCTTTGGGAATTAGAACAGAAGAACTGTTGGTTAGTTTACAGCATATGTCATGTGATGGCCAGCCTTTTCTTTTCAAAATTAATTTGATATAGATTAATTTGTTAAGACTAATTTGATATTGTTTAATATGATGGGCATTTGACAAACACAACCAGCATAGAAATCCATCAATGATGTAATATTTGTTATAACTAATGCTTACATCACAGGGGATGGATAAATATTTTTTAGGAATGGAAAAATCATGGAAATTTAGAATCAGGGTTGACGTGATTGCAAGCTAAACTGTTGAAGAAAATTGTAATTTTTGACGGGCGTATCATGCTGTGGCGCGGCACTTTATTGGTTTTTGATTTCGATGAACGGTGTTGCCGTGGTTACTAAAAATAGAAATGTCTGTAAAATTGTTTCAAAATGCTACTCCTCCTACAGTTTTGGTCTGATTTCAGTATAACTTGGCACACAAGTAGACTACATTAAGAACATAAAGAGACTTTATCAACAATCATTATTCTATTTAGTTTCAAATCCCAGCTGCTTAAGTACTTTTCTCTTCCTTTGCTATAAGTTCAAACCAGTAGAGCTTCAGTCTCGACAGAGACTTCTGGTTTTAAATCGCTATCTTATACCTCATTATAATATGCTAATACAACGCTCTATCTGATTGGTTCTAGACAATATGTCACAGTTTTCTTTTAGTTATTTTATTTATGATACGTATTACTCATGGCAATAACTTTTCCTAATACTCATCTATAATGCAAAAATGTGTTTAAAAATAAACATGAATTCTAGTTACTTGTAGTCTTATATTGTGTTAGAAAATAACAGGTTGCTTTTTGTTTACCTACAATGTATATGATTTTTATTTGATGAATAAATCTTCCCTACGATTAAAAATATATGACCGAGTCTAACCGACCGTGACATTCGAAGAGAGGTCTCTTGGACACATGTAGAACTCAGTCGAGGTTGTTTTGTCAGAGGTGGTCAATAAGCCTTTAGCCCCCCCCCCCCCCCTCCCCTTTTGAAGTCGCCAAGATATGGTAAAATATTGATGACTTAGCGAAATTAAACGATCAACAGTTATGTTCTCTCATAAGGTGTATTCCTGAAACTATCACTGTCTAGAGCTGCTAAAATGTTGGAGACATATTCTGCAAATATGTTTGAATGATACATAAAAAAAGAAAAGATTTTCCAAAAAAAAAAAAGAGAAAGAGGGTTCTTTTAGCTGAAATTTTAGACATTTTTATCATTACATTATTTATGCATTCATAAATAAATTTGATTTTCTGCACAAGATGAATGTGAAGTAATTAATGACGCATAATTAGATACGATAGACAATCCCTTGTTTATACATGGCATCATATCTGGTGTGTGAAATGTGTTTCCGTATAATTTGATTTATTTACAAATTGTTCATGTTTGTCGTGTTGATGTGGAATTATTATAAATTCCCGAATTCTGATACTCTACAATTCTGTTGTGTTGGGAATGAACATTAGGAAGATGCATATACTTTCAACATAAGGTAAAACATAAAGCAAATCGAACGCCTTTTTGTGTGCAGATGATGAAATGTACTGAGCTCCACGGGTATTTGTTGTCCCGAGCGCATTAATCTTGACGCCCAAATTCTTACTTGGCTAGTGATACCTTTAGAAAACATGTGTATCTAGATGAAAGTTAACTAGGCAACATGCGCCATCCCATTGTTTAAGTTTTATTAGGTGATTACACCTCCTATACCCGATTTCGCGGATTCAACGATACCCTAATATCGAGTATTATACGCGATTTCACGGATAATACCCGATTTCGAGTATTCTCTCCGACCTGATGAATAGCATCAGGGCCATATGACATGGATGAGCATTTTGGCTCTTGGCCCATGCTGGTAATTTCACAGTGAAAATCACAATGTTTTAATGGAAATATTTAGTAACTTAATGTTTCTTATTTCCCCATTTTAGGTGGGAGTCAGTATATGTCATTTCCCACAACCAAAAACAAAAAGCAAGGTGAGCCGTATGATCACATGAAAGATGCCGCATTCTTCTATGATGTGACGGAACAGTTCAAAAAAGGAATGAAAATGGACCCCCAAATCAAAAGCAGCTATGAAGTAACCACTATCTCAAAGGTATGTTTTATATTGTTCTTTAAACACATTACATAGACTATCCATATACAATTTATTCCACTATTTAACATTCTCCATTGGATAGTAAAATTCATTAACTTTTGTCCGTCGTTAATCATTTCCTGTCTTCTTGATATTATAAATCCGAGCTCCAGATAAGGTGCGTATTTGCAGAAATACACATTTCATTTTACAAAATACGCATTGAAAATTAAAATAGGGCATACTGTTATGCATTAGCAATCGTAGATAAGCATTGCACCAGGAAAGTACGTACTGCATACAACGGGTTGGATAATACAAGTACGATTTACCCAATGATATAAATTGAGATTATCTCAGTTCTTGATTTTTCTCAAAACGAAATACTGATTTAAAAGCGTTTTAGTAACCATGAATATTCTAGTAATGGTGACGATGATCTCCATTTCAAAGAGAAAGAATCAGAGATTTAGATTAAAATCGATTTCTTTAAATAGAAAGACTGCACTTGGCATAACTGCTTTTAAGCACACAAAAGCTTGTGCCGTCAATGTAAGATGATATTGCAATAAGTGTAATACATACATGTAAGTCATACAAAAAATATTAGATTTTGAATTTACCGATCAAGAGTTTTCATAGATTCTCTAAAGTTTTCTCTGTAGAAGAACAGTTGCACACGGCTTGTAAATAAACTCTTTTCTTTATTATGGGTTCATAACCAATTGTTGATTTCTCTCAACTTGCTATATTAATAAAGATTTTTTTTTCTCTCACTTTACTCTTCAAGTCTCTTGTTATGATATCCATCTTAAATGGAGGAAAAGTTTTAGGTGTTTATGACTATATGGAAACTTGACCTATTGTATAATCTTATAATCAAGAACAAGCTCAAAATCAAAACAAAGGTCAAAACATTTATATATTAACAAAATACTCTTCAATAATTTTGCTGAAAATAAAAATCTGCATTGATATGAAAATCAGGGAGTAAATACACTTTGGAGTAAAAAAAAATTATCTGGAGCTCTGATAAATGCATATTCAAACAGCAACAAGAAATAACATTTTGTACATGGAAATAATTGTTTTTTAAAGATAACGTTATATTTTACATATTTCTTTTAGGCGACATTATCAGATTCCTACGTGGAGAAGTACAGAGAGCAGATAAAGCAAATGAAGGAGCCGTCCCTGATAGCTGACCTGTACTTCTGTGGGGGACTGGAGCACCCAGAGAGGCTCAACGACGTCCTCAAACACGGCTTCCAGGAGTCAGGTCTGTCACATACCTCGGCAAATAATAGTAAAGCACCCTACAAGGTTGTCTGGACCATAAAACAAGCATTTAAGTGAAAAATTAATGATATGGAAAATGGCATTTAAAGATTTTTAGTGTAAAATTAATGATGGAAAATAACATAGAATAAAACCTGTATATATATATATATTTAAATCCATATGTAATCTTAAAAGGCATTTAATTTTTTTTTTTAGCAAGGTAGCTTCTTAAATGAACAGATGACTTATTTAGAGAAAAGAAGACATTTATTGCCTAGTGTACAACTTGTAATCGTGGCCATTTTTATAGAGCCTTGACCCAGTTTATGAAGGAAAAAACTTCAAAAAAATCTTTTTTTTTAATCTACAGATTTTATTTATGGTGAATATGGTCGAGGATTATATTTCTCCAAGTATCCCTCCAAAGCTGCCCAGTTTTCTGCTGTATGTGTTGTCTTATTGATTCTAATAATATTATCATATCTGTATAATGTACTGCAAGAGTTCAATCTCAGAAATACATACATGTAGAAAGATATTATAAAATCGAATCTAGTTTATAATTCAAGAGCATTGAAAATAGAATATATGTGTCAGTGTGGGCTAAAATTACATATTATATGATAACCTCTAGTTTAAGATTAGCATATATCTGTAAAGTCATTTGCAGTCTGTTTTTGTATAGGTATTTAAATGAGAATACTATTTTTAGCTTGGGAAAATCCTCCTAGTGGAGGTTGGCCTTGGTAACATAGAGACCGTCAACACCCAGGACAAAACCAGGAAGTCTCCCAGCAGCTCTCAGTTTGATTCTATCATTGTAAGTATTCCTAAATTACGAGGGCTTGTTTACATCCCCCCCCCCACAAAAAAAATAACCAGTATGAAAGCCTTAGCCCTTACCGTTCAGAAGGAATGGCCAAGGTTAAAGTTTTTTAAAAGTAGGTCAATCTCAAAGGTCAAGGTCAAAAGATCAATATTGTTGGTTTCTAAAGAAAGGTCTTGTCAAAAGGATTATATATGTGAAGTATGAAAGCCCTTGCCCTTATCATTAGTTATGGCCAAGGTTAAAGTTTTTTTTTAAGTAGGTCAATCTACAAGGTCAAGGTCAAAAGGTCAAAGTTGTTGGTATCCAAATAAAGGTCTTTTCACAAAGAATATACATGTATATTTGAAGTATGACAGTCCTAGCATCAACTGTTTTAAAGTTATTGCCAAAGAAAAGTTTGGTATTTTTGTTTAAAAGTGTGTCAAACACCAAGGTCGAGATTAAAAGGTCAAATTTGGTGGTACCAAAGAAAGATCTTGTCACAAGGAATACACCTGTGAAATATGAAAGCCTCAGCCCAGACCATCTAAAAGTCTTGGGAAAGTTAAAGTTCTTGCAGACAAACAGACAGACAGGGCAAAACTATATATTTCCGAATCTTCGATTACATGGGCATAAAAACAGTAACAGCATTTGGCATAATCTGAAACTGTATCAACAACATTCTTCCTTGTGAGAGGTTATACCCTAGGTTCTATCATGTTACACTTAGTCAGTGGAGGGGAATATCAGCTCAGAAATGTCCCTTTGTCCTTTTTTTTCATCATTAAAGGGTAAAATGATATCAGATATGTGACCTATTACCTTTATGAAGAATGTTACAACTTATTTTGGTACATGAATTTTAAATTGAAAAGGGTCACATTTTAGCTTTGTATAAGACATACATAATGAGTGTATTCAATATGTCCATCTGAACACACTGATAAATGAAATTAATTTGTATGATATGACTATCATTGCAGACTTCAGGTCGACTTCAATCAGCCATTGGAGGGGGGGATGTTGTGTACAATGAGGAGTATATCGTCTTTAACAGCACACAAGTCATGCCCCTGTGTCTGATCAGCTATGCAGGGACTTGACCCTTCAGCATCACCCCATCCCCTGTACCATCAGCTCCATCAAAACCTAGCCGCCTTTATCATTGTCTGTGTGTCTGTCAGTTGAAGAACTGATAACTGGCTAAAGGAATGTTATTTTTGTATTTTTTTAAGTCGTACATTTCAAGGTTTTGTGCTGTCAATTTTTCTGTACCAGAAATCAAATTTTCATCATTTAATATACATGATTTATTTCACCATTACTAGTCAAAGGGTCACATGACAGGGTATGAAATGGGTCTCTATTTGCCTTCAAACTAGTTTTAAATTAAACCCCCCTTTTTGGTGTACATATTGTCATATGTGATATCAAAAATAATTAAACATATTTTTTAGAACAAAAAAGGACAATATAAACACCATAATTTTGACTTTAAAATGTAGTTACACATAAATCAACCAAAGTTATATATTCCTTTGGTACTTAATTTTATGATGTCCAAAAGAAAGAAAAAAATTTTTTTTTTTTTGATGCAGGTACAATATACTAGTATTTTTTTTTACATAAAGTCATGTTTTGTCTAAGCATCAATTGTTTCATATATTGTGAAAAAAAATCTCAAATTAGCCCAAATGTAAATATTTTATCAACAGGTATTTTTTAACTATTTTTTCAGCAATTCAATCTCTTTTGACATTAATTTATGAAATGTTAAACTTTTCAAAGCTGTGAAATTTGTTTACTATCAACATTTTGAATTAGGTTATAGGCTAATCACTTTCTACCATTTATATGCTGCAATACCATTCACTTAAACACGCACATACATATGAGTACTACACATGTACTATGTATTCAAGAAAATATATGTTTATTTAGTGTAAGATTTTTATACCCCCCACTTGAAAAGCGGGAGGGTATATAGTAATCGTTAATTCCGTCCGTCTGTACGTCCGTCCGTCCGTCTGTCTAGCTGTCCGTCCGTCTGTTACGCTTTGGGGTACCCATCTCTTATCCACAACTCCTTTCATACCACTGAATGAAATTTGATGAAACTTTCACAGAATCTTTATTACATATTGCCATTGTGCACTTCCTATTTTAGTTTTTGATCCGACACATATTTTGGGTTTCCCGGCCACAGCAAAACATAGACTTTGCCATTATAACTGTATGGAGGCGGGGGGTATCATTTAGTGAGCTCATTGCTCACAGTACCTCTAGTTTTTAATCATTTGATGTTAATTAACTGTCTACCAAACTTCAGTGCAGCAATCTTTTCATCAGTTGATCCGTTTCCTGAGGGTAAATCATATTTATGAGAATTTTTTTTTTCTTGCTTATATTACAGTGAAAATGAGTATTATTTATGTTGATAATGAGAAAAAAAAAATCTTTGACCAACAAATAATTCTGGAAGTTGGTAAAAGACAAAGTATTATATTCATTTCACAAACTTGTCTTCATATAAAATGTACATTAATTATTTTGTTTGCAAAAATTTCATTGTTGCTCTGTACTTACGTTGTGTTTTATAGTTTTATATTTGTTGTAGAAATTACTTTTGATATGGAAATGTTTAGTTATTTATAGTAAGTCATCCATTTTCTATGAAAACTGAAAAAAAATATATGTACATGGCTCTAAATATCAAAAAGCATGCCTAATAAAAACAAAGCAGTGGTAAAACATACATAATATCCTTATTTTTAACTAATAAAAGGCCAGGCCAATAAAAAAAATTGGTTGGATTGTGAAAAATAAAATTCAAAAGAAAGTGGAAATTGTATTCCAACTCAAATGCAAGTACAACTTTGTGTGTGTGTTTGGGGTGGGTGGGGGTTTACATTGTCACATTCTGTATCTTAATTTCTAGTTTATAAATTACTTCAGTTTATTCAATTGTTCAATAAATCAAGTTGGTCAATATATTTTTTAAACCACAATAACTTAGTATGAATTCTTTATACAAATGTACAGATCTGTTAAAGTACCAACTCCACATACATGTACCGTATAAGTACCGGTAGAAATTTTAGTGAGAAGCAAATTTAGTGATTTGTCCTGAAAAACTGGTAATTTATTTTTAGCGAAATGTTATTTTAGCGATTTTAAAATGCACGTTAAAGAAGTTATAACAAATAAAATGCAATTAATTTTTTAGCGATATTCAATTTTAGCAATCTCGACACCCTCGCTAATAATGCCAAAATTAAATCCTCGCTAAAAATTCTATTTATATGGTATAACAGAGAATGTTACTTTGTACTTGTATCATTGGATTGTTTGAAAACTATTTTTTCTCGGATATATATATTTATTGACTTTGTTTTAGTATCAAAGAATGTATAAATAAAACAAGACAATCAACATTTCTTTCTTATTTATGTATGAAATTGTACAAGTTCTACTATCTTACAAATTTGAAAATTTCCTCGAAAAGTGACAATGCATAATGAAAATAATTACAGTTACCCTTTATTCATGGCAGGTAGTCGTAAATCTTCCATTTTGAATTAAACCTGGTTTACAGTTATAAAAAGTGTTTTCACTGCAGTATTATAATACAAAGTTTAATTTTTCATTACTCTGGGGGGGAGAGTCTTCTTCTGAATAAATGGTTTAAACCAAAAAATCGGCTATATACCCAGGAAAATTCGGTTGCATAAAACTATACCCCATGTACCTTACTTATACTAAAGGAAATGTTAACTGAAAACCTGGTTGGCATCCCCCCCACTTTTAGACTTTTAGTGATGTACCGAAAATGTATGGATACAAAAAGTAGTTGACACTGAGAAAAAGTTTACCTTTTTCCCCCCCCCCCCCCCCCCCACGAAATAGGATTTTCGACTTTGGGCAAAAATTTTTTTCTCTGGCTGGCCCCCCCCACTTTCAAAAACGATGCTACGCCACTGCTGTGATCTAAGCAGAAAATTTAACATGATGCAGAAAAGCAAATTTCATTCTCAGCTGGATTCAGATTATATAATAGAAGGGTTTTGGATTTCATAATTGGTCTTGTCTATGGTTTTTCTTCTGAAAACACCTATGATTAAGTCAATCTATTCTGGTGGCAACGTAAATACCCTTGATATATTGAATTCCATGTCTATCAAGTAGCCATTACCTTGGTTTACAGTTATAAAAAGTGCAGTTTTCACTCCGGTATTATAATACAATGAAGTTTAATTTTTCATTACTCTAGACGGGACAAACTGATTAGAAGTCTACTTCTGAATAATGGGTTTTACACACAAAAAAATCAGCTATACCCAGGAAAAATCGGTTACATGAAACTAAACCCGTCATGTATGCATAAGAAATAGAAAAAACGTGGTATCGGTTTAGCTTTCAAAACTTGTATGGTGCTCTTTGTTAATGTTAAAGTCGGTCGTTTTGTATGAAACTTTAAATAATAGGGTATCCACTCTTTTTTAATTATACGTGTATGTACAAGAAAGGGCTCTAAAATTATATTTTTCCCACGAAAGGTAACAAAACTAACCCATTGAAAAGAAAGCATTTTTTTTATCATTGCTGGTATGATAATGATGAGTACTACCCGAATTTTTTTTTCGTAGATTGATGTGGAAAATAATATAAGTATTTAAAGAATCCGAATTACTTAGATATGGATGTGAAACTGTGAAATTCAGATAAGAAAAAGTTAAAAAGTACTAAGGCGAAATGGGAATTTTAGTATTTGTAAATATTATAATTTAAATGATAATTTTTTTTAGATTGAATTTAACAGTCAATGTGAATTTATGAATACACTGAATGAAATAATGCATATAATACCAAGTTTTGTTTTTTTTAAATACTCTAGGCTAAATATATTAAATCTTCATCACCTTAATTCACCTGAGAGCTTTCTAAGGCGAAATGGGAATGCTAAATTTTACAGTTAAAGCGAAATGGGAACAAACCGATACAACTAGCGGTAGTGATATACATTTTTCAGACTCGTAGCTAGGAAGCAATTTCAGTGCGGAGGGGGGGGGGGGGGGCAACCATACATTTTCGGTAACTATCAACAACTAAAAATTCCTCGACAATAAAAAGAAATTAAAACTGAAAGGCATCAGACGTTATTTTATGAGGGGGTCACAATTGTCTGGTAAGTGTTCTATATATCGGCAAAATGATTGGAGGGACACGCCCCCTTTCCCCCTCCCTCGGTTCCTACGGCCATGTGTACCGTTTAAAACTCTAAAACATTCAAAGATAATACTAGTACATGTAAATACTCTCATGAATTCATTTCAATTAAAAAAAAAAGAAAAGAAAAAGACACTTTTTATTCCAGACGGCTTGAATTAAAATCAATTCAAAAGCGGTTATTATTTTTTTTGATCGCTATGGAAATGCGCCTTGAATGATAATCTGGAAAACACTCCAGTGCACTGGTAACGCTTTTTTTTTCATTGCCCAGATCTATAAAATCTGGTGGAATAAAAGACCCATCCGAACAGGCTTCCGGTGACGACCATGTAATAAAAATTGATATAGGCTACAATGTACATCCTCGAATACAAGGTAATGTTAAAAAAGTAGTCTGAATGTGGTATTGAATAATTGGTGAAGCAATGGGTATGTACTATAATACAACCAGGGTATTATTGGTGAATTAATGACCATGGGTCTAAAAAAAGGCATTAGCACTATGAAATACAAATTAATCATTGTATACAAAAATAGGTAGCTATATTTATAAATAGAAAGTGTGATTAAGAACTAAAAAAATAAAAACAAGCAACTTCATAAATTGTCGACCCCCGCTTAATTTCGGTGTCTTTGGGGTTAAAATGTCATTAATTAGGTATAGTGTATCAACTGTGAGAGACCTATCTCTTAAAAATTCACAAGGAAAAAATAACATAGTTGAAAAGTAAGTGAAACTCCAAGGTCACGGAGTAAAAGATCATAGTGTTTTAAGAAAGGATTTGTCACAGGTAATACACCTGTATAATATGAAATCCCCATCTCTTCTCATCCAAAAAGTACATGTATAGCCAAATTAATGTAATTTTTAAATTTTTGAAAAGTAGGCCAAACGTCAAGGTCACGGGTAAAAAATCATTGTGTATTTAGAAAGGTCTTGTCACAAGTAATATACATGTGTAATACTAGCATGAAAGACCCGTCTCCTCCCATTCAAAAGATATGACCAAGGTTAAAATATTTTTGTGACAGACGGACAGATGACATCATGTCGAATGTCACATAGCGAACGCATGATCTTTAACTTCGCAGGCACAACACGATGTGTTTGTAAAACACTGATGCCCCCGTATGGCAACATAGCGAAGATAAAACTTTTCTTGGTTGCAAATAAAAAAAAAATATTGGTAACAAAAGTAGGGTATTCTCAAAATATCATATCAAATGAAAGGTCTTGTCAAACGGATCAAATATCAAAAAGTATGAAAGCACTAGCCTAACCCTTCAAAAGTTATGATCAAGGTTTGCTTTTTAAAAGTAGGCCAAACTCCAAGGTCAAGGTCAATGGGCATATCTTTTGAATAGTAGATACCAGGACTTTTATACTTCAGTTATGTATTTTTTGTGGCAAGACCTTTTATTGAGTACCAACAACCTTGACCTTGATACATTGAACTTGGAGATTTCTGTACCTATGAAGAACACTTTAACCTTGAGTCATAACTTTTGAACGGTAATGACTACGACTTTCATACTTCACATATGTAGACCTTGTGAAAAACCTTCATTGGATACCAAGAATTTTGACCTTCGCCTTGGAGGTTGACCTACTCTTCATATACAATCTTGAACATAATTTTTGAAGGGTTAGGACTAGGGATTTCATACATCACATATTTAATCCTTGTGACAAGACCTTTCATTTGATATCAAGAACCTTGACCCTTTGACCTTGACCTTGGAGTTCCACCCATTTTTACACAAAAAATCTAAACTGTTACTTTGGCTGTAATTTTTAAATGGTAGATACTAGGAATTTCATATTTCAAATATCAGTTCTTTGTGGCAAGACCTTTCATTGGATACCAACAACCTTGATCTATTGACCTTGACCTTGGAGATTTCTGTACTTCTGTAAAAAACGTTAACCTTGGCCATAAATTTTGAACAGTGAGGCCTAGGGTTTTCATACTTCATATATGTAATTCTTGTGAGAAGAACTTTCATTGGATATCAACAACTTTGACCATTTGACCTTGACCTTGGTGCTTGACCTACTTTATACAAACTTTGACCTTGGCCATAACTTTTGAACAGTAAGGGCTAGAGTGTTCATACTTCACATATGCAATCCTTTTGACAAGACCTTCATTGGATATCAACAATTTTGACCTTTTGACCTTGACCTTGGAGTTTGATTTACTTTTAAAAAGCAAACCTTGACCATAACTTTTAAAGGGTTAGGGCTAGTGCTTTCATACCTTACATATTAAATTTTTGTAATAAGACCTTTCATTTGAGAGCAAGACCTTTGACCTTGACCCCAGAGTTTACATACTTTTTAACCTTACTGGCTTAGTCATAATCTCTTAAGGATTAGGACTATGGCTTCCATTCTTTACATAATTATGTATTCTTTGTAGTAAAACTTTTCATAATTGCATACCATTTACCTTGACCTTTTGACCTTGGAGATATTCGTACTTATGAAAAAAAAAACTTCACAATAGTATTTCCAGTGAGAATGCCCTTCTTTTGGTACCAATATACTGCATTTTAGAAAAGTTTAATCTTCGCTATGTTGACGTAGAGGGCATCAGTGTTTCAAAAACACATCTCTTTCTCCCATCATGTACATTGAAAAAAGACTCATTGTCAATATCTGTGGGATTCATTCCATTTTAACAAAGTTGGAAGAAAAAGCCCATTGGGAGAAAAATGAAATAAAGAAGTAGATTGTACTAAAAATCCCACTTTTCTCCCACACAGTGGCCCAAAGCAAATTTAGGAATTCCTGAGAGTATGCCTTCTGTTATTTAACATTTGTATTACTTACAGCAGTAGGAATGAAAACAACAACATAATGGATAAAAAGTGATAAATGGGTTTAATTCTTATCAATGACTCCAAATCTCAATTTTAATTACAAAGAAAACATGATTAAACCTTAAAAGAGATGCATTATAATATGGAAATAATTCTTCAATGAAACCAATTTGAAAAAAAAAAACCAATGACAAGAAATGATGATTGTGGTAATGATAAGATGATGATGATGGCGGTGGTGGTGCTGAGTGGTTATGATGTCATTTAATTGAACTGCCACATGTCATGTATACGAATTCCTTACAGTTGATGTCCTGAAACTTTGGGGAAAAAGAATCCCGAGAGTCATTTAAATGTTAATACAGTTTTCTCAACTTTATTCTGATTATCTCAAATACATTCGGTTTCCTACAGCGGAACTTAATTTTCTTCTCTTCAATTCCAGTTTCATGATGTATGTCTATGGATTTAAGATGATGTTGAAGTCTTTTAATCTGTAATAATAAAATTGATTTGTTATGAATAACTGTAGACTGAACAAGAAACACGTATTCAGTTTAAGATGCACTGAGCCCGACTTTAAATATTGAAAGTGTCCCAGAGATGGTACTTACATTGAAAACAGTTTCTTCCCTGTCCTCCAAAATTCTTATGAAGCACTTTGCTGCCTTCTCATTTCCTGAAGAAAAAAAATTTGATTAGTTTTGATGAAAATTATACCTGATTATTCTGAACGGAATTGGAAGTATCAATTAATATGTTTAAGGGAGAAAAATTGAAAATAAAAAAAAAAATCTCCATGAAATGCTGTTTCAACATAAAAAAATATATAAAAAAGTTACTATCTGGTATAACAAACACAAAGAATTAAACTCACCACAGTTGGCCAGGTGCTGTAAATGTTGAGACCATAGACTGTTGTGAATGGCAATGGCTTTGTCCGAAATAGTGTTTTTCTTAAGGGCTTCGAGGAACAAGTAGGAGAAGATGAGAAATCTCTTCTGTTGCACTGGTAATAAAAACATATACCGGTATATACAACGGGTTTGTAATCTTCTTAGAACTTTTTGCAAATCGAAAAAAAAATTTTGAATTTATATATACGAGTATGCATATATACATTTCATTGTCTTACCAGCAACGTCTTTCTTTTCGGAATACACAAATCCATATCCATCCGTGTTTTCTTTTCCAAAGAGAAATATTGCCATTTGTAAAATGTTTCGTCTCTAGAAAGTAAATGAAAAAGAATTTTAGAATGGAAATTCTTGATTACATTAAATACATTTCATAGCCACTGATTAATGTAAAAATTAATCCCCCCACCCCCCACCCCCCCCAAAAAAAATAAATTATCAAAATAATAAGTGCCTGTTGAAGCTTACCACTGTGGTCATTGTTCCAGTCTTTGTTTTTGATAAATAATCTGACAAACTTATTGCAAGACACTGTTCAATCGTTTTATCTCCCAAAACCTCCATCTATTAAGCTGATTTACAATCGCAGATTAATCCAAATGTTTTCTGGCCGACAGAAAAGGTTCGCAACCTTTGTGACGTTCATGCATTATGACGTGTCTCATTATGACGTCATCATATTGATGACTCGCTATAACCCGATTGTTTTTTTTAGAGCGGGTGTTCTTTATATAGATTACTGTGTATGTAATGTCAATTTTCTTTGAAAAAGAACACTAAACAAACGAACAAAAACAAAAAAAAATTGTCCTGCAATTGTTACTTTTTGGCCCAGTTGTCATACATCGTACTTATAGATGTATAACCCATTAAGTCACAGACTTGTCCATGCTTTGTTGGGTAATACCCAATATATAGAGGTATGACCCATTAAGTCACAGACTTGTCCATGCTTTGTTGGGTAATACCCAATATATAGAGGTATGACCCATTAAGTCACAGACTTGTCCATGCTTTGTTCGGTAATATCACAGACTTGTTTATGCTTTGTTTTGTAATACTCAAAATATAGATGTATAAGCCATTTAGTCACAGACTTGTCTTTGCTTTGTTGGGTAATACCGAATACAACTGTATATAACTTTATTACCCAGTAAGTCACAGACTGATCCATTCTTTGTTGGGAAGGGTTATAGAGTAACTTCTTTTTTATTTAAATTACATGACTCATAAAAATGCAAAATTTTCCCCATTATTAAACAGTGAGTAAAGTGGAGATATTATACTGTTATAGAACAAATCTGTCTGTCTGTTTGTCGGCAAAAACTTTAACCTTGCCCATAACTTTTGATTTGGTGGAGCTTTGGCTTTCATATTTCACAGGTGTATTCCTTGTGACAAGACCTTTCTTTTGGGTACCACCAAATTTGACCTTTTGACCTTGGAGTTTGACCCACTTTTACATAAAAATTCCAAACTTTTACTTTTACCATATCTTTTGATATCAGTAGATACTAGGACATTTATACTTTACATATGTATTCTTTGTGAGAAGACCTTTCATTGGATACCACCAACCTTGTTTTGACCTTGACCTTAGAGATTTTTGTACTTATGAAAAAACTTGGCCATAACTTTTGAACAGTAAGGGATAGGGCTTTCATACTTCACTTATGTAATCCTTGTGAGAAGACCCGTCACTGGATACAGAGATCTTTGACCCGTCACCGTGGAGTTTGACCTTCTTTTAAAAAGCAAACCTTGACAATAACTTTTAAAGGGTTAGGGCTATTGCTTTAATACTTTACATATTTAATCCTTGTGTCAAAACCTTTGATAGCGAGCCCTTTGACCCTTTGACCTTGGAGGTTGACCTACTTTTTAAAATTTGTAACCTTGGTCATAACTTTTGAAGGTTTCAGGCTAGGGCTTTCTAACTTCATATATGTATTCTTTGTGGCAAGACCTTTCATTTGATACCAATTACCTTGAACTTTTGACCTTGACCTTGGATATTTTTGTACTTATAAAAAAAACTTTAACCTTGGCCATAACTTTTGAATGCTAGGGACTAGTGATCTCATGCGTACTTTACATATGTAATCCTTGTGAGAAGACCCTTCATTGGATACCAAGAACTTTGACCCTTTCACCTTGACCTTGGAGTTTGACTTAAAAAGCAAACCTTGACCATAACTTTCAAAGTGTTAGGGCCAGTGATTTTATACTTTGAATATTTAATCCTTGTAACAAGACATTTTATTTGATAGCAAGACCTTTGACCTTGACCTTGGAGTTTGACCTACTTTTTAAAAATTTCAACCATGGCCATAACTTTTAAAGGGTTAGGGCTTCCAAACTTCACATGTATTTTTTGTGGCAAGACCTTTCATTGGATACCAATAACCTTGACCTTTTCACATTGACCTTATAGATTTCCGAACTATGAGTACTTTAACCTTGGCCTACTTTCATATTTCACAGTTGTATTTCCAGTGAGAATACCTTATACTTTTGGTACCAATATATTAAATTTGCATTTGAGAAAAGTTTAATCTTCGCTATGATGCCATACGGGGCATCAGTGTTTCACGAACACATCTTGTTAAAGGTAGGGCAAATAGGTAAAAACTATTATTATTCAAACAAGGGTCTTGTCTAATGGAATACTTATGTGATATGTGAAAGTTATAGCACCAAAGTTATTGCCAAGGATCAAGTTTACAAAAGTAGGTCATGCTCCAAGATCAAGGTTAGTGGTCGAAAACTTTTATCATCAAAAAAGTTCTGTTCACAAGAAATACTTATTAATTATGAAATTCCTGGTAACAACCATTCAAAAGTCATCGCTAGGGTTAAAGTATAAGAAAAGTATATATGTCAAACGCTAAGGCCAATACACCAATGTTCAATGAAAAGCCAAGGTTAACATTTTATTAAAGTAGGTCAAATTCCAAGTTCAAACACAAGTGTTGGTGTCAAAAGAAAAATCTTTGTCGAAAAGATTCAGAAAATATGAAAGCCCTGGCTTTTCAAAAGTTATGACCAAGGTTGAAGATTTTGCGGGCAAACAGCCAGACGGACAGACCAAAAACTATATGCAGAGCTTACGGGGACATACTAGTAAAAAAGCCAAGTGTTTTTAAAATGAAAAAAAGGTATTTAAATAAACATTCTGTCACAAGGCGACGGTTGCATCTGTTTAAAACATGCATGCAGTCATGTTTCGGGTATAAATAAAGTCAAAGTTTTGCTTGCTATTTCCCCATTATATAAAACGAAAAGCTTGCATGCTGTCTTTGTTACCAGTGTATAATAATTGTCTCTTCGGTATTCAGCTAATTCTATGAATACCCTGTTTTTACCTCAAGCCAGTACCTCAATTGTATACACACTATCTCTTTAAAAATCAGATAGCTCATCATCATCCAACCGTGTTGAAGTCGGTATAAAAAGGCAGACACATTGCATAATCTAGAACTACTTCCGTCCTTCTCAGTTTTAACATAAGCCACAACGACTCTGGACTCTATTTTCATAAGAAATGGGAAACAAGGGGGCAAAATTACATCCAAAGACCATAGAGGAGTTACAGAAACACCTGGGATCGGACCTAACAGACGAGGATATTAAGACGTGGTACAAGGACTTCCAGGAATCTCTGACGCCGGGTAAAGCTCAACTCACCAGGAAAGACTTTATTGAAGTGTATGATAAAATATTTTCTGGAGATGCTCGAGAGTTCGCAGAGCACGTGTTTCGCACGTTCGACACTGACGGAAATGGAATGGTGAACTTCCAGGAATTTGTTGTGGGACTGTTTGTGTCCAGTTCTCAGGAGATGGACAAAAAACTGGACTGGGCCTTCCGCGTTTATGATATCAACGGAGATGGATTTATCACAAAAGACGAGATGAGCAAGATCATTACGGTAAACCTTTAAATGCAGGCCTGGGTCCCCTTCACTCGGTTTTATTTCTAATAATTAACAATGTTCTATTAATACTCAAGATTCTTGAATATATATGCATGCTAACTTGGAGGATACCAGGTTAATCTTCGAACACTCTCAGAAAAATTCACTTAATACAGGCCAGCTTATTCGAACGCTTATACTAACTAATCTTGAATGCTGCCTATCCTTATTGTAAGATCAAGTATTAAATAGAGTTTATCTTTTATTAACTTGCATTTAATATCCTGGAAATAAATAATTTTGTTGGGTTTAATTTGTATGTATATAGAGGTCCACAAATCCATATCCACCACGAAATGTTAAAATATAAACTGAAGACTAAGTACTACAATATTTCATCTTTATACCACATCCAAACCCTGCAAACCAATATATTTTACTTCAACCTATAAAATTTGACCTCATCAAAACAGGTACATGTATAATAAATTGAGTTCAAAAGTTGAAATACCAGCTATTAAGCAATGGAAAGTCAGTATATTTATTCATAAACTGTATTGGAAATCAAACTTTCAAAAACTATTTATTCTGGAATTTGTTCTGATTTTATTTCTATGACTTTTTGCAGTCTATCTGTAAGATGACGACCACCACAGTAAAGTCTGTAGAGGAACTCACCCACGAAATCTTCTCTGACATGGACATAAACAAGGATGAGCGGATCAGCCGTGAGGAATTCCTCCACGGGGCCTCCAAGAACGACTTCGTTATCAAGCTACTGCAACCCGATCCCGACTCATGACAATCCTTATTGAAGATCGCCACAATGAGTGGTAATGATACACGGTGTTTAAATAAACGCAGCAAAATATAATATTTACATACCGTGTACAAAGAAACACTTGTTCTGAACAGCCAATTAAAGGCACCCAAGTTCGGAGTTAATATTTTGTGCCAATCATTTGACATTCTTTTGTATGTTCCATTTACTACCGGGATTATTTCAATAGTTCAATCATGTGCAATTGATTTTCTTTGGATAGAAATTTAAATAAAAAATTTGTCATCAAAGGAACTTCCTTGTTTGAAGATAAAATTATTACTTTATTTTTTACATCTAGGGAATAAATCATTTGTGTAACATAATATGCATCAAGTTCCTAGTGTGCGGTTGTGTCTAACTCTAAGATCTTTTAAAATTCCTTTTGATAAACCGGTAAATACATATGTACTGAATTTTCATTTATAGGCAAAATTCCACGAAGACAATGCAACCATTATGATTTACCCAAACAAGAGTTCTACAAGTTGTCTTTTATATGTTGTATTGCCAGTACAAACTGGGCATATCATGTTCAAGAGTTGTTAAGACTTAGATATCAGCGTTTGGTTCAATGACTGTGAAAATTACATGTTATTGGTTACTACTATACTAAAAACATTAATAAAGACAATTTCTTGTAAATACAATTTGAAAAATATTTCTTTGTTTGTTTTGTTTGAATAACGTCTTTTGTATCCTTTTCGCCGCCAATGCACTTTCCAATAGTAAACAGACAGAGGCTATTAAATGGTATATTAAACTTTTGCATCCCTTGGCAAAAAGAATATCTATAAATCAAGACAGCACTCTTCATCGGTCCAAATGCAATTCACTTCCGTTTCGACACGGACAAACAGAACACGCACAATCGCGTAACTATATCCTATCCGCAACTCCGTTGCAAGGGGATCATCGCCAATATGCTGACGGGTGAAGTAGCTTGAAATAAAATAACAAAAAGTAGTTTTTTCACAGAAAGAAGGGATGCGTTTAAAAGCATTACTGCTTCGTAGTCGCTACGGATACTACGCTCTTGAAGGGAGAGCTAACCTAGCCGCTACATTGTACATAAGAGAGAGCTAGCATAAGTACCAAATCCAAAATGGCATCCTTACCTAAAAGGGGTTTCATTTTGCACACCAGAGAGAATTAAATGTAAATTTAGATTTATATTTTCGCTTGAAATAAAGTCTTTTTGTTCCAGAAATAAGTTTACAATCTGAAATTTAGCGGCTAAACTAGCTGTCTGTTCAGTAGAGATGGATATCTATAACACCTATGCTGCCAGGTTGGCCGCTACGATCTTGAACGCAATCCAGAATTTTTTTCGCGGAAAAACTCGATTCGCAGAAAAATGAACATTCGCAGAAAAGTAAACATAGGCTCATAACTTTAAGTCACCTTGCAGAAAGGAATGACCTTTCATCACAAATGTATAATTTGTTAATCCTAGGGTTAGGTTTTAAACGCATTGTGTATGGGAAAAAATCTGTTCAGAAAATGGACTGGAACCCGGAAGTTAATTTCATTTTTCTCTTTACTAAATGTAATATAAAGTACGTATTCTTTTCAAGCACATGCTAGGTGTATAAATGTCTAATAAGTGTTATAAAGAATCATTCAAATATATTTCTCCGGTCTTTATTAAAGTTTTATCGGAGATCTTCATTTCTGCAGGTGTAATTTTGTAAGATGGTTATCTGGTTACAGGTGTAATTAACCACGTATAGAATGCAATCGACAAAGGTAATGGAATTGAGACGTCGGAGGCGGGTCAGATTGTATCCTGGATGTAATTGAAGTCTCTTACATATTATGGAAATAAGTGAAATTACACAGCATGTTTGGTGAAAAGTTTTTAAAAAAATTACATGGAAATTGTAAATGGAACTTATTCTCATCAATAATAAGAGAAAAATACCAGAAAAACTATTCCGCTTTTTTAAAATTATGACAGAACAAGATGTGTTTGTGAAACACTATGCGCCCGGCAGCAACAAAGTTCGAAAAAAGCTATTTTTAGCATATAGGTCACAGTCAAGGTCATCATTAACCTTGGTGTCATTTCAAAGATTTTGATTAGAAGAATATGCATACTAAATATGAAGTCTCTATCTTTTATGGTTCAAAAGTTATGGCGAAGGTTAAATTTTGCAGAAAAAACTATTTTTAGCATATAGGCCACAGTCAAGGTCACAAGGTCATTGACCTTGGTGTCATTTGAAAGAGCTTAATTAGTGGAGTATGCATATCAAATATTAAGTCTCTATCTTTCATGGTTCAAAAGTTATGGCGAAGGTTAAAGTTTGGGGACAAACAAACAGACAGACAGACAGACAGACAGACAGGACAAAAACAATATACTCCTCGGATCTATCGATTCGGGCGCATAAAAAAGGTCATATACATGTATTTTTCTTGTATTTCTTTTATCTATTTTCTTTTATTGTTTTCGCATAGTCCGTACACAAAGAAAGATATTTGTCACAGGGTAGCATTGAGCGTCAATATGAATACACCTGTATATATCGATAATCTATATGGCATTTTAATGCCCCCGTAATCGAAGATTCGGGGGTATATAGTTTTTGTCGTATCCACTCGTCTGCCTGTCTGTTTGTTCGCAAAAACTTTAACCTTGCCCATATTTTTTGATTTAGTAGAGCTATGACTTTCATATTTCACATGCTTATTCCCTGTGACAAGACCTTTATTTCAGTACCATCAAAATTTGACCTTTTGACCTTGACCTTGGAGTTTGACACACAGTTACACAAAAATTTCAAACTTTTACTTTGGCCATCATAACTTTTGAGCAATAGATACTAGGAGTTTCGTAATTTGCATATGTATACTTTGTGGCACGACCTTCCATTGGACAAAACAACAACTGTGTCCTTTTGACCTTGGGATTTACGTACTAAAATAAAAAACTTTATCCTCGGCCATAAATTTTGAACGGTAAGGGTTGGGGTTTTCAAATTTCACAATTGTAATTTGTGTGAGAAGACCTTTCATTGGATATCAACAACTTTGACCTTGTAGTTTGACCTTATTTTTAAAAACAAACATTGACTATAACTTTTGAAGGGTTTGGGCTAGGACTTTCACACTCGTAATTAATCCTTGTGACAAGACCTTTCATTTGACACCAACAACTGGGACCCTTTGACCTTGATCTTGGGAGTTTGACCTATTTTTAAAAACTTTAACCTTGGTCATAACTTTTAAATGGTTAGGGATGGGCTTTCATACTTCACATATATAATCCTTGTGACTTTTGAACAGGTGGTGCTAGGGCTTTCATATTTCACAATTGTATTTCTTATGAGAAGACCTTACTTTGGGTACCAACATATTAAATTTGCATTTAAGAAAAGTTTAATTTCAGCTATGTTGCCATAGGGGGCATCGGTATTTCACAGATCTTGTTTGGAAAAAAAATCCTTGGAATTGTCACTGAAATTCCCTAAAATAATCTTATTTTATGATGATCCTTGACAAACTTGGGAATGTAAATCAAAGCTGACATAACGTCATCTTAAACTAAGACATCTCATAGACAGATGACCCCCCACCCCAAGATGTGTTTGTGAAACACTGATGCCCCCGTATGACAGCTTATGGCATGGGTTGAATTTTGTCAAATAAAAGTTTAATTCCAAAGATCAAGATCAAAATTGTTGGTACCCATAGGAAGGTCTTGCCAAAAGGAATACACCTATGAAATATGAAAGCCCTATTTCTAGCTATTCTTATGTTGTGACCAAGGTTAATGTGTTTGAAAAATGGGTCAAACTCTAAGATCAAGGTCAAAAAATATTTATACCCTCTGAAAGGTCTTGTCAGAATGAATACACATGAGATGTATGAATGCCATAACACCAACCTAATTAAAATTAAATGTTAGATCCGCTCGCATACTCCTACACTAACATCTGACATCCCGTAGAGGGTCACATCAAAGGTCAAATTCTATCAATCAAATCGTTGCCTGCAAAATCATCATATATTTGTTGAAGCGAATTTGACCTCTGATGTGACCCTCTACGGAATGTTTTTAGATGTAAGTGTAGCAAGTATACGAGCAGAACTAACATCTAATTTTAATTAGATTGCCATAATACTAACTGTTAAAAAGTTATGACCAAAGTTTAAGTGTAGTATTTTTTTTTGTAAAAGTGGATCAAACTCCAAGGTCAAGGTCAAATTTGATGGTACTCAAAGAAAGGTCTTGTTAGAAGGAAAACACTTATGAAATATGAAAGCCGTAGCCCACTAAAAAGTTATGAACAAGGTTTAATTTTTTGCAGACATACAAACAGACAGACAGACGGACAGTGAATTTCATGGCCCTATGATCAGGGGTTCTACTGTTGGAGAGGGGGTCTTTTGATTTTATAGTGAAAGCATATTATTCAAATATCTGCATATATTGTCTCTTCAGTTCAGTATGTATTTAATAACTACATTGTAGTGTAAAAATCAGTTTGTATACTGTACAGGTTTAAAATGATCATTTGGTGACCTTGATATTGACCTTTTCAAATCTAGGGAAAAGAACATTCTATTGGTCAATTGTTTTTTAATCATTCTAAATCATTTCAATATGTACACAGTGTAGATTTATAATGAAAATAAATTAAATACAACAGTCTCATAAATGATTACATCATATTGACCTACAGTTGTACATTGAAGAAAATTGAATACATAACTTAGATATTCAATAAAAAAATACACATGTAAAACTTCTCCAATTTTCTACAACTTCCCCCAAAAATCATATTTTACAGATTTGATCCCTATTGTGTACCTACCATTAGTGTGTAGAGAAATTATGAAAATAATAATAAAGGAAAATGTAAATATACAAAATATTTATCTGAGTATGACATTAGATTATTTGAGTTAATAAAATGAAAATTATGCTTTTCACTGTGTCAGAGAAATGAGATGCAAAAGAATAATAAAGGTACTTTTTACTATTCCCTGTGTCCATTTGAATATACAAAATATTTATCTTATAAATAAATTTCACATACATATATTTGCAAGATATATTCTACACCTCAAGAAAATACAACATATCTTCTTTTATAAATAATGCAGAAACGGCAAATTTTCTCTTCTTTCTGTCACTTGCAACATCATTATCTAAGTGGTCTTGATATGCTTCCCGCCTTATTAGGAGAGAAATATATCAAGGGTATTGGGCTACAAAGATATGTCAACTGTGACAATGGAGAAACAGAAGTAATTTTTGCGCATATGTAATTTGAACACAGTCTTCTCTACACCCTGTCATATCTTCATCTGCTATTCCACCGCTCTAGTTTTCCTTTATAAAACTGTAAACAAACTGTAGGCAGGGGAGGAGTCTGTTCACTGTCGCTAGGCAACAAGGGATCAGATATTGTATCATTGGTAGGAATGTCCTGCGAAATCAGAAAATTTAAATGTCAAATGCAACATGCTTCCATTCATTTTGCAAGATTAAATCCTATCAGCAAAAAGCTAACCTGTTGACGTTTATGACACTGCAATCAAAACTATGACAAAACCATACATGCCAACTTTTGAAAATTTCTATGGGGGATTTAGCGTGTGACGACAATTTTCAAAGCTTCAAATTCGCGAAATTTTGTCATGAAATTAAATGATTATAAAATGATTTTTTTTTTAAATTTATAATATTGATATCACTTATCAATACAACTTAAGGATTAATTTCGCACAAAAAATAATGTTTTAATTTCTTTCCAAAATTGAAACATTCTTTTCTGAAATAGGTGCCTCTCTCACTTAAGAAGAGGTATTTAGTTATATGTAAACAACATTTTTTTCTACCAAGACACATATTTTATTTAGTGAAAATTTGAAAACTGTACAACTTTTAAATCATTTTTTTTTCAAAGGCTAAAAAGTATATGAGGTTTTGATACTGTAAAGCCCTGTTTCTGGAAACATTTTTGAGATTTTTTATTTAAATTTCAATTAATTAGAAATTCTTTATAAGATATTAAATTTACACCACCTATCTTAAAGAGAATTATTTTACAGTCATGAAATTTGTCAGGCTTGATGGTGCCATGTGGGTATTTCCTTAAGTCATACACATACCTAACATATTACTTTTGGGAGAAGGGATGGAAAAGAAATTCTAATTGACATACACTTGATTGTTTCATTTTGATTTTTTCATAATATTTTAACTGGGAAACTTTACAATATTTTTCATTATAGGTAGATACAATCAGCAGTTATGCTTTGTAGTTTTCTACTTCATTTTCAAAAAACGATCTCTTTGGATTCCGATTTTATGGTTTGATTAGTACTGTAGACGTACTTTTTTCCAGGGGGTCATAATTCCGCGGAATCTCAATTTCTATTTAATCCACTGAAAGAATATTACGCGGATTTCTAGATTGTCTCTGTATGCCTTACATTTAAATTAAGTACGCTTGGACAAATTTCCGCGGAAAATTTGTGACAGCGTACATAGCGTAAATTAATACAATGCGGAAAAAAGTACTTCTACAGTATTTTATTGTCTTTAATTTATGTTTTTAATTAAAGAATTAACAATTATCACGTTAATCTTTGTGTTTTACCTTGCATACCCCTTAAAACTGACATGATAATCCCTAATTGCCCCAAGCTAAAAGCTACTTGTACCTGGACAACTGCGTGCGTTCAAGCGTGAAGTGATTTCCTGTGGCTAATTAACACCTGGTTAAATAAACAATGAAACTTGTCTGTGTGCATTGAATAAACAAGTCTGACATTGTTATCCCGATTGTCATAATTCAGCGGTAAGGGAACTTTTAAAATTGGAAATTTTGGTGTTTTTTTTTTCAAATCGGGAATTTGGGGCAATTTTTCTCTCACGATCGGGAAAGCTGGATGAAAGGGTAAAATCGGGAGGATCCCGCCTAAATCGGGAAAGTTGGCATGTATGGACAAAACTGATGTTTATGAAACTTTTAAGCACTGAGTTCAAATCTATGACAAAAAGCGTACCTGATACTGAGAAATAAAATTAAGCAGTCTTAGAGAAAGCTTCCTACTGGAATGCAATAATTCTTGTAAGCTGAAAAAGAGATATGATTATAATTTAAAAATTCTGAATTAATAATCATGATAAAATTGTATTAAGCTTTGTATATATGACAATCAAGGGTCAAAATGTGAAGACACTTACCCTTCTTGTTTAAATAGGCCAAAGTTAACAACCTTTGAACAGATTTCTTTGTTGAGATTGGAGTCAAACAACGGAATGCCAAAATAACAGTCTAATAACGCCCAATCCTCTTCCTTACTCACATCACATGACACTTGTTTCTTAGCGAGATCTAATTTTAGATTACGATTCAAAGATTTTGTATTTGAATTCTCTGCTGGGTCACTTTCTAATTCAAGCATGTCAATTTCCATGGCCAACACATCAGCCGATTGCTGATCCTTGACCCCATTGCATGGTTCACTGATTTCCTCTTCATTAAACACATCCCCTTCATAGAAGTCATCATCCTGGGTGTCTTTCCACACGGTCCGGCTTTCCTTGCCAGTGTTTAGCAGGGTGATATACCCACAAGTGTTCTTTAAGTCTATCTTTTGAGATATTGTTTGTATTGCACTATGTTTCTGGTAAGCACCACTTGAGAATTCACCTGTAATTTTGTTCATAAAATATGTATTGCATATTCACAGATATACATTATTATGTGATTCAGGTATTCTTCTGAACAAAGCAATAATCTTTCTGTCATCTTTAATGTTTATACATGAATATACAAACCTGATTCTTCCTTTTCAAATGGGAAGGCCACAGTGACTGTTTTTCCTTCCGACTGCCACCCATGTGCCTGTAATTACGAATAAGAGTTAGGAAAAGATCTTCAGAGTATCATATATTAATGCATTTAAAAATAGAAGCTTATCAAAGTAACCTGTCAGAACTTAAACTTCTAAATGAGCAAGTTCATCAATCAGGGTCATGAGAGTTTGATGTTGCTATGACACCAGTATCTTAGTTACCTGAACAAGAACAGCTGAGTGTGTAAGAGCATCATTTAAGGTCAGGAGAATGTTTGATGTTGCTATGACACCTGGATCATGTCCCCATGTTGTCACCAACAATCTGTCATAATCCTGCACAACAACAAAATTTATGATAACCATAACCATGGAAAAAGAAATGGTATTAAAGAATACATTTTGAAATCTGATAGCTGATCTTCCTTTACAGAGATATCAACTTACATAAAACATTTTTGGAAGTCTACGTAATTTAGTTCCCTTCACAAGTAAAAGACTAGGTGGCCCACAGCCTGATATATGGTAAGTATACAACTTAAACCACACAGAATTTACCTGAAATGTACAGGTAAAAATTAATTTATATGAATGCTACTTGCATTTATAGTTTTGTCTACAGTGGACATACAATGATATTCAGATAACTTGATAAGATTCTCACATATTTTTTTGTGACACTTTTTTACTGTGCACTTAATGATATGCAAATATTTTTTTTTCAAATTAAAATCAAACAAAATTTCATTTAAAGTAGAAATGTGAATCAGATCTATTTCAGAAGACAAACCTCTGGAATAGCTGGTCCTATGTGTTGTGGGACACAACTACTGACTGGACGAATCTCGTAACTCAGTGGAGCCATCGACACAAGTAAACTATTCATAAATAAAAGATGTTATCAAAACTTTATGTGATTTCATATCTCATAGTTTACATAAAAGTAAAGTGACAGCTTGAATAAAAGCTGTAGAATAAATCAAACTCATTGATCCCTGCATAATGATACATGTACATACCGATTACGACTTACCATAACCTTTTATATATTAAAACGAGAAAAATCTTGATAAATCACCACACTGCATATTTACTGTAAATCACTTTTTATTTGCGAGAACTTTATTTTCGTAATTACGCGAGATGGTATGCTCCTATGCTATAATTCCTTAAGATTATATAGAGCAATGACAACAATTCGTGAAAATTTTGTCTCGCTAATGAAGATTCAATGACTATCTCGCGAAAATAAGGTGTCACGAAAATTAAGTGATCTACGGTACTTGTAGGCTACAAAGGTTAAAGACATGAAATCTGGTTACCTATAGTTCCGGTTGAGAACCCTGGCTCTGGTTGCTGCGTCCAAACCAAGCAGACTCTCGCACCTGATCAAGTCTACCGCTAGGCCATTACCATTCTCAGTGTCCATGTTCAGTTCTTTGTTGTAACGAAGAAAGCGGACCGTGTCACGTAATGTCAGAGCATGAACAAAGTACCTTCTGGCCTCTCCCTCTGCTTCTGAACCAACCTAGTGAGGGGTCAGATTTATAAAGATGCTTTCATGAGAGATTATCATAGAGATATTTTCCTTTAAATCTATAATAATCATACTAGTATTCCAAGTCACAAGTAGAGAATGTTGAACATGACTTACTTTTTCAAGTTCAGTTAGGAAGCTATCCAATGATTCATCGCTAAGCTTTCCCACTTCAAACATAGTCACAGCATGACTTTTTAATCCCTAAAATTAAGGATACCATGCTCAATTCTAAATATAAATTTTAAGTAGGTTAATCTACATGTGAAATTTACCACAAATTCAAACTTTTTAAAAAATGTATTTCAACTAAATGCCTTACTGGAGACAGGTTCCCCATCATAAGGAAAGCTGTTAATGTAGAGTCAAACAGGAAAGCTATTCTTCTGGTAGCACCACTGGTAGGACTTGTATCTTCTAAAATGTAGTAAAGTCACATAAAGTTTTAAAAGGATTTTTAAAATTTCAAATAAATATTCAAATTTGCAACTATATTTAAAATTTTATCCTAAATTTTTTGAGCAAGTAACAGAGTCAACTATCAGCAAGATTTCCAAAGTTTAACAAGATGTGTTTGTAAAACACTATGCGCCCGGCGGCAAAAAAGTTTTAAAATATATATTTAGCATATTGGTCACAGTCAAGGTCAAAAGGTCATTGACCATGGTGTCATTTGAAAGAACTTAATTGGTGGAGTATGCATCCCAAATATGAAGTCCCTATCTTGTATGGTTAAAAAGTTATGAAAAACAGTGGAAAAAAACTATTTTTAGCATAAAGGTCACTGTCAAGGTCACAAGATCATTGACCTTGTCATTGTTTTGAAAGGACTTCATTAGTGGAGTATGTATACCAAATATGAAGCCCCTATCTCCTATGGTTAAAAAGTTATGACAAACAGTGGAAAAAGCTATTTTTAGCATATAGGTCACAGTCAAGGTCACAAGGTCATTGACCTTGATGTCATTTGAAAGGACTTTATTAGTGGAGTATGCATACCAAATACGAAGTCTCTATCTCTTATTGTTCAAAAGTTATGGCGAAGGTTAAAGTTGACAACAGACAGAAAGACAAACAGATAAACAGACAAACAGACAAACAGACAGGACAAAAACAATATACGCCCGGGATCTATCGATCCGGGCGCATAAAAAATACAATCTTTTGTATCCTAAATGTTGGGAAAATATCCTTATTCTGTTCATACAATCTACCATTACTTCCGGAATCCTCTTAGATTTCAGTGATTGAGATAAAACCTTTTATGACCTTACCCATGGCAGTCTCTAGAGCACTCTTGTTGGCCTGACTGTTTGTGTCTTGTGATACCGGGTTTTTGTTGGCCTCCAGCAATGCCTCTTCTGATATCTCATTCCAGTCTAAAATGATCTGGTCCTTGGTCATCCTAAAAATCAAACATTTATTAACGACTTGTGTAAATAGTAAATCTAAACTGGTGTAAATGTCTATGTGAAAACTTTTTTTTCTGACATGGTACTTGCAAGTACTTTAAGCAATTTTTAAACAAATAATTTCTATAAATTATTTTATTTTAATTAATGACTTTTTTTAAAAACTCCTCCCATTAGATTTTACATAAGGTTTTATTTATCAGAACTTACTTTTTATTTGCTGGCTGAAGGTTAACCCATGAAGGATGGAGGTCTTCGGAGTTAATATTTTCCGCTCCTTTTTTCTTGGCAAACCCAAGTCGACAGTACATAGAAATAGCATTCTGCAATAGATAAAGTTAAACACAGGTAAAACAGCAAGGCTCAACTGAGATTAATTTGTAACTCATATACATGTACATAAATCAAAATCATCAATTTTTATAATTTCATTCTTAGCAGTAAATACTTACCTTTACTAATTCTGAATCAATCTGCAAAACATGGGCAAGCTAAAATTAGAAAATACATAATGAGCTGCATTATGAAATAAAATTTCAGACCATTCTTTTTTTTCAGTATTATAGTGTAAATATCTTTCATCAGAATATGCAGTTGTACCTATTCAATATCTGACATGACAATGAACAAGATGAATGGATATGAATGGCATTACAGTAACAGGCATGGTTCCAACACTTTCAGTTCTTACATTGTATATTTAAGGAATGACTCTAATTCTTGGCCAAATTATTCAATATAACCTGGTTTGGGTCAATTTACACTTTATAATCTGCAAAGCGGATTATAAACAAGAGGCCCATGGGCCTTATAAGGCCCACGGGCCTTATAGGTCACCTGAGTATCGTGTAACAACTTTCAAACAATTAAAATTGGTTCATGTTTTAAACCAAAGGCCATGAAATTCAAAATTCACAATTTTGAAAGAGGCACCATTGCTTATCATAATTATAAACTTAGCATGCTTACTCCATTTACTTAATACCCAGAAGTAGATCAGAGTAACAAAGGGAAATGCACTTCCACTTTATAACCAGTTGTGCACCTCACCCCAAAGGAACCACTGACCCAGGGGTCACATATTTCAAAATTTTGCAGATTTATCATAAAATGGTTGATTAAAACTAAAGAGCAGATTTCAAAGCAATAATTTATTTTCAGACTATGTATCCCCCTCCCCCCGACCCAGGGGGGCATAAAAAATATCCATTTTGCTAGATGCACCTTTCTTCATCATGAATATATATATACTTGGATCATTGGCATAAAACCCAGGATCAAAGGAAAAGATTTTCAAAGAGTTAATGCATTTTCACTGTATGATCAATAGAGCCCCGCCTTAACACAAGAACCCCTGACCCTGGGGCCATAAAATTCACAATTTTGGAAGAGACACTCTTGCTCATCATAACTATATACTTTGTTAGTTTATTTAATACCCAGAAGCAGAGAAGAAAATTTTCAAAGAATAATTAATGCATTTTCACTATATAATCAATAGAGCCCCACCCTAGCACCAGAACCCCTGACCCTGGGGCCATTAATTAAACAATTTTGGAAGAGATACTTTTGCTCATCATAACTATTGGCTTAGTTTGTTTATTTAATACCCAGGAGCAGAGAAGAAGATTTTGAAAGAATTAATACATTTTCACTATATAATCAATACAGCCCCACCCTAACACCAGAACCCTTGACCCTGGGGCCCTGAATTTCACAATTTGGTAGAGGACTCAATGCTCATTACATTCATGCCAACAGTTTGACTGCTTGATGTCCAGGAGTAAAGAAGAAGATTTTTAAAGATTGCAATAATTTTGGTGGTTTTGGTCCCACCCCTCAGGGCCCAGGGGGGCAGGGACCATAAAATTCACAATTTTTGTTCCCCTTCACCCATAGATGCTGTATACCAAATTTGGTTGAAATTGGTTCAGTGGTTTCAGAGGAGAAGATGAAAATGTTCAAATGTTAACACACGACGCACGACGGATGAAAACAGATAGCAATAGGTCACCTGAGTTACTCAGGTGACCTAAAAAGCGTAAACTGACCCAAAGCAGATTATACTCGAATAATTTGGCCAAGAATTATAGTCATTCCTTATAATTTAATTTTAAAATAATTAAACAACTGTGGGTGTAAAATTGTGCTGCTTTTTACGAGTTCAAATTTGCCACTCAGTAATACATCCCTAGTAACGGAAGTGATCGGAAACAAGGGGAGGTAATAACTGATACACAGATCTAGCAGCCATGATGTTTGTTTACACTAGGTAAGATTGAGCTACTCTTTGAAGTTACAGGTACATTTATTAAATCTGGCATTTTCCATGAATCCCAAGGACTGAAAATGAGGGGACTGCATACAGATGATTCAGCTGCTTGTCAAGGGGGTGTGTTCCCATACAAAACCAGGTTATTGAGAAATAATTTGCATTCCTTTTTGGAAATCAACCAATGAGAGACTAGAATACAAACAAAATTAAATTATTTCATGATACTAAACTACTTAAACAGTGACATTATACATTAACCTCCTCTCTCCGAGTATCCTTACCTCAGACACAGCCGTGTGTTCATCAATGGAGACAAATATCTTATACAGCAAAGTTTCCAGGTAGTCACCGAGTACACGATTCATAACAAATCCCTCCAGAGGCGGCACTTTATAACAAATAAATTTATATTCGTACAAGCAAGTCCTTGATACATGTAGTGTGTAAATGTATTTTCTACAAATGTTGTTTTGTGTGAAAGCTTCTTACAGTTTTTACATCATAAACAATTACGAATTTGAAAACCATACACTTGTTCTATACCATGTAAACCTAATAAGTTTAAACCAATCTAACAGCATGCAGAATAACCAGGAAATTTTCATTCCACCTACCTATTATACAATCATCATCCTTTATAGGAACATTAAGGTAAATTAATCCCTTTCTATAGAGACCTGTAAAAAAAGAATTAACATTTGTACAATGAATCAATGTACATTTTACCATTATACAATTTTTACATTTGATCATGAGTATAGAAGCTGTGACTTATTGGGAATAATATCTTGTTGCAAAAATGATTTATGTGTAAAAGAAACAGTTATAACTTGACCAGTAGAGCTAGAAACAAAAGATCAAACACTGGTAGCTTGGATGAAATAAGAATACAGGAACTAACTTTGAATAATTTTGTAGTCCATCTCCCCAGCTAACTGACAGCTCTCCTCACTGTCTATTATAGAATCTATCACATTCTTCTCTGATACAGAGCACATCTAAAAAAACGTAAAATAAAGGGAGTCATTTAAAATAGGGCTTAAATTTACACTTAATTTTTCTGATGCATCTACAACAACATGCACTGACAATGAACTGACACTCCTTCTTGTCATACATGTATATCACAACAATAAACTTTCAGAGTCTGAAGATTTAGGAAAATTATAAATTTCCTATGACAAAATAATGATTTATACAGTACCAATACTGCATATGTTATTTCTTTCTTTTTTTTTTTTTGGGGGGGGGCGGGGGGGAACGGGGAATGACTTTAAACCAGCGGTCTCCAATGAGACTGTATTTCTTTTGGTTTGTACTTAAAAATTGATAGTGAAAAGCTGCCCCATCTAGTTTTGCATTCACAGCACAATATCCTGTTGTTTCCTAATTTTGTTTCAAGTTTATCAAAGGATGTTACTGTATGCAAAATTAGACTGAATTAAGCTGGCCTGACAAAAGTACTAGATGAGCATTGATGTTGGAAGTTAATAATCCAATGTTAGAAGTTTGAAATCTAATGACCTTGACATCTTCTTCTGTGATGTAGCCTACATTCACTAGCCACCAGTGCTCAAAGGTCACTGTTTCTACTGGTTGTGATGGCAAGAGGTCTTTAGGAGGCTTTCGTCGAAAAAATTTCTGGAAAATTAATGAGAAACTTTTTTCTATCAGTATTCATGAACCAAAAATTTTGTAAGCATTTACTTTCAAAATATTTTAACATATAACTCTAATATTATCATACAATATCAAAACACACAATATTACTAAAATTTGAAATACTTAAGGTATACATTGAAAATATGAATTTAATGAAAGAGGAACTAAATGACTGCATAAGTAAAGACTTGAAATTTTTAGAAATGTTTTATATTCCTATAGCAGACACTTTAATATAAATTTTACATCTATAAGTATACTGTAAATGTACTGTAAACCCTGTACGATATTTAGCGGAAAATGATTTTTAAACAAGTTAGCGTTGAATTTTACATCTATAAGTATACTGTAAATGTACTGTAAACCATGTATGATATTTAGCGGAAAATGATTTTTAAACAAGTTAGCGTTGATTTCATTTAGCACATTTCTTGATATTCTTATTCAGTATCATGTTTAAGACATTTAGCGGTGTACTTGAATTAGCGGAAGTATCTTTCCGCCAAAAGCACTAAAAGAATACACCGCCAAATGTGATACGTTTACAGTAACTTACCTTTGAAGATCTACATTGGTTCATTAGATCAATGTACTGATTACGGCCTATTCCCAGAAGTCTCAAACCTGAATTAAAGGAAAACTTTTGATTGTATTATTTCACTTTTAAATTAATAAATTGACATAAGTTAAGCAGTTTCGATGCAAATAATATTTATTATTTGATGAACAAGGTAATTTATACTAAAGTACATATCAAAGACTATAAAATATTTTTTTTAAACAAAACATCTAAAAATTCACAAACACCTGAACTTCATACACATGACAGTGCGATTCTTTTTTTTTAGAAATATGAATAACTAAAACTTCCTCAATACTTGATAATGTTTCCTGTCTTTGTTAGCTCTTCATTGCTTTATCTGAGAACCTTAATAAACTGTAATTGTAGCCTAGAAACACTATCCAAGGTAGGAAAAACTTTTCATTTCAGATGACAATTAAAACTTACAGTCCGCAGCAGTAAAGTTCGGCAGAGAATCGTAGCTCTTCTCCTGGGTCATAATGTCTGACATCATGTTGATGTAGTAGGTGAAGGGTGTGACCCTTAACCCCTTGACGATGACATCAGACAGGTGATAGGGGTACAGCATCAGATGCTCCTGACTGTAGTGCATCAAGTCTTCATAGTATCGGCGCTCATCCTTCCTCACGGTCCGAACTAAATTACCTTTATAGCGCAACTGATTCTTAATGCTAAACTGGACAATTGCTTTGTCATATTCCCTCTGTGAATTGCCAAGAATCTGCAAATAAATGAAATGTTTAATGAGAAATAAGAAGAAAATGAAACAAATTTTATCATAAATAAAACACCTATTTTACAATATGCATGAATGCACGACTTCAGGTTTTATAAAATGCTATTAAATTTGACAGGCACCACTACCATGGCAAACTAAATCTTACAATTATTATTAAAATTATAATCTATTAGATGATCATTTTATCAATGAATAAAATGATCTTTTCTCCTGATACTATAAACGTGGGCAATCTCCCTGGGATAAGAGGACATCCTATAGTCAGTAATTACTTGTTTGATGGCTGCTGGTAGTTTTTGCCACGGGTTGTTCAATCTGATTTGGTTTTCTACGTCTGAATTCATGTCGTCTGCTGTTTTGGATGGTCACTTAGCCTGTCATCAGTCATTATTTTCTTATCATATGATGATACATCCACCACCCACAATTTCCAGCTGACATGTTGGAAGAGTGCTATCAGGAAGCGAATTATAGAACGAGACATTTGATTGGTTGATTCTAAATCATTGTCGAATCAAAAACTATCTTTCTTATGGTGCTCGGGATAAAGGTTGTTTACAAATGGCTACCTGAGAACCTCAAACCTATGTTTTGATAATAAAGTGAGTTAAATTTCCATGTATTCTGGAAAATAATCAAATAAAGAAGTTAAGCAGTTTAAAGGCAACTGTTATTTTGTCATTTGAAATGAATTTCTATTGTGTTGTAATTAAGGACACTTACGCTGGATTGGATTGATTTTTGAAAAAAAATATTTTGAAAATTTTATTTAATTTTGCAATATTGATTTAGGCCTAATTCATAAAATATGTTTAATGTTTATGAGATAACTGTTATGTATAATAATGGGATGGAAATTAATAATTTTGTAGTATTTATTCACCATGGGAGGTCTTCTAGATGAGAGAGTGGTTTTGGAGACCATTTTCAACAACTATGATACAGATGGAAAAGGGAGCCTGTCTCCAATACAGATGCAGATACTGCATGGAGATCTCCGAATGGGAGGAATCAGTTTACCACAAGTAAATTTTATTTTTCAAACACTGGAATAAAAGAAAATTGTGATTTTAGAAGCTGTATCCCATCAAAATAAATATAACTGAAAAACTGAAAGAGAACTTTATAATTATTATTAATATTTAGCTTTTAATTGCCTATGTTGCATATGTTCCTTTTTATAAAAATAGAATTTTGCTTTATAAATCACAAATTATGAGTAATATCTGTACTTGTATTGCAGGTTATGGAGTCAATGAAGTATGTGTGTGTCCATCGCAGTTTCTGCGAGTCCTCAGAGCTTTATGCTCTACTACAGGAGATGGACCGTCGCTACTTCCTGATTCAGGACTTCAGATGGGAATTCTCCATGATAGATGTACATCACAAAGACACCATTACACAGGACGAAGCTCGGTAAATTTGTTTATCTAAAAGCAGTTAGTACATTAATGTAAATTTATTTATTCCCAAACAATTTCATCTTTGTGTATCTGATTAAAAAATAATGAATTGATCACTCTTACATTGAGAAAGGACAACATTTTGTTGGAAAGTTAATTATTATACCCCCGCTCCGAAGGAGAGGGGGTATACTGTTTTACCCTTGTGTGTCTGTCTGTCTGTCTGTCCTTAACAAATTTTTCGTCGCAGTTTTCTCAGCAACTATTCATCGCAGATGCTTGAAATTTTAACACAATCTTCTCCGAGACATGCCATACGGTGGGATACATTTTTGTTTAAATCCGATGTCAACTTCCTGTTTGTCCGTGCATCTGTCGGTTGCATACATAACAAATTTTCGTCATAGTTTTCTCAGCAACTACTCATCGCAAATGCTTGAAATTTTAACACAGTCTTCTCTGAGGCATGTCATACGATGGGATACATGTTTGTTTAAATCCGATGTCAACTTCCCTTTTGTCTGTGCATCTGTCCGTTTCATACATAATAAATTTTCGTAGCAGTTTTTTCAGCAACTACTCATTGCAGATGCTTGAAATTTTAACACAATCTTCTCTGAGGCATGCCATAAGGTGGGATACTTTTTTGGTCAAATCCATTGTCAACTTCCTGTTTGTATGTGCGTCTGTACGTTTCATATGTAACAAATTTTTCGTCACAGTTTTCTCAGCAAGTACTCATCGCAGATGCTTGAAATTTTAACACAATTTTCTCTGAGGCATGCCATACGGTGGAATACATTTTTGGTCAAATCTGATGTCAACTTCCTGTTTGTTTTTGCGTCTGTCCATTTCATACATAACAAATTTTTTGTTGCAGTTTTCTCATCAACTAATCACAGCAGATGCTTGAAATTTTAGTACACTCTTTGTCGAGGCATGCCATATGGTGGGATTAATTTTGATATGAATCTGATGTCAACTTCCTGTTTGTCTGTGCATCTGTCTGTAATGGAACTTGTGTATATTAACATGATAGTGTTTATTCACATCAGCGCGGAGGTATTCCTAGTGAGCATTGCCTCACAGATTTCTTGTTTAACCTTCATTTTTTATACTGGTATATGCCAAATAAAATCATTTATGTTCTAGATGGTTTGTTCAAACTGTCCATGGCCGCCATTTCTCCAGGAAGAAGTGGGAGGAGTTTGTTAAGGGCCGTCCGATTCCTGGCAGTGCTGTTGCATTTGCTGAGATAGAAGTTATGTTGTGCAGTATTCCAAACCGCCTGGATCTGCAGACAGAGAAAATGGAGGAGGAACAGGAGAGAGAGGGTGATGACCTCAAATTTATTTTTTTATTTCATAATAATTATATAAATGTACATTTTCATCAATGTAATTATACATGTAGGGTTATGGAACACTACCTTACAAAAAAAAAAATATTTTAGATCGATTAAGAAGAGAAAGGTTAGCAGAAGAAGAAGTGGCAAGGTTAAAGAAGAAGAGAGATGAGGAACGGAGAAAGCAAGAAGAGGTTTGCACTTCTTAATATTTAGTATTTTTGTCCCTTTAAAATAAAACCTTGAAAATTTCTTGAAACTACTATTATATATTTTTTCTCTTGCAGGGACAAAGGAGAGATGAAGAATTGCGAAGAAAAAGACAACTTGAAGATGAAGGTATGTAATCTTAACAAAGCCATAAAAAGCATATCAAACAAACCAGAGGTCTTGAACTATGAAGCTGTCTTTTAAATAATGATTTATTTCTCCCATTTTGGTAAAAGTGAAATATTCAGACAATAACTTTTATCCTATGAGAGTTCTCTTTAGCCCTTTCTGACTGTGTCAATTTCCTAGTTGTGTTTAGAATTCTCTCTTTTGTAGTTTTGATGCAAGATTTAATGGATAAGTGATTTTAAATGGTTCAAGTAAAGAAAGATTTATTTTCTTTATGTCAGTTAGGTTTAAAGACCTCTTGTAATATGTAATTACATGTAAATAAGTTGGATATCTGTAAATGATAACACTAACAATTCTATGAACTAAAATAAATTAGAAAGAGAAATCAGCACAGAACTAAATGAGGAGGAGGAGGAAGGAGAAGAAACCGAGGAAACCGAGGAAGAAATTCGTCACCGAGGTCAATCAGTGCAAAATTTGATTGATGTGTCGGTTATTAAGGCCTCAGGATTGAAGCTTAGCATGCCAGAATTTATAATTATTTGAATGCAATATTTTTTTTACGATGCTTTGTTTGGTATAAAGTCATGAGCATCATTTATTTGTTTGAGCTGAAGGTTTTGTGTCATGTGCACTTGAATGTGATTTTTCAGCAAGTCTTCTAGTATATAGAAAAGTATGGTTTTATTGCATGTTTCAACACAATCAAAATCACTTGTATATAAAATGAGTAACTTTGACTTTTATTCTGTGTTTATACAGCACTTTATGATAAAACCAGAGGTTAAGTATAGGCCACTGCATGATCATTTAGATTTCATATACAGATTATGTAACAAGGAAATGTATAATATATATAATTGTGTATCTCTCTGTCTATATATACATCTGAAATCACTTTAGTTTTCAATCCTAGAAATGTACTTTCCAGTAAGACATTCCTCAGTTATATCCCTTTATCCAAGTAGTTATAAGAGTTAGTTGAATGCAGTAATGATTATAGTGTAATTGATACACTTAATAAACATAAAACATTAGAAGGTTAAGTGCATGTATTTCTGTCAGACTATCCATTTTACTGTATGAGTATGACTGAAGTGATTAAGTTTAATAATGCCTTGTATATTACACAGAGAGACAGAGACAAGAGGAAGAAGAGAGAAGAAGGAGGGAGGAAGAGGAGGTAACTCTAGCATGAATTTTCATGATCCTACAGTACTTCAGTGTCATTTATAAAATTTGTTAATTTTGTTACAAGGTTTCAAGATAATTTTCTACTACATTGATATTTCAAAGAAATGTGTAATGTTGGAAGCTCACTCTTCTTCTGGATATCTTGTAGGAATTGGAACGATTAAGGGAGTTGGAGAAAAAACAGAGAGAAGAGGAAGAGAGGAGGAAAAAAGAAGAAGAAGAGCTATATAAAGATGTGGAAAAATTCGCTAAGGTCGAAACTCTAATGCTCTATTGATTATTTATTACATATTACAAAAAAAATGTTATATCTGATCAATCGAGTAAGTTCTCACCATAAAATATATTTCAACAAGGAGCAATTTTTCCTTTGAATAGTGTTCTCTACTTTTTTGATGTACAGTTACTTATGCTTAATATTATTATTATGAAAAAAGAAAGATATTTCCTTTATACTTGTGTATAGGATGCTGAAGAGAAAGAGAAGAAGACAAAAGAGGAGCTGGATAAACTGAAGAAGAAGGGAGGTTCTGAGGAGGAGCAGAGGAGGTTACGTAAACAGTTACAAGGTCAGTTACTGAGGTGTTATATAAACAGTTACAAGGTCAGTTACTGAGGTGTTATATAAACAGTTACAAGGTCAGTTACTGAGGTGTTATATAAATAGTTACAAGGTCAGTTACTGAGGTGTTATGTAAACAGTTACTAGGTCAGTTACTGACGTGTTATATAAACAGTTACAAGGTCAGTTACTGAGGTGTTATGTAAACAGTTACAAGGTCAGTTACTGAGGTGTTATATAAACAGTTACAAGGTCAGTTACTGAGATGTTATGTAAACATAAAGAGTTACAAGGTCAGTTTCAGAGGAGTAACATAAACAGTTACTAGGTTAGTTACTGAGGTGTTACATATACAGTTATAAGGTCAGTTACTGAGGTGTTAGGCAAACAGTTACAAGGTCAGTTACTGAGGTGTAACATAAACAGTTACTAGGTCAGTTACTGAGGTGTTACATAAACAGTTACAAGGTCAGTTACTGAGGTGTTACATAAACAGTTACAAGATCAGTTACTGAGGTGTAATATAAACAGTTACTAGGTCAGTTACTGAGGTGTTATATAAACAGTTACTAGGTCAGTTACTGAGGTGTTACATAAACAGTTACAAGGTCAGTTACTGAGGTGTTATGTAAACAGTTACAAGGTCAGTTACTGAGGGGTTATGTAGACAGTTACAAGGTCAGTTACTGAGGTGTTACGTAAACAGTTACAAGGTCAGTTACTGAGGAGTTATTTTAAACAGTTACAAGGTCAGTTATTGAGGTGTTACATAAACAGTTACAAGGTCAGTTAATGAGGTGTTATATAAACAGTTACAAGGTCAGTTACTGAGGTGTTACACAAACAGTTACAAGGTCAGTAACTGAGTCCAATAGACTGCTACAATACTACAGAGTGGGGACGAGTATCAAAAACTGTTATAAGATCGGTTTCCCAGGTCCAATAGATTACTACAGTGAATTAGAGTGGGTTCCAGTAGTTCAAAATTAGTCTCAAAGATAGATGAATTCTATTGAAAGTATTAATATTTCTAATATGAACTTTCAGATTTCAAATTCATATTCAGCATTTTCTTGAAGCAAATGCATTTAGTACTTTACTTGTAAACAATTGATGTAATTTCAAAACTAGATGAAAGGCACAGAAAACTACGGTACAATTTGAAAGTGGCAATCAAAAGTCGGGATCGGTACCAGCTGGACTACAACATCACAGAGTTCAAGAAGGAGAAGCTAGAAGATACAGACATGGACCTGAAGAAAGCAGAGAAAATTCTGAAGGAACTCCTCGTCAGAGACGGTTTGTGTCTTCAGTCATTAGATGTTATTCTTTATGTGAATTACTTAACATTAGGATTTTCTATACAATTTTTATTTATTTCATGTTAAATAGGCTAATTCTATTTGGTAAAAAAAAAAAAAAATGAAGATATTTGCATCAAGTTTGTAAATCTGGAAATAATTTTCAAACATTGAAATTCTGCTTTAATTTATTTCATATATTACACTTTCTTTCAGAGAAATGTATGGATACTATAAAAAATAACAATAAAACCATATTTTTAACTACTATTTTAGACTTACATCGTGCTATGACAAAACGAGAATTAGAAGAATTAGAGAAGGCAATCAATGCAGTGAAGAAGCATGGATTGGAAGTTCCACTGGCCAAGGAGCTAGGCGAGGCTAACAAGCTGTTTACACGACTGAAGCGGCTGGAGCGTATCCGTCACGAGATCCTGGAGCTGAAGCAAGCGACTGTAGCGGAGATCAGAAGTTATCAGAACCCTCCCCCCATGGTTCACAAGATCATGACGGCAACCTTCTTATTACTTGGCCACCAGGAAAAGGAAACCAAGGTTATTATTTTGGGGCCATCAAATGTAAAATTTCTAACTCTTTGATTGATAATTTACAGGTTTTAGAATTTGATTGTCTTAGTATTTTTTGATGTGAAGGTTGTGAAATTTGCATTTTCTAAACAATGGTTAGTATTTTTTGCAATGGTATGAAATTATTATTTGTGCATATAAAAAATATTGAGTCTCTAAAAGCTCTGTCACGCATATTTTCTGGGCAATATAAAGAGACAAGACTTGTCACTATCTTTACTAAAATGAATGAACTTTTCAAATGAATGGAATGTTAATGTATAATTGTAGATTTGGAAAGCTGTCCAAGCTTTGGTGGGAAAAACAGGAAAGGAAAGCTTGAAGAGACGCTGTATTGAATGCAAGCCTGAAAACATTCCACTGACCCCAGCAAAGAGGGCTAAGTCACTGTTAGAAGAATTTGACCTTGAGGAGGTCAGGGACGTGTCAGCTGGCGCGGCCACTTTCTATGTCTGGGTAAGAGTCCCTGGACTGTTTGACCGAACTGTTACTATATAATTAATTTCTATCAGTTGTATTTTATTTTCTTTCAAACTTTTCTCTATATTTTTGGAAAGTTTATAATAAACTTACCAAATATAAATCTTTTATTTACTGCAAGTAAAATTTTTAGAAGGTATTTTTTTTTTTGCAATAGCTACTGTGTTAAAATCCAAGATTTATTTCTGTTCATAACTCTGATATTTATTAAAAGGCCTTGTGAAAAATAACTGATATTTTTAAAAGGCCTTGTGAAAAAAAAAAGTAAACATAGCATAAATGCTCTGTCTCTCAGTTTTAAAATTATTAAATAATCTTTCATTTTTTTCCCATTTAAAAAAAATCAATTAATGGAAAAATCTATAGGTTACGAGTGTTGGTACATGTAACTTTAGAAATGTTTAGATGTATGTAATATGTATGTAATATCCAAAAATTATATTGTCTAATACATTATTACTCAATAGCAATGTATTTAAGAAATGACTGATTATATGGGTATAAATAATAGTCCGTTGTCCTGGGATTTTTTCCTGTTGCCCTGAAGTGATATCAAGGTAAAATAAAATGTAGGATGGATTAACAGATAGTCAACAGTGTTCCTCATGAGTCGGTCTGCGCTCTGTGACATTATTATTTATTTACAAATTTTCTGTTAGAACATGGTCCATATTTTAATCAGTAACTTAATTATTATTAATACTTTAATCTGAGGATCTCATACTTCCTTAATCCAATTGTTCGTACATAATCACTAACTTTATTCTTTTACACATTTAATTGTAATCTTAATAGAGTGAAAATGAATTTTGCCTAATTTATCTCCTTAGTAGTCAGAAGGTTTTGTGGAAGCTATTGTGGAACTCATTTTAATTCCCCTGAGCTAATCATGTGACCTGCTGCTGTTTTTTTCCGCCGTTGGTGTGTTAACATTTGAACATTTTCTATAATTCCTCTGGAGCCACTAAACCAGTTTCAACCAACCTTGGCATATAGCAACTCTGACTAAAGGTGTACTTCTGGACATGATGCATTTAAACTGCTGGCGTGAATAAAATAAGCATGAAGATCTGTAGAAAAATATGAAACTCATGGTCCCAGGTTCAGGGTTCTGGTGTTACAATGTAGTTTGGGCTCTATGGATCAAAATGCCAAAAATGCATAAATTCTTCAAAAATTTTCTCCACCCATGTCGCCCTCCCCCTGTGTCAGAGGGGGGGGGGAAGGAATGGTTCTGTTAGTGGTATAGTAAAAATGAGTATGACATTATTCTCTGAAAAATCTTGTCTGTTCTTGAGTACATGAGGAAGAGAGCTTGCTTGTTCTGAATTTATGGCCCCTAAGACAGGGTTTCTGGTGTAAGGGTGACACTCCATTATCATTTACAGTGGAGCCTCATTTATCCGGACGCTTTGGTTCCCAGTCAATTTGTCCGGATATGTGAAGCATCCGGATATCTGAATCACCAGTTAAACAAGACAAAATAACATTAAAATTTTCGTTCCGATGAAAAATCGTCCGTATATTGAAGCATCCGGATATCTGGCGTCCGGATATCTGAAGGTCCACGGCACTGTATTAGAAAATTTCCCATGCTACAAGAATTATTTAATTATTCATTATTTCAAGATTTCTATATAGGGTTGTATTACACTCAGTTGACTATTATGGCCCTTAAAGTTTTTTTTTTCTAATAATCCTTTTTTTCTTAAAAAATGGAGGGTTTAAAAGTATTGCCCTCTTGCATTTGTCGATGAAGACAAAATATTTTGACATTAACAATGAATATTTATTTTCACAAACAGGTAATTTCCAGAGGTAATACATTCCCTGGGTGAAATATTATCTTCTTTGGAACTGAAGGAATGTGATGATTTCTGTTCATTTATTTTTTAAATTGACAAGTTAAATTTGCGTAGTTTGTAATATTCAGACCATAAAACCTAAGAAACAAGAACTTTAGGTGGTACATGTACATGTATAATAATCACCCTGGGTAGGAGTTTGGGGTATGTGTCTCCATGTACCTTTTGGAAATATTTCTATTATCATCATGATCAAAGTCTAAAACAGGTTAATTATTGGAAATCAACTTAAAGTTATGCATGCAAATCCAAGTTTTATAAAAAGAAGAGATTTAGTACAGAATAAGTGCTTGAGAGAGAGAGAGAGAGAGAGAGAGAGAGGGAGAGAGAGAGAGATGCCTAAATCTAGAGGAAGGTTTTGCCTAGACCTAGGACGAAATAAAAACCTAGGACCCCACCCCAGGTAACACAGATCTATTGTAATTCGACTTAGCCTAGTTGTCGAAAATTTTTCAAAGTTCGACCTTTTACCCCCCCCCCCCCGGGTAAAAAAATCCTGGATCCACGATGAGAGTCCAGGTTAAAAGAGAAGAGAATCTCGCTAAATGCGCGTCACTTATACGTACATCCGTGATAATCTATAAGTGCATTTGCACTTCTTTGACTACATGTGTACTCTTCTTTTCTGGTGCTTACAGTTGTGAGTTGGATGTTGGAACAAATACACGTAATCAGATTCTGATTATATCTAATTTTTAGGTAGATTTGAAGATGAGTCCTTTTTATCAAAGTAACTTAGGTTGGGGGGATCTTTCAGATTCTTTCTATTTTTGACTATCAAGCGACGCGCGACAAATAGAAAATTTTAAGAATTAAACATCATGAAAAGTATTCTTGTATAAGAGTAAAAAGAAGTGTTTTTATTATTTATTTTTGTTCTAGGCTTCGGCAATGATCGAGGAGTTAGAGGACCTAACCGCCCAAAAGGAAGCAGCAAAGAAAACAGCGTCTTAGTAATAATATATATATATATATATATATATATATATATATATATATATATATATATATATATATATATATATATATATATATATAAAAAAAAAGATCCACGAAGCAAAAATTTGCTGAATGAACTTTTCTACGGAGTACTTTTAGAACTGATTTATAGCTTTTCTGCAGCAATCTGACATTATCCCCATTCCTGACCCCCGTTACCTCAGTACAACCAAGTGAAAACCACGGGAAACAGCAGGTTTTTATTGCTACATGGACAGAAAATTCGAAGGAATTTATTTTTGCTGAACTAATCAAAACCTATTTATTTTTGACATGGCATCAAGACCTTGAACGAAACGCTGATTTCAGTTCAACATCCTTTCGGATTCCCTCGCTTATTCCGTCCACATAGTCTACATTATTGGCAGCATAAGGGAATCCCAATTACGTGTTAACCCTTGCCTTTGTGTTTTTTTTCTAAGGAAAGTACTTGACGCCTTTTAACTGATATTTAAATTGGTGCTTGTGCCCTAACTATTTGGATAAATATCTCAAGGACCAATCTTTTTCTTTGAAAACAAGTTTCCTAAAGTGGAGTGACATATTTACATCGCAATTAATATTTTCAGTTTCATAGGTTAATGTTAATTATATACATGTGTAAGAAAGCTGGTTCTTTCCTCTATTTTAATATTTTGTTTCATTTATATGAAATATATTTCTCGAAATATACTGTTAATAGTAATTTAATAAATATTTCAAAAAATTAAGAGGTGTCAAATTTTTTGCTGATTGACCTAAATGGAAAACAATGGTTAGGGAGGATATATATTGACAGCATCATGAATACTGTTTGTAAGCAAATTTTTAAACTTTTAAATATCCTAATATAAGTATTTAGGGTTCTATATTCTTGATCTTTTTTTAAAATCGAATTTTGACAAGGATTTGTACATTTCGTCCACTTTTCCATGCTCATGACGGAGGAAGATGAGTTCACTATACGTCTTATTTAGTAGATAAATCTGTATGCCCGTCTCGGCAAATTCTTCGTATTCACCGGATTATTAAATTGGAATGAAGAACTAATTTCAACTCAAAGATATATTTCAGTAACATATGAAAAATATCCAGGTAAATCTTTTAATTATATAATTTAACTGATTGCATTGATAGTTGCTCAAACACTGCCCTATATTGTTTTGCTATGCATATAACAAAATCCCAGCAATGCACTTCTGCTTTCACAAACACCCACACGCTGTAGGTATTATGTTTGGAACATTGTGATGAATCACAGTTGAATTGATTGTTATTAGCATAGATTGGGAAGCAAACGAAATTGGGGAACAACATGGCGTCATTTCCCGCCTTTCTTTGGGTGTAGCGACGTCAGAATGCCTGTAACTTTGTATCATTCGACTGTGTTCACTGTGGGCATCTATTTCATCTGGAATGGACAAGGTATGCTAATTAAAATTTATACCAACTTTCATTCATTTAATTTCCATTATTTGGTTAAATTATACCTAACACAGATACCGTATCTTTCCATAAAGGATTTTCCTCAAATGGAATTTAAACCTTTGCATCAAAATGTAAATATCTGAGTAAAAATGATACATGCCGTTACAAGAACCTCGACAATAAGCATAGTGTAACTTTTTGGGGGCCACAATTCCAGTCCATCCGATTGCATCAAAATTGATCTCCATAGGCATCAGACAGCAGCCCTCATATCCAATCGAACACTGCACAGGCGTCGATCGCCTCACGCGCCTCCGCTCTCTGACGCCTTTTCTGGTCTTTATGGCCAAAAATGGCATGGAATCATATTTAGAACTGAATATTGTCTTATGGTTTTTTCGTTGACATCCTTTACACAATATAGAAATGCCGTCATTTCTTCTCGGTTTCTGCAACCACCGAACAACGGTTTCTGTGACGTCAATTTTCAGCCATCCATGTTTGATTTTGGTCTCAAACCGTTTTATGATATTACGTGGACGAACCTTTCTCTCGGCTCTGTTAGATCTGCCAAGTTCTGAGACAACAAATGTTTGTATAAAAGGGTCTCTGTGATAGAAAAGTTTATATATCCAAAGTTCTGCATTTACAACATCGCTGGCGTCTACTTTTCCGTTTACGTCAAAATAGTAGCAACCTGCAGATTTACGATAGCTGCAGTGCTCCGTTTCTGAAATAAAATAAAATCAAGATCACTAAATACAACCAACGTACATGTGTATAAAGGCATATTATTTTTAAGTGACATTATTTATTAATTGTATATAAAACCAGCGGCGACACACATCTCATAATTTGGAATGAAAAAAAAATCAACAATGAATTAAGATAATTTAAATTTGCTATTTTTTTTTTTTTTATTCTTCCTTTGATAAGTAAAATTGGCAGGAGCCATATCAGAGTAATTGCTGATTACTTTTGAATACTAGTAGTCTAGTATACATGCAGTCGGGTTGGCACAGATCACAGGCTCCTAAAGCGTGGATCCTGGCATATAAAGCACATCTCTTCATACACAGCTCCCATACTTAACTTCCAACAGATAAATATCTACATGTATTTTGTTCAAATAAAATTTAAAGAATAGCTCGATATTTATGCAGCTTAATAGAGGAGGGAGGGGGCATGAAGAGATGAATGTTATCGCACTTAATGTTCATGTGCCACGGAACTACATGTGACAAGACGAATACAGTCGAATACAGTTTACATTTGTGAAGATTAGACATCGAAAATGTGTTTGATTTTCTTTTCTGACAGAGTTTGTGATATGTTAGAATAGATCAGTTCAGAAAAAATGGGGAAAAAGTGTCAAAATGTGATTTACTAAATGCTTACGATTGGAGAAATTCGTCACTGTAATATAATAACATACTCTTTATGTTAATTGCTTTTCATAGATAACATCATTTTTGGATTGCAATAACTGTATACGTAGAAAAAATTTCAAATGGTCAAATACTTCACAAATCCTAGTAAACAATTTCTTGTTTGGATTTTTTAAATGTTTATTACTGAAAATCACTAAATTTTCGCGACATTTTATTTACGCGAGTAAGCTGTTTGGAAAAACGAGAAAAAATTTTCGCAAGCTTTGGACATTTTTGTTCCTTACTTATTCAAATATACGCGAGAATCAATCTGATATTAGCGTGAATACTTACCTGCGTGAATAAAGTTCCCGGGAATAAGAAATGATTTTCAGTAGTTGGAAAAAACCCGTAGATTAAACAAATTTTTTCTTACCGTCTTTGCCCATGACGTAGAGTTGCAAGGTCTTGGCGTAAAAGTGATGGGCCTTGTATTTGTTCTTCCCCTGGTCGTGTTGAGTATGTAGATACCCCCTCCCTAGCTCCACGAGCGGCAGGACTGGGGTCTGACCATCAGCTACAGGAGGGGAGGAAAGTCGTAGTTTTGTCATTAACTGTTTCTTAATAAATTCGAGGTGCATATTTTCTTCTGCATTGAGTTCTTCTTCTGGCGACATTGGTAATCCAGCTTCTTTACCGATTTCTGCTTTAGTTTCATTTACACTTGAATTTGTTTTACTTGAGTAATTTTCCTGTACTGTCGATTCGTTATCATTTTCTTCTGCATCACTATTAGATGTAACGTTTTGTTTGGTAGTCAAATTTCTTGATTCTTTCGCCGTTTCATTGTGTCCTACTGTTTCAACCGTTTTTATTCCAAGTAATTCTGAGAAAAATAATGAATTGCTGCAAGGCACAATGGTCAGCAAAATAAGGCTAAAAACACTGAAAACGTAGACAACTTGCTGTGTCATTTTCTTCCTTTTTGCTGAGCACAACTTGTTGGCTAGTTGGACATTTAATAATAACAAATAAGCAAATATTTGCTATTTTTACAAAAAGACAAAAATAATAGTTGGAGGTGTGGCAAATTGCACCAATCAAATTTCGTTCTTGGAATGATACCGGTATCCCCACGTGATGTCTTGGAGGCCTTGCATCATCGCTCATATGGAGGGTCCAAAGGTTGTCGTTATGATAGTGATGCAACAAGCGTGGCTTAAAAACATATTTTCCTTTTCTGTGAATAGGAAATCTCAACAATTGTCAAATATTACAATATCCCTGTAAATTCACAATATAGCTTTTGGCAATTTACAAACACTTATGAATATTTCAGACGCACTTCAGATTAAATGTTCGTTTTCAGGTCAAGTCAAAGTAGGAATTAATATTTTAATCCCCTCATTACGTGTCCTATTTAAAATTTAAAATGAACAAAATAGACATACAAATCTTATCATTGTTGTATTTCTCCATTTAGACTTGAGAAGGCAATACTTTCTTGAGAATGAGTCATGAGTAAACAACAATTTTCTTGTCATTGAAGTTTATGAAACCAAATTAGCTAACACTTTCAATTCTGAAGACAAAGTATGTCATTACAAGAGAATTTTAGCTTTTCAAACAGTAATTACAGAGAAAAAGCCTTGAAAGTTCTCGAAATACCGGTATTTAAAGAGGGAAATAAGATGCATGTACAAACGCACACAATTTCGTACCCCTACTGTGCTAACGAGCTGCCTTTTTATTGTTGGTAAACAAACTCTTCAGTATATTTAGCATGATACATTTTTCTAAGCATTGAAGTTTAGTACCATGCTGGTTTGAACATCCTACGACTCTTAGATATGAAGCATAGCATCTTTATATCAATAACCATAAAGTAAAAAAAAAATGTCTGCATATGCTGTTGCCTTCAAACATAATGCAAGCACAAGGTTTTTTGAATGTTCTACAATAATTAATGGAATAATTTAGAGTATATACGAATTCAGGGAATCCGGATAGGGCATGTAGTTCACTATTGCATCATTGCACCATTGTGGTTTGGGTCGATTGAGCGATAACGCGATAATGAGGAAGCGATAGTGTCATGGCAATGATCGATGCAATGGGGATGACAATGCAATGAAGATGAAGCGATAGTGCGATGACGTGACGACGTGATAGCAATAATGCGATGGCGATGGTACAGATGACAATGAAGCGATGTTCACTACTCCTTCCTGCTACCGCACCATCGTCATCGCACTGTTGCACGATTATCGCGTTATTGGACCATCGCTTCATTGTCATGGCGCCATTGCATTACTAAATATCGAGCTATCGACTCCTTATCATCGATATTCGATGATGCGACAGTGAAGTACAAGCTAGGCCCTATCAGGATTAGTACGAATGTTTTGATACAACAAACACTGATGATGACTTGTGTACATAGATTGCAAAAAATACAACACAACCGAGTCATTGACTATCAATAAAACGACAAAATATATTTTGTACTGTCCTTTTATTTATCATACATATATTTGTTTTGCATCATTTATTATATATTACCAATACTTTTAAAACTGTTTCCTTTATAAATCTACGCTAAGCAGTCTAATATTTCCGATGTTTTACTGAGCGATCAACAAAATAGAGAGTTAGACTGCTGAGTGATATATTGGACCTGTCAATGAGATGTTGGTCTGTTATGACGTTTTTTACGTCACACAGTAGCCTGATCAACTATACCTTATCAATTAACGCAGAAATGGAAGTAAAAGCAAGATATATCAAGAAGTTTAAACAAAACATTATTTTCTGTGTTCTCGGGCAAAATGCACTTCGTCAACCCCTTAAACTAAAACAAATGCCTTCAGTCTTATGGCCTCGGAAAATCAGTTTGGTTAATATATTGGGTCCGAAAAAATGCATAATCATGTTGCCTTTAATTCCCCTTCAATAAATGCATGGTTTACACCAATTAACTGTAATTAGTACTGGAAATTGAAAGAAGTATTGGAAGAAATCGAAGTTCAATTCTATTTACTAGTACTTTGCATTAATATACTGAGTATAATGGTAAATAGATTCTTAATTGTATCTGGAAAAAATGACAGTAATTTCACTGAAAATTGACTGAATGGAATACAGTACATTGATTTATAATTGAAAAATGAATGAATTTTCCTTGGAAAAAGATTTTTCTTGGAAACACAGATAACTAAAATATGACTGATAGTTACTGAAAACTGACTGGTTATTGGGTCACTGAAATATGACTGAATGACAACTAAATGCTAACTGGATTGATACTGAAATATGATAATTGGTCACTTAAAGACTACTGATAGAACACTGAAATATGCATGACTGAATGGTTACTGAAATGTGTATGCTACGCAATCAACTTATAGAAGGATTCTTGTCTAGTTCTAACTAGGTAGTTAAAAAAACTTAAAACCTTGGCCAAAACATTTGAACAGTTATAGTTACAGCTTTTATATTTCACAGTGTAACTCTTGTGTCAATCTCATGCCTTTGGGTGTTAACAGTTTCAACCCTTTGACCTTGACCTACTTTTAAATAACCGGCTTTGGCAATGACTTTTGAAAGTTGGGGCTAGAGCTTTCATATCTCATAAACCAACAATGTTGACCTTTTGACCTTTATCTTGGAGTTTGACAGACTTTTGAAAAAAAAAATAATAATCCTGGCAATTCCTTTTCATTTGGTGCTTGGGCATTTTCATTTCATGGGTGTTTTCCTTGTGATAATACCTTTTAAGGTACAATTATTTTTAACTTTTCACCTTGGAGTTTGACTTAATTAATACATATGAGAAAGTTCAACCCTTGCCATGGGCTGCCATACCCTGGGATTGGTGATTCACAAACACAAATTTGTTTAATTATAAGTAGAAAAAAATCCTTTCATATTTAGACAAGTTGCATATCTAATTTGTGACCATAAAGCATCAGAAAATTAATTTAGAGGATACCAAATATTTGTTATCATTCTGGTCTATCTACAGTGTATAATATTAAATGATAATAAAATTTCAAGTCTGTAAATGGTCTTTTAATAGAAACTCTATTGACTCTCACAATAAATATGTATTTTATCATTAACATATCAATGAAAAAATTGAAGGAAAAAACTCACAAAATCAGTCTAAAACTACATGTATACCTCATAGGAACTCTGAAGACAACAAAGAAAATAAATAAACCAGTTCCTACTGGGACATGTGGAGATTTCCTAATGATTTCTGCTGGTTAACCTAACACTGTGGGGTCAAGTACAGTTGGATTGACATACTTTTAATTCTGCTTGCAAAAACTACATTAAGAGGATTTGATCAGCAGAGATTTGTTTATAAATGTGTGATATTGCACTACACACATGTTTGCACTATTTTTGAAAGGTAATCAAATTATAGCTGACATGGCTTCATTACAAGATACAAGTTAGCATTGTCAAGCAATTGCTCATTGGAATCAAAGAGCATTAAAACAATGTTACAATAATTCAAAAACATAAGGCAAAGCTATGCAAAAATTCTACATTTTGTTTTTCCAACATCCATAAAAATTCTAACATATACAATTTTACTACAATGTAATCTCAATGCCGATATCTGGAATATTTGGGATATGTTGAAAAATTGGAAGCTCAAAAAAACCATTTCTGTAAAATACACATTTTGATATTGTCAAACTTCCCGTTTACAGAGTCAGAAAACAACTGCAGGGAAATAAAAGGTGTCATATTTTTTACTTGAAAATAATTTTTTTCAGCCCCAACATGTTCAAGATAAAGAGGGTTGACTGCATGTGACGTGGAAAAGTTACGTGCACTAGATTTTACATTATTTATGTATTTTCAATATAAAAAATTTGTCATAATTTGCCATGCATGCTTAAAAAATATTTTATAATGCACACTGATCAGGTTTGATAAAAACTCCCAAAACAAAATGCAAGTAATCATGAAAGTGAAAGCAAGAACACTTGCAGATATAAACTGTAATATGTACAATATCATTAGAATCACAGCATCTTCAAAATCTTTCCATAATGGCAAAAGGAACAATTTTTTTCTCTAGATAGTTAAGTATAACACCACAACTATAGCATCACCATACCTGCTTTATAATATAACATCACAGCACCTGCTTCACATCCTAACTATAACAGCACCTGCTCTGCTACACACTATAACACCACAGCACCTTCTTCACACCTTAACTAAACACCACAGCACCTTCTTCACACCTTTATAGTAACACCATAGCACCTCCTTCACACCTTAACTATAACACCATGGTACCTTCTTCATACCTTTACAGAAACATCACAGCACCTCTTTTACACCTTCACTATAACACCACAGCATTTTCCTCCCACCTCTACAGTATCATCACAGCACCTTCCTCGCACCTTTACAGTAACATACAGTATCTGTTTACTCTTCACTATAACACCACAATACCTGCCTCGCTATACACTGTAACATCACAGCACCTTCTTCACACCTTTATGGTGACATCACAGCACCTTCTATACACCTTCACTATAACATCTCAGCACCTGCTTCACTTCTTTACAGTAACACCACAACACCTTCTTCACATCTTCACCATAACACCACAGCACCTACTTCACACCTTTACAGTAAAATCACCGCACCTGTTTTACATCTTCACTATAACACACCTTCTTCACACCTTAACTATAACACCACAGTACCTTCATTGCACCTTCACTATAACACCACAGCGCCTTCTTTGCACCTTCACTATAATACAACGGCACCTGCTTCACACCTTGGTGTAGGCATGGCTGGTAGTTCATGCCAGCAGTTTAAGATAGGGTCGAAGCATTCCATACTGTTGATAGTCTCGTTACAGCTGAACATATCTAGTCTGACAAAGAACTGCCGACCTCCCATCACATACAACAATCCATTCACACTGACTGAACAAGGCGCAGTCCTCTTCTGATTCATGTCTGGCACTGCCTCCCATACACTCTGTGAACAATGACAATAATACCGGGTATATGGCAGGTAATACATACTTGGATTTTTAAGTTTCATATATGAACCTTCACTTATTTACAACTACATGTATTAACATTAGGAAATAGTCACCAAATCCTTTTATAAAATACACGTACAATTGTGCATCACAACATAGCATCCTTGTGCATGCAAGCCCCAAAAGAAATGAATTAATCATGATCTTATATTCATTACTTTTTAAATCTTTAAAATTATACTCTGAAAAAAATATATAATCTGCAAACAACATAAAACAAGAAAATTAAAGACTTTTTCCTAACCTCTTCTGGTGAGTACCTCTCCACTGATGCCAGGTCCCCATCCCTGGTGTTGAATCCCCCCATCACATAAATGTAGCCATTGAGAGTGGCCACACTGGCATTGGCACGGGGTGTGTTCAAGGGAGGTAACTCCTCCCATTCCTTGGTCACTGGGTTAAAACTTTCTACTGTAGTCAGTTCTGACCCGAATCCATAGTCCTTATCCATTCCACCAATAATGTAAATTAGGCCTGAAATACAAATTTTATACATGTAATAATTGTTATAGTGAAATGACAGTTCAAAGATGTATTTTGCATTCAAGTAAATTAGAATTTTCATTTTTCTCTCTACAGAGTTCCCTCTCCATTTCAAAAAATATTTATCCAAAAAATGTTTTATTTCATTATAATCATGATATTTATTCATTAACTCTTAAGCATCAACATTAATAATACTCACCATCTAACTCAGTAACAGCTGTTTCAAATCTCAGAGTTGGCATTTTACAGACTACCATCCACTCATTTGCCGTGGGGTCAAACTTCTCCACTGTGCCTCCCAATTCAGTCCCCACCCATCCCCCAAAGGCATAAAGACAGTCTCCTAGAGAAGCTAAGCCATGCCCGCAGCGTGGTTCTGTGAGGGGAGGGGCTGTGGACCACTTTCTACTGATGGGGTCATAACATTCCACCAAGTCATAAATGAGGGACTCATTCTCCCCACCCACTACATATATCTGTCCATTAATGACTGCAGAGCCCATGTGGTTTCTGGGATACTGTAAGCTTGGAATGGTCTCCCATTCATGAGAAAAGGTATCAAATTTTTCCACAGTTTCTAGTGTATGAATGTCACTCCACCTTCCACCTTTTGCGTGGAAGTATCCACCTATCACATAAATGCTTTTTCTTGCCGACTTTCTTGGTTGGACTAGATGAGGTTTAATGAGCCTTAAGTTCAATTTATTACACAACTTCCTATCACTCATCAAGTCTTGTGCAAATTTTTTCACGGCTATCTTGATACTTAAATCATAGCATTCCTCCATAGCCTCCTCAAGCTCAGTCTCTGATATAATGGGGAACCTGACATTGTTAAGGATATTGAACACAGATAACTTTCTGTTTTGTGGGTCATGTAGAAGCCATCTCAATGCAGCCTTGAGGACCTCTGTTTCAGAAGGCACACACAACTGTTCACTTTCTAAGAGCTCGACAACAAGATTTTCACTGAGCTCTAAATACTCCTCTTCCTGAGATGTGGATACAAAATTCTTGTGGATAAATTTTTCAGCATCATTTTTCAATTCTGAACAGGAATGAATATCAGCAAACTGGTATATACCTGAAAGAAATAGAAAATTAGTAACCCAATGGCTAAAATTTAGCAAAATACTGAAGAAAGAAAAATTGGAAACTACACATATACGAGGGTTGTTCGAAAAGTTTGTGGACGATGTCCATCTTCGTTATATTACTCACTGGAAATTTAAAACAAGCACATTATAATATGTAAAAATATTTGTTTTGTTGATGTGTGAAGTTTTATTCCATTCGATTTAACACAAATAAATTTAATACATTTTAAAATCAATATGTTTTGTACCCGCGGAGCACACAAAACGGCAATGTAACGTCAACACATAGCGTCGAGAATTTATAATAGATACTATCCCTATACATTTCACACAGAATATTCCAATGCCCATTCATTAAATTCTTTTCTAATACTTGACATTTATTTTTTAATAATTGATCTCATTGTATAATTTCATTTGTTAAGGTTTTAATTTCTTTTAGAACTTAACTCTGCTTTCACAGGACAAGCAACTCTGAAGCGCCTTTGTCTTTCATTTACGTTTTGAACAAATTTTAAAGTTTTGTTCAGATGTTTACAGTAAAACCGTTTCTCCACAGGTCATCCTCATCTGATACAGAGTCTCTGTCACTCAAATAATGCCTGTACTATGCCTGTACACACATGCACAACTCGCTTGTAACATATTTTCTTGATTCCTTCAACATTTTTAGAGTTTATTCAGGATTTTTCCTATGAAAAACACAAAATTGCTTCGGTATTTGCTGCTCCGTGACGTTCTAAAACGTCATCGTTTTTGTCGTTTTCAATAAGGACTACTTATCTTCCCAAATTGATTTCTTTCCAATAAAGCAAAATATAAAACCATGATTTGGTGCACGTATCGACGTAACAATTCTTAATTTGAATTTCTAGGTAGTTTTTCGTTTTTCCTCCATTTTACAGAGAATATGACTATAGACATTATTTATTGTATTATCTGTAACTGACTTAATTTCGACCTGCTCCGCGATCCGATTTTTGCATTTTTAAAATCTCGATAAGTTTTTATTCAATCATAATATTTTGTCAAAATTAATACATATCGTTTGGATTTATTGTTAAAATATTTCTTCCAAATTTGGATAACATATGACGTCAAATAAAAAAGATATGCCAGTTGTCCACGAACTTTTCGAACAGCCCTCGTATATGAAATATTAGCAAAAAACTTATCCTCCTTCTATTCATATTAACAGATATCTTTTTTTTATTGGATCAAAATTTAAAGTTGAATCTTTGTAGAGGACATATCCACATCATTCATGATTGCCATTAGCATAGGGTCTCAGTATGAAACTTAATAGGTATTATTAGTTGATAATAACTTACCAACACAATTATGGCAGTCAAGATGTTTCTGTAAGAACTTGGTGCATTCACTGACTACACATGTAATTCCAAACATATCCGCTGCTGCTAAAACATCCTGGCAGTTATCCCAGGTTATGTCAATCTCACCTACAAATAAATCACAAAACTTGTTCAAAGGTTCAACAAAGGCCATATTTGGCTATGTTATACTGGGAAAAAACTAAAACGCTTCAATTTTAGTGGCCATTATGATAAAATATTAAAATGAACAGGCTTTAAATACTGTATAAGCAGAATTTTTAGTGCTTTAGATTTAATTGGGTGCAGAGATCACTAAAATTGAAAACCACTAAAAATCATTTGCACTTTAGTTGAAATAGCTTCTTAAGTGAGCATTATAAAATCGATAAAATTACTTCTCGCTAAAATTTAAATACCTAATTTCAAGGACAAATTGCTAAAATTTCCACTTAAATGGTGTTCAATAACAAAAGTTCGAAAAATTTTAAAGTACATGTACATAGGGCCAATATATGTATTGTAAATGAATATAACTTTCCAAACCTGTATAGATGAATGTTAATAGTGATTGAAATGTCGAGGGGGATATGTCATGTAGAGTGATGCGCTTGTTTTCCACATCATACATAGCACTAGAGAACATGGCCCTGAAGTACTGTCCGCCGGCAGCCAGGACGACTTGATGAGCCTGGAATGTTTCTGTTGAGACCTGGATACTGATGTCACAAAACAGCTGAGAGTTTAGCAATTGCTTCAGATTGTTCATAAACTGTGGGTTGTAGCTGAAAGAGATTTCAAAGTGAAACCACACAAATTGTTTTTGCTTGATGAAGAAAAGCATTTTTGCTAAGGCTTAACGGTCCATTTCCCTCCTCATAAACAGCAAAGTGGTATGAAAACCCTCTGGCTAGTGAAATGGAATGAAATAAAGGACATATGTTTCAGAATTGTATACTGTAAATTCTTAAATATACGCATGGAATTAAGTACTGCGTAATTTCACGAGAATCACCACACGCAAAATAAAATTACTCAACTTTATTTTTATGGTGCTGAAATCTATGTAAAATCTCTTGATCAACAGTCCATTCACGAATCATTTTATCGCAATTTGATGTTGAAGAGCCCTTTGCGATAATAAGTACTCGCAAAAAATAAGGAATCTACTGTAATAGCTAGGAGGGCTGGGCATTTTTATGGAAATTATTTTATTACTCCTCAAAATTAACAACCCCTGGTGACATAAATGCAGGGAGGAACGAGGCTGTCAGAAAAATTTAATTGCTGGTGGCCAGAAAGCTCAGTTGGTATGGCACTTGACTGGAGATTCTGTGATCGGGGTTCGAATCCCAATCTGCCCTGTCTTATTTTTCTCCTCTCTCTTTACAGTTCAATTGACAACCCTGGCCTTGCAGATGAAAATAATTAAATCACTACAGATGGCACAGGACTTTTGGGTAGAAATGTGTATTTTCAAGGACAAAGATAATTTAAGGAGATGTAGAGTTTTGGGCTTTATGAAGAACCTTGAACATCTGCCTGAATAGCTCTGTGTTATTGCAGACAGTCCTTTTGATTCCAGGAATCCTCATTGGCAGGCTTGGTCAAGGCTTGGAAAAAGTCAATTACTTTGAAATGTAATTAATTACTTTCAAATACATTGATAATTTTGTCAATTACTTGCAATTACAATTACATTGATTTTTTCAAATGTAATTAATTATTTTCAATTACTTTGAAAAATGTAATTAAATACATTTCAATTACTTGAGTTTTATTTAAAAAAAAAAAAAGAAAGATTTTTTTGTAAAAATAAGATTTTTTCTATAGTGAATTTTTATTGGATGTTTTTGTTCTTGGATATGACAGGGGTTCACACGTGGACCAATTTAGACCTTTACCGATAATGACTTGGGCAGTGTGACACACTGTATAAACAAATTAAATTAAACACTATGAGACATTTAATTATTGTAAAAACACAAGCTCATGCTACACCAGCATGGTGTATGACAAGAAGTTTGTTACTTTCTTGAATCCATATTTTTGAATAAAATAAATTAATATTTCTCACAAATCTATTCAGTATTTTCTATCTTAAAATGTATAGAATACATGCACATTTAAATCTTAAAGGGGATGTAGTTCATGTAGTTAGTCTATAATTACTGTAAAAACAAACTAACTATCTAAACCATCTATTGTTACTTGCAAGTGGGAATAGGTAGAATTGAGATTTTTAAAAAGTGGGAATAGGTAGTACATATATCCACCAGTGTAAAAACTGTGTATCAGTATATAAACTTTTTATAAAATTTCATTTTGAAAAAAGTAATTGAAATGTAATTGAAAAGTAATTGAAAATACATGACCTTTTTTGAAATGTATTTAAATACATTCAATTACTTGTAATTGAAAGCTCACTCAAATACAAATTACTTCCAATTACTTTGAAAAATGTAATTAATTACACTCAATTACAATTACTTTATTCAATTACCCCATCCCTGCTCATTGGTACATCCATCCATTTTCTCCTTCCCGATTACTTTACAAACGCATTTCCTTATACACAAACCTTTTAGAAATGTAATGTTCTCCATTATTAGCCATCTCTAAGTATCCTTAAATCTGGTGCTTTATCTACAAAAAAAGATGCAAACTCGAATTTTCTATAAAGTCTAGCAAGAATTAAAACACCTTATGCATTACATTAAATAAACATAAAGAAATAAACTGAGAATTTAAATATAATGAACAACTCATATTTATTTTTTGTGCTGTGAAGAAAAAAACTAATGAAAGTACACTGTAAGTGAAAACATTACCTATTTCCTATCTGGCTATCACCAACTTAATTCGTATGCGACAGCTCTGCCTGGTTATTGTAATGCGGATTTCCTCTACTGTTATTATAATACTATGCATGATAAATCTCGAGAGATATCGAACAGAAAAAGTCTTAATCTTTTGTGCGATTGAAAAAATGTGAAAGATCATGAGGCGAAAATATGTCAAAGAATAACATTGATCATCAGCTGGAAATTCTGAAAGTGAAACTAGAAAAAAATGCAGTTCTGCAAGCGTTTACCTCATAGATCTAGATGTAAATTACACTTTTATTTATCCAGACACTTCTCATCCGAAAAATGGGATGTCGTTAGTAACACTGAAGTACAACGATTTGCCAAGGATTGCATGACATGTGTGGGCACCAAGCCAGGGCACGCGGAGAGTCTAGCCGAAGTTCTGGTACAAGCAGACTACAGGGGGCACTACAGCCATGGGCTTAATAGATTAGGTAATACACCTCGGACTATATAAATTATTGATGTATTGATTCCAATACCTTTACAGATTATTTATGGACCATATTTATTTACTGCAGACAGGTAGATAAACTTCGAAAAATAAGCCTGACGTCTTCGCCATTAAATTAAAAATGTAAACAAATTAGGAAAACTCACATCTTAAAGTAAAATAAAATCCTTTATATTTCAAGGATTCATACAGTAAACATTGATTATTTCTGCATTTTTATATACATCAATTATAGATATGTATGTGAAAGACATACAGACTGGCATAACAGTCTCCGACAAAGAGCCAGTCATTATGAAGGAGGGTCCTGCCACTGCTTTTGTAGATGGACAGAATGCACTAGGTCCAGTGGTCGGCAATTTCTGTATGGACATAGCAATAACTAAAGCCAAGCAATCTGGAGTAGGATGGGTTGTGGCCAGAGGTTAGTACAGTATTCAATAAAAGATTGTTTTTTTTCACACTCCAGGTTTTCTGTGTGCTCTCTATTTTCCACATTACAGGTTCCAACCATTATGGTATTGCTGGTCATTATGCAATAAAAGCAAGTGACAAAGGACTTCTGGTATGGCAGTTTAATACAATTTACTCTTGTTTGAGAAAGAAAATGTTTAAAAAAATAATTTCTCGTATTTCTCAGATGAGACTATGATAAATGTAAATCATGGAAATTATACAATATTCATTTCAATTGCAAGATTTTAAATGGATTTTTCAGTAGTTGAATAGATATTAAAATAAAATGAATTCGGAAATATTTCATAAATAATAAAAGGTTTTGAGTTGAGAAAGAATTCTGGTTGTTTTGAAATTAATCACCTCTAATCATTAAAGGGGATGGCCTTTACCAACACATCACCATTAGTAGTGCCAACTCGAGCAAAAAAGGTAATACACGTACATAGAAGGGTTAAATACAGGTGTATATAAAAATTAATCTATTAATCATAATAATAGTATTGGTTGCAAAGTCCCTTTTACATATGACAGTGACAATTTTATCTAGTTCTATTTAGGGATGGTTTGGAATTTACCACCTGTGCTTCCACATACCTGTTCATTTTGTGTCAAGGATGTAAAATAATGTAAAATAATGTAGATTAGAGTTAAAAATTCCTTGTATGCCAAGGAGTGAAATTTGATTGTAAATATTTCCATTATAGCTTACTTATCTAATCATCACCAAACCAATAGTAACATTGTCAAAAATAGCCATTATCAGTATAAATTTTGACTCTGCATTTCTGCATTAATGCTTGTTTAACATCAGAACTTTTTTTATGTGTTTTTATTTGGTTATCATTATGTAATAAAGTCAATATCACCATTTTTCCCCCTCGATTTTAGCTGAATAAAGGAACCCTTTTGCTGCAAAAAAAAGGAAACAAAAAATCATTATCTGTCATTTAATGTGCCCGCAAATAGCTACATTTGCTGTATAAAAAATTAAAAGTGTTTTGTCATTTACAGCCAATTCTTGGGACCAACCCAATAAGTTTAGCTGCCCCAGGTCTTCATGGTGACAGTTTTGTTCTGGATATGGCTACCTCAACAGCTGCTTTAGGAAAGGTATATACATGATATATTGTATATGATATCTTTCTCTGATGGTTAAATATCAAGACTGCACATTTCAACTAATAATTGCTTAAGTTACTTACTGTATGTGTTCTACTGACTCTTTAAAGTTCACAGATCTTTTGAAAAGCTTGTTTTAAAACACATTGTTCTAGCTGCACAGTTGATCAATTTTACAGATAGAGATACATGAGAGAAAACAAATACCTATTCCAGACAGTTGGGGAGTAGATGCTCATGGAAAGGTGTGTACATACATTATTCCATATTAATTGATCCTCAACTTCATCCATTTAAAAGAGAAGGCAATATTTTAAGTAATATTGTAAAGTTATCTCCCCTTTTAAGATTTGGTTGAGAGGATACTTTGAATTTTGGCACCCTTGTTTTATATTCTTTAGATGACAAATAATCCAACAGAAGTGTTAAATGGTGGGGGCCAAATGCCACTGGGTGGGGCTGAAGAGACAAGTATGACATATTTGGTCATTAGTGAACTGATCAGTTGAAAAGAAATGACAAAAACTGTTCATTCAAAATTTTAAAGAAATCTCTGAAATAACATATTGTGTTAAATTTAAGGTGGATATAAAGGTTCCGGCCTCGGCTTCCTGGTGGAGATATTTTGTGGCATTTTAAGTGGATCAGCTTATGGACCAAACATCAGAAGGTGGAAAAACACCACAACAGTCGCTAATCTGGTATAATTTTACATCCCCTACCATCAAATGTATACAAACAATCAGAAATGCTTTGATAGATAAACATTTCTTTCCTAGATAAATATATTTAATCAACATTGACTCTAAATTGAAGACCAATGTGATTGATTAATTTCTAGAGGATGCTCGTCATAAGAAACCCATGGTTGTAGAGAAGTGAGACCGACTGTGGGCTTCCGATGATGGATGAAGTTTTAAATGCTCTTTTTGTTATTTTTCACAGGGTCAGTGTTTTATTGCCATAGATCCTAATTCTTTCATGCCTGGATTTGAGGACAGAATGTCTGATCTGATGGGCATATGTCGTAATCTGGAACCTGTAAGTCTTCAGCTTCAGTGAATGAAATGCTTGTAAAAGCATGTGTGTGATAAGAAATGTTTCCAATTGATCACTTTATTGTATGTCTTTTGTTGGACCTCATATGTATTGTGGATCAATATACTTGTAAATCAATATACTTGTAATGACAAGAGACACGGGGCCCAAGGGTTACAATGCTAATCAGAGTCTACTTGACCCTTCTGTTTTACATCCAAAATTTGTAAAATCCTAAGTAAAAAAGGGTATGAGATGTGATTAAGTTTTGGAAATTGTGCATGCTTATACCGTATAACGGGTAATTTTTACTGCTGTAAATTTTTACGAATTTCTGTTGAAATGGGTGATTTTATTTTTTACGCGTTAAATTTTTACGAATTGAGCATGTCCGTAAAAATTAAAATCATCAGAGGTGAAGTTCCAGATCAATGTTTTAGCGTTTTGAATGCGTTAACATACATATACATGTTTTAAATATGTCTGGACAACCCGATGTAACATAAAAACGAAATTGTTCCCGTGATAACGAGTATCTATTCCTTAAGTGATATGTTTATTCATTTAAATACCTTTATATATCACATGCCTGAATTTATTCCTTTGTCAATTAATACACATGTCTACACATCATTATTTTTGCGCAGCACGTGCCCGTGTTCATTTTAATGAAAACAAAGAGAGACAACTGAAGCCATCATGATTAGTTGACAGAATTACAGGGGACACGGATTACGATGTATTAAAATGTCAAAGTTTTTACTGGAAGCAAATAAAAAGAAGAAAGGGTCAAAGTCTTGAAAAACAGATATAATTTGAAGACTTCAGTTTGTAATAATTAAGTCATTATCAGAAATTATGCGTGCCATAAGAGAACCAGGTAATTGACGGTGTTTGTATAATTTGTGCATTAATTAAGATTTACTTGTTTGATCTTAATCGATAATCAATTAAAAAGTTCCCCAAAATACCAACGGGTGTCAGTACTAATTCTATAGCCTCCAGGTACTTATAGCTAAATGACAATGATAGCATTGAAATACTCTCATAATACGATGTTCAAAATTTAGGCGAGGCGTTTTTTTACTTCTGTGAAATTTTACGCGTTTAAATTTTACGGATTTATAAAACTCGTAAAAATTAGTAAAAATTAGCAGCACGTAAAAAATACCCGTTATACGGTATTTTATGTGAAATCAAAATATCTTTTAAATTAAAACTAAGAGAATCTCTAGAAAAGTCATGATATTATAAACATAAACATGTATACACTGAATAAAATAATAAACATAAGCTGTAAATAAAATGTGCATGTAGATTGAACATTACAATATATTGTAGGCCGAAAAAGACAATGATGTTTTAGTGGCTGGTGATCCTGAGAGAATCCACATGAAGATGTGTGACGACAGAGGGGGAATTCCTTACCATCCTAATCAGATTAAATACGCGGTAAGATCCCAGAGTAGGGGGAACAATAGGGGAGGAGGAATTCCCTACCATCCTAATCAGATTAAATATGCGGTAAGATCCCAGAGTAGGGGGAACAATAGGGGAGGAGGAATTCCCTACCATCCTAATCAGATTAAATACGCGGTAAGGTGTCAGAGTAGGGTGAACAATAGGGGAGGGGGAATTCCCTACCATCCTAATCAGAATAAATACACGGTAAGATCCCAGAGTAGGGGAACAATAGGGGAGGAGGAATTCCCTGCCATCCTAATCAGATTAAATACGCGGTAAGGTGTCAGAGTAGGGAGAACAATAGGGGAGGGGGAATTCCTTACCATCCTAATCAGATTAAATACGCGGTAAGATCCCAGAGTAGGGGGAACAATAGGGGAGGGGGAATTCCCTGCCATCCTAATCAGATTAAATATGCGGTAAGGTGCCAGAGTAGGGGGTACAATAGGGGAGGGGGAATTCCTTACCATCCTAATCAGATTAAATACGCAGTAAGGTGTCAGAGTAGGGGGCACAAAAGGGGAGGGGGAATTCCTTACCATCCTAATCAGATTAAATACGCAGTAAGGAGTCAGAGTAGGGGGTACAAAAGGGGAGGGGGAATTCCTTACCATCCTAATCAGATTAAATACGCAGTAAGGTGTCAGAGTAGGGAGAACAATAGGGGAGGAGGAATTCCCTACCATCCTAATCAGATTAAATATGTGGTAAGATCCCAGAGTAGGGGGGAACAATAGGGGAGGGAGAATTCCCTACCATCATAATCAGAATAAATATGCGGTAAGGTGTCAGAGTAGGGGTAACAATAGGGGAGGGGGAATTCCTTACCATCCTAATCAGATGAAATACGCGGTAAGGTGCCAGAGTAGGGAGAACAATAGGGGAGGGGGAATTCCTTACCATCCTAATCAGATGAAATACGTGGTAAGGTGCCAGAGTAGGGGGTACAATAGGGGAGGGGGAATTTCCTACCATCCTAATCAGATTCAATACGCGGTAAGGTGTCAGAGTAGGGAGTACAATAGGGGAGGGGGAATTCCCTACATCCTAATCAGATTAAATACGCGGTAAGGTGTCAGAGTAGGGGGAACAATAGGGGAGGGGGAATTCCCTACCATCCTAATCAGATTAAATACGCAGTAAGGTGTCAGAGTAGGGGGAACAATAGGGGAGGAGGAATTCCCTACCATCCTAATCAGATTAAATACGCAGTAAGGTGTCAGAGTAGGGGGAACAATAGGGGAGGGGGAATTCCCTACCATCCTAATCAGATTGAATATGTGTTAAGCTTCCAGAATATGAGGAACAACATGATAAGGAATTCCCTACCATCCTAATCAAATTCAGTATGTGGGAAGGTTCCAGAATATGAAGAACAATGGGGTTGGGTTAGAATCAATACTGTATATGTATAGATTCAATATATGGCAAGATCCCACATTGTGAATTATAAATAGGGAAGGGAGATATCATAGTCTGATTCAGAATGCTGAATGCCCAGAGTAGAAGGTGTAATATGGGGAGGGGAATATCCATTATAATCAGTTTCAGTGTGTGGTAAGGTTCAGAATATGGGTAAGGCAGTTACATGTTATGATGTATGAGAGTGAACAAAATGCAACATCATATTTAAATTAAGATAATTGTTGCATTTATTTTCCCTATAAAGTATAGTACTGATGTGAAAGGATTCCTTATAAATTATTACTAAATTTTTCAGAGATTCTAGTAAAGTTTAAGGCATTTCCACCCTCCTGTGATGTCAGATTTTTGCAAAAATTGTTTTTATTAATCTACAGTTAATTCTCGATAAACCGCCACCTTTTGTAATTTAGAAATCATGGCGGTATAACGAATTTGGCGATGATTTGAATTTCCCATATTTTAGGAAACAAGAAGTAGAGTTACCGTTCTAAGAAATACCATAAAGCGTTTCTTTTCTTATAATTACATTACAATTTTAAAATACTTCAAGTAATTCTTATGTACAATTTCTTTAAAACAAAATGTGCAGTTATGAAATAAAGACATGTACATGTGCAGTTATGTACATGTATTTTCATGCTGGGTCGATTTATATATTGCAATTACGTAAAATAGTTTGTTGAATAAATTTATTGTTTATGGCATCATTGTTCGTGAAACGTTCACAATTTATAACGTATAATCATTTTTAAGCAAACTTTGCATTGTTTAAAGCAGAGATCATAAAAAAAATTATCGTACTACTTTCACAACTACCGCTTTCGTGGCGAAGCCGTGACTAAATGATTTTTTAAACAAAACAACAGAACAAAATCATTGTAACAGTTCATATTAAAATTATTTGTTCATTTAATTCTAATTTAATTATTTAATTGCATGTACCTTGTATGGCTTTGCTTTACAACAGGGATAGCGTCAACAAATTAGCCGCGCTTCACTGACCGCACGCACCTGTGGCGGTATATCGAGGTAATTGACACTTAAAAATGGACGTTTGTTTTTAAAACAGGGTGGCGGATGGCGGTATTATTTTTATATAGCAGGAAAAACGTTCTTGGGAAATCATGGCGGTATTGCGAAAATGGCGATGAATCGAATGGCGATAATTCGAGAATTGACTGTACATTCATACCCATTAGAAAGATATCTTTTTGATGAATGCTTTTCAATAGGTGTAATCCAAATAATTTTTAATTAAAAGAATTATAAAAATGGATATACATGTATTTTCTTTATTTAATCAATTACTAGTATTCAATCTTTAAAAAAATGTGGCCAAGGGCAATAACTCCACATGTACTCAGGTATTTTCTATATTGTACCTGTATATTATGTAAAATGCTCTCCCTGATATTCACAATACTAGTATTTTAAAAAGTAAAATTATTTTTGAACTTTAAGCATCAGAATTATGTAATTTAACCATGCATTTTTTAGCTCACCTGAGCCGAAGGCTCAAGTGAGCTTTTCTGATCAAAATTTGTCCGTCGTCTGTCGTTGTCGTAAACTTTTTACATTTTCATCTTCTTCTCAAGAACCACTGAGCCAATTTCTACCAAACTTGCCACAAAGTATCCTTAGGTGAAGGGGATTCAAGTTTGTTCAAATGAAGGGCCATGCCCTTTTCCAAGGGGAGATAATTATGAATTAGAGAAAAATTAATGGCGTTTTTTAAAAATCTTCTTCTCAAGAACCACTGGGCCAGGAAAGATGAAACTCATGTGGAATCATCCTCAGGTAGTGTAGATTCAAGTTTGTTCAAATCATGACCCCCGGGGGTAGGGTGGGGCCAAAATGGCCGATCAAAGTTTTACATAGGAATATATAGGAAAAATCTTTAAAAATCTTCTTCTCAAGAACCACTGGGCCAGGAAAGATGAAACTCATGTGGAATCATCCTCAGGTAGTGTAGATTTAAGTTTGTTCAAATCATGACCCACGGGGGTAGGGTGGGGCCAAAATGGCCGATCAAAGTTTTACATAGGACTATGTAGGAAAAATCTTTAAAAATCTTCTTCTTGAGAACCACTGGGCCAGGAAAGATGAAACTCATGTGGAATCATCCTCAGGTAGTGTAGATTCAAGTTTGTTCAAATCATGACCCCGAGGGGTAGGGTGGGGCCAAAATGACCGATCAAAGTTTTACATAGGAAAAATCTTTAAAAATCTTCCTCTTGAGAACCACTGGGCCAGAAAAGATGAAACTCTTGTTGAATCATCCTCAGGTAGTGTAGTTCAAGTTTCAAGTTTGTTCAAATCATGACCCCTGGGGGTAGGGTGGGGCCAAATGGCAGATAAAAGTTTTACATAGGACTATGTAGGAAAAATCTTTAAAAATCTTCTTGAGAACCACTGGGCCAGGAAAGATGAAACTCATGTGGAATCATCCTCAGGTAGTGTAGATTCAAGTTTGTTCAAATCATGACCCCCGGGGGTAGGGTGGGGCCAAATGGCTGATTAAAGTTTTATATAGGAATATATAGGGAATCCTTTTAAAATCTTCTTTTCAAGTACTTCAAAGCCATGCTTATAGTGATATTTATAGGGAATCATCCTCAGGTAGTGTAGAATCTAGTTTGTTCAAATCATGACCCCCTGGGGGTTAAAATTCAAGCCCCCCCCCCCCCCCTTCAGTAAACTTTCAGTTCTGATCTGATATGTGCTTTTTCCTAGCCAATTGCTCAGGTGAGCGATGTGGCCCCTGGGCCTCTTGTTTACCTTACGTTTATAATATTGTTAATTACTAAAATAAATAATTTTTAATGCAGCTGACATACACTTCTGTTTAATATTGTCTTCTTAAAAAATATGGCAACCAATGCATTTTTATTGCTGTTATTAGTTAATTTAAACTACACATGTATATTCAATGAACATAAATTTAGTTTTTCTACTTTGAACCTAAAAAATTGTGAGGATGGAATTACCTTAACCCAAGAATATTCTAGATTGATCCATATATAAAAAATTCTATTCTATATTCAAAGTCTATTCTAAAGTCTTCAAGAAATACAAAATATTATAAGTGAGAAAATTAAGCTGTAAGATTTAAAGAAATTATCAAATTACCTTAAAAAAAAAGAGATTATTTATTCTTTTTCCATTTGCAGGTTGACTTGGCAAAGACTCTGAATGTAAAGGCTATGGAAACGAAGAAATAGAATGTGATGCCTATTTTACATATAGCTAAAGCAGATTACAGAAGAAAAAGATTCTGGCCTTGATTTTAGACAAAAAACTCATTGCAAAGACCAAAATGTTATTTTGCCAAAACTTTGTAACTTTTTTAACATTGAAAATGTTTTTTAATCTTTTTAAAAAGAATCTAGCCAGATAATTTTATGCAAGCAGTTTTTTAAGTTTCTGGACTTTTGTAATACAAATCCCTTGTTCATCGATATCAGATCTATTTTAAGAGGCAAAATCACATAGCATGGGTAGGATCTCTTAAAAAGAAACCCGAATCTTGCTTTGACTCATGAAATAAAATTACTGCAGCTTTTATTAATATACATGTAATGATAAAAAGATCAAGGCTTCACTCACATTATTAATCATCTAGGCCTATCTATATACATGTATTTCTGCTTCATATCAAGACAATATTGAAGATACGTCTATAGAAAAAAATTGAAAAGAACTGCTTTTGTTGATCAGTGAGTAAGGGTAATTTTAGGAGACTGAGTAATTATGTAATGAATTATTTTCATATGCAGAAAATCCGTCTGAAAAATGAAATAACTGTATGATTGTTGCATGCGAATGATGATTGGTTGTTAATTGTTATTTGTTTCATACTCATAGTTATATAATTAGTGTGCCTAATGTATAAATATTTTCTGTTATAAAAATCAAGCGAAGTATGGATTATTTTGCTTGATAATAGTTCATTAAAATACACATTATATATTTAAATGATGTACAATAAATGCATCCATTAAAGTTTTCTCTATTTTTTTTTAGACAAAAATATTCTTTCTCTAAAATAGTCTTTATAGTAATTATATGTGGCTTGTGGCTCATGGGCCACAATGCCCACCTGAGAATGTTTGGCCCTTCTGTATGCCAGATTTACCTCTTGTAACATTATGGCCCCACCCTAACCCTGGAGGTCTTGATTTGAACAATTTAGAATCTATACTACCTCAGAAAACTTTCACATAAGTTTGAGCTTTTTAGCTGGCCTGATAGTTCTGGAGAAGATTTAAAAAGTTTTTTCCTACATATTTCAATGTAAAAATTTGATTCCTTATTGTGGGCCCACCATACTTCAAGGAATTCTGATTTGAATAATTTAAAATTTACACCATCTCAGGAAGCTTCCACACATTCACACAAGTTTTAGCTTTTCTGGTCCAGTGGTTTCAGAGAAGATACATAGTGGTTCTACATACATGTATTTATCAGTAAATGCACAATTCTGTTTTCCTATTGTGGACCAAATTTACCCCTAAGGGCCTATCATTTGAATAATTCAAAATTAACACTACCTCAGAAAGCTTCCATATAACTGTCAAGATTTTTTGACTACATGGTATTTGAAAAGATTCTTAAAGAGTATTCTTATATTTATGCCCCCTGCTTGAAAAGTGGGTGCATATACATGTATAGTGATTGGGATGTCTGTCCAACGTTATGCTTAGGGGTACCCAATCTCTTACCCGTAACTCATCTTATACCACTGAATGAAATTTAATGAGACTCTTTTTACTATAATATTGAAGGGTACCCATCTCTTATCCGCAACTTCCTTTATACCCCTGAATGAAATTTAATGATACTTTCACAGATTCTTTAAAACATAATGCCATTGTGACCTGTTATTTTACTTTTTGATCCAACACTTACAGCTGTATATAGGGTCTCCCAGTGCAAAACATGGACTTTGCCATTGTAATTGGGGGAGCCTGCAGGGGGTATCCTTTAGTGAGCTCATTGCTCACACTATAAACTTTGTTCAAGTGAAAAACCATGGTCCCTCTCAAGAACGATTTTTGTACAGTGAGAGCTTACTCCAGCTTTTGTACTGGCAAGCAAAACCTAATGCAAGAGGCATTTATAACTTCATCCTGAAATGAAGTTGACATTTCACAGCAAGCAAAAAATGTTAAATGAAGTGCCAATACATATTTAATGAGTAAATTGCACTTCATTATATACATTTCCATATGTATAAACAAATTATCAAAAACAAAGAATGTATGAACTTATTGACCACTTTTCAGATATAATAGCGACTTTAAAGCCATAACAACATATACATACACAATATCTATATTCCTTATTATAGCTATCAGCTTTTAACATTAATTGATCAAGGCATTAGCTAGAACATTTTCACATCTCCTTTTAAAGACTACACATACAGAGCCAGGTACAAATACCCTATCTGAGACAACGTCCTGCCAAAACTTCAAAGTAAGCCTACATTATGTAGGATATACAAGTAAATCCAGTCACTGATTTGCAGCATTCCATGCCTTATATTGCGTTAGGTACACCGTGCTGTTTTAAACTTAATCACTCATGTCCATGTCCACACTCTGTAAGTTCATGTCATCTGCGGGCCGAGGAAGACCAGCAGGGCGGTCATCATCGTCGTCCTCGCTGCTGTAATCCTCCTCGATCTGTTTCTCCTCTTCATCGTAATCGCGGACCACCTTCATCTCCTTTGATTTCTCCTCCCGGTCCCTGTGCTTCTTCTTTTTCTCGTCTCGGTCACGGCTTCTGTCTCTTCGTTTTTCCTTCTTGGATCTGAAATAGATTTGTCATGAGATTATTTATAATACAGTGAATTGGAAACATAATTTTTAATGATTTAAAACTGTCAAAGACATGACAGAGTTATTAATGATATAAGCATACAATCAGGATTGTTTGAGAACCATTTTTTTAAAACAGTAATTTCAATTTGTACATGACTACATGTATATGTACATGGCTTCTTTACCATACATACTACTCAAATAAACATTTAAAACGTCATCAATTCATAATAGAAAGAAACCACTATCTCTCCATGTTAAATGAAAGTGACAATATGAGTAACCAGACCATGTGACTAGATTACCTGTGACGAGATCCACTCCTGGACCTAGAGCGTCGTCTGGATCGACTCCGGCTGTGTCGGGATCGCTTGCTGGCTTTACGTCTAAAAAGTCAATTAAAGATCATATTACTCATGTACCTCAATTTCAATAAATTAAAACAGAAGCAATCAATCGGCTCAAATTCCTCTACACAAAAATGCTGCATTTACATGGACTTGAATTTATGTAACAGAATAGTGACTTCATGTTGATTTTTTAGTTTACATTGATGAAACATGATTTGTTTCTAGAAATCTTGAAAATTTCCTAACACTGTGGGGTTGAGATTATTTTCCTTTTCAAAAGTTAATTTAGATTTAGAACCTACTTTGTTATAAAGTCTTGAAAAGTGGAAGCTAAACAATGTCTAGATGATAAACTTTCTTATGAAGAATAATTTTTTTGTGATAAAGGCATCACTAGTTTGGTAGTGTAATGACTGCATGAAAACCTTACCCTTTGCTCCTGCTGCGGGACTTTCTGCGGCTACTTCTTCTGCTTGGACTTTTGGAGTAACGTTTTGGACTTCGTGATCTACGCTTAGGAGATCTGGAGCGACGTCTTGGACTCTTGGACCTTCGCCTTGGGCTCTTTGACCTTCTCCTAGGGCTTTTTGACCTACGTCTTGGACTTTTTGATCTATGTCTTGGACTCTTGGATCGCCTTCGTGGACTTCTTGATGAACGACGTGAGGGACTCCTCTTTGGACTTGCTGGCCTGGGCTTCGGACTTGCTGACCTGGGCTTTGGACTCGCCGATTCCTTGCGATTTGGGCTGTCTGATCTCTCAGGACTTCTGGATTGACTCCTCGCTTCACTGGAGGACCTGGAAATAATACTAAAGTTTATGAATATCTTACTACTACATTTTCTAGAGGAATGAGCTAAGGAAAGAGAGATAATAAAACATTCAAGCAATGTTATCAAAGCTTAGTTAGTCACTTTAAATATAGGATTAATTAATAGCCTTAAAGTATGAAGTACACAATCACATCTATCAATTTTATCTTTGTTTTCTATGAGGTTTATCTTGCAGTTTTCATCTACATATACAGCCTTTAAACATGTTAAAATCAACATTTATTCAAAAACTGAACAAGAAAAATACTGGCCTAAGAAAAGTGAAAATTACTCAACTACTAGTTAAAGATCAGAAATTAAGGTCAAAAGCAACAACATTTTATGTTGAAATTAGCATTCCTTGAAGAGGCTGGCATTTCTACAGGACAGTGATTACCTTTTCTCAGGTTTGGCTGAGTCTTCCGGGGCATCAGTGACACTATATAAATAAAGAAATCAAACTTACTGACCAAAACACAAGTGCCATGTAATACTAAGTGTTTCACTGCTTTCAGCACTCATGCTGTAATATGTAATACCAACACTTGAGGTGAAAAACAGCATAGAACATTATTGAAAGGTTAGTACTGTGGGTATTGAATACAAAAGATCACTTATTATTTTTTGAGATTTACATGTATTTCTATGCCTTTCTGCGGGAAATCAACAATTTTTAGTATTTTTCTCAACAAAAATACATGTATCTTCTGGTAAACAATACCAATTCATTTTAGCATTCAAAACATAATGGAAGTATACTTTACAGTCTTTATCATAAGGTTTGGTAACTGTAAATAATAAGTGATCTATTGTAGAAAGTATGCGTTAAAAATTTTATATACTAGATTACTAAAATAATGCACGATTATAAAAAGGACTTTTATTCTATCTACTGTATATGTTTATGCAAATCACTTCAAAAAATCAAGCAAAAATTGTTCTGAATACTAGTACAAACATATGTTGTAAAAAACAGAAAGGCTGACTTTTATTTTAAATATTAATATTCATTTTCTATAAATATACATTTATGGAAAACTGAAAAAATAAATTTAACAGTTATATTAAGACATGCCATGTTTGAAAAACAGTATAGATCATAAAACTAAGAAGTTATACAAACCAAGTATAACACAATAGGAATTTTAATTTAAGATAATTAAAATTTAAGTGTCAATACATTAAAATGTTTTAATAAAAACACTATTTATATTTTATTTGTTCAAACAAAAGGAACTTTAGTGCCTTACTTAATTAACAATGGTATATTTCATTCAAATCTATTGGTAATGTAGCTAAAAATTTCAAATGAGCTTTTGATATAGTGCAACTTTGTGCTTTATGAAAAACTTTCTACAAATAAAGTTTCCTTTGAATATACAGCTGAAAATGATGTCAATGGTTTTATTCTTAATAAATGTACAAGATTTGTAAATTAGTCTCATTAAATATATGCATAAATATCTACTTTTAAAATGCATTTCAAAGTATTCTGAATTAAAAAGACTAGATACAATTTATACTGCAAAGGGAGATAAATATTTTATACAAAACCTGTGAACCATTTAAAATTTTAATTTTCGTAAAAAATAAATTGAACTTTCGTTGGGCACAAAGTGGTCATAATTATTACAACACATTAACAGGTAAACCTCCCATCAGACCATGTGGTTTTATTTCTACAAGAGTTTACAATGTTTTACAGTTATCAATTAACTTGTTCATATTTATTTAGACTTTTAGTACTCGATTCCGAGTAATATTAAAAATTGACCGATTTGACATCCCTAGTGCAAATCGATCACACTCGTGTACACAGTTTTTGTAAACAGGGCAACAGCTCTGTTATTGTTGATTGTTTACGATTCGCTGGGTGCGTTCAATCGTCAAAGTCTGCTCACCACAACTGCACGGACTGAGAATATATTGTGTGTTTGTTTTGCTTTCAAACATGTCTACTCTGATTTTTTGGATTATAGTATTAATATTTTTCATTTATACACAACAAGATTGCCACTTTTCCTAAGTTTTAAGAGTAAACTTAAAATCTGTGAAAGTGCAAGGAAGTGTCAATCAAACCCGCCAAAAAATTTGAAGTTTTAATAACTTTTAAACGAAATAAGATTTTTTATTAATTTTTGTGTGAAATGCTATTAAAATATATAAGTCGTAATATTATACAGAAAAAATTACCTTCAATTCTTTGTCCAAGTACCTTTAAAAAGACTAGATACAATTTATACTGCTAAGAGAGTCTATGAAAAGTTTCCTTTTCAAAGCTGAAGAATTCTTTCACAATTATTAAGTATTAGAATGGTTGTATCAGGCATTGAAAACAGAGGTGTAAATAAGACAGAGACACAGCAAGCTTAGCTTCCTACAGAAAGCTGTAGGCTAGGAGATCTAGCAGTAACAATTTACCTGTCTGCCCCTGCCTTCTCACAGATGGAGGGTGGACTAACAAACAAAGAACAGCCAGTTATCAAATGCCAGCAACCCAATTATGAGTTTATGCATATAATGTGCATTCTAAAAAAAATCAACATGTATAGCTACACATATTGCATGATTTTTTCCCCCTTAATAAACACATAATTTCACTTGAAGTAGTGTTTAAATTTTACAGAAGAATAACATTTTTTTCTTTCTTAAAACTTGTTTCCCAAATAAAAAAAAATGATAAAATATTTTTCAAGTTTTTGCATGATGTGGCATCTTTTAAGTTACCATGTGACTACATGTACTTGAATGAAATTGAATAAAAGCAAATCTTTTGAACTAATTGAATTTTTTTTTTCATTATTACATATTTATAGAATTTTTAGTCAATTTTGATTTAAAAATTAATAATTTGTGTAGTTAAGAAATCAGCCTTAGAGACATGAAAATCCCACCTTCTACAGCAATCAATGTCCCTGGACATTCAAACTCACTTTTTTAACATTTTTACTCAATAGCACTGATTTCACCACATTAAATTTTTTTTATACGAAGCAGCTAATACAGATACACCCCAATCTCTTAGGAAAGCAATCAAAAGCTACCTAACCCAATGAAATCATTAAGCTAACCTGTGGCAGAATGGTAGTAAAGAATCTCTTGTATATGCTATGGTATCTTAAGAGCTAATATAATTGTTAATAGTCAAGTTACACCTGACACCTGTGGGTGAGAACTCACCTGGATTCTGGGCCCATTCTCTCTGACTCCTCCCCCGCTGGGTTGGAATCCTCTCTCTCCAGTCTGGGTGGGGACAGGGACTTTGAGCGTGATTTTTTCCGTACCTCGGGAGATCGGCGTTTTGGAGTCCTGCTTCTCTTTCTGCTTCTGCAATATAAAAAGAAGAAACTAAGATTATTATAGGAAAGAACAAAAACTTAAAATTATTTTAGCAAAGCTGGAATCCCTTTACAAAAGACAATGTTTTAGCTATTTGCTGCTTACTTTCGATCCAAATGAAGTTTCTGGTTGCTAGTCAAAATGATTGAAGACAGGTCAAACATTTTCCATGGAAGTTCCATTCAAAGATAGTTAAACCATTCATTACATATTACAATTAACCAAAACCTTTTCTTTATTACATCCAATTTTCATGTACTAGATTTAAAAATTCATATACAGGGACATATGAGGATAGATTCATGTGTTTACATCCCTTGAAAAAAGACATACACTTTAAATCATTATTTAACTGAAATTGTAAAATCATGTGAAAGGGATAACCCAAATTCCATGAAAAATTAATCCTCCTTGAAACATTATCATTCTTTGTTGTAAACACTTTTAAAGTTTCTTTTCAAGACCACAGGAATATTATTGGTCTTTGATTATGCTCTGTTAATGTACTGTATCTAACCTATTTTCTTCAATGACAAGAACAATTAAATTTTTTCCATACTTTATCTAAAAGACTGAGAGTACGATATAATTTGAAATGCCTTCCCCTTACCTAGATCGGGATCTTCTGCTATAGGCCCTGGGTGGGGTTCTGGACCTCCCCCTCCTAAAAGAAAACACAACTTTAATAAGCAATGTAAAGTTACGATGTAAACGTGCAATAAGACAAAGAAGTTGCTAAAAGGAAGAAAGCCCTTCTACAGAAGTCTGTACAAAATATGCATCATATTACTGTCAGCATCATAAAACATGATAAGCTCTGCATGCCTTGTATGGAATGTAAATGTACAGATACAGGTGATTGTGTATGATGTAAACTTTGTCAAACGAAAGCAGCTGTTGAACTTTCCTATTAAATCATCAAACCCAATACTGGTCATGCTTTTGTCTTAGAATATGATGCTTATTTCTCAGCAGTCTCAAAAGGACAACATTTAAATCCTAGGCCAACAAATATCCCTTATTTGTAAATTCCAACTTTTTTTGGGTAAACAGGATCTTATATAGACAATCAGAAAATACATTGGGCCATCTTTTAAAAAAATTTTTGTTTGGAATTGCCGCCTGAAGGGTTTCAGACACAGGAGGGAGGGAGGGAAATTATTATTTTTTTTTTTTTCAAAATTGAAGATAAATTTTAAATTTTTGATAAAAATCTCAGTTAACAGTAAATACATTTTCTGACTTAAAGAAAAGTATCTACCATCAACAAAGAAACCTAATTTTGCATAGATCTGACACTATATTTCAGTGTTTTGTGTGGTGCATGTGATAAAAAAAAATTGATTAAATAAAAAAAAATCTTCCTACTTTTGGTCAATAAAATTTTTCAGTAGGGGGGCATTTCAATGAGGCGGGAGGCAATTCCAAACAAACAATAATTTCATTTTGGCCTTGGTGCTAATTTTTAAGTATACATAAAGACTGTTTTTATAACTCAACAAAATCATCCTGTTTAATTCAAAAAATAATTAACATAATTTAGGTGGGAAAGTAAAAGTATGGACAAAAACCCAACATGTTGCAGATTAAAAAGGGATATTTGTTGTTTATTCATTCCCTTAATTTACCTGATAGGAAAGATGGTTTGGCCCTTCAGCGGCCCCCTTCAAGTGGAAACAAACCAAACATTAGATCAGTGATATATTTATCCCCAGGTAAGAGGTTTCAGGGAAATATGTGTATCAAGTTGTTCAACACCATTATAATTTCAAAGCCAAAAAAATGCAGTGCCAATTATGAAATCTAATGTTGTTTACCATTATAACTCATACATCGAAAGTCATACAAATAATTTTAATACGATTTAACTTAAAATGTAATAGCAAAAATATTTTAAAGATTTAATTTGAAATGAAAATGCTAAAAAAAAAAAGCCTGGCATTTGTGATAACTTTTTACCTTTTGGGGAAGCCATTTGCCCCTTCCTTTGGGCTTCTGATTTGAAATATAAAGATGAAAAAATGTCAAATATAAATGATGATGTGTTAAATACACCTAACACAGGGTAAAAACGGTTATTTTGAATTAAATTGAGCTTTCCAATGAAGGGATTTTTGATTTACCTATGACCAACAAAAGATAAATTGTACATTGTAAATGCAATAACAAAAAGTTCTGTATGAAATAGTAAACTTATAGTCAGCAAGGGTCCTGCTGTGGTATCAATATGAGAGTGGGCTACAAAATGTGAAAAAACAATAATGAAAAGGTAGCAATATTTATACAAGAAAGGGAATTTCCAAGTAATGTAAAATAAAACAATTACAACTTATTTTATCTTAACTAACAAATCAATAAAATTTGTACACCAGTCACACTACGGCAGGCACTAAAAGCCAGCATTCAGTGAATACAAACATTATGGTTTTCGTAAGAATGAACTCCATATTAAGGATACATTGTAATTTTTTAAGCAAGCACGATAAATAACAGCACAGATATTCCATAAACAGTTCAGATATTCCATAAACGGATATACAAAGTGATTACAATGGAACAGCTGCAAACTCTAAAGGATCTTAATAACCCTTACTTTCTTCATCAACTTTTTGACATTAAAACAGAAATTTTCTTCATGAAAATATTAAATGAAAAGCACATATGAAATTGAGGCATGTGTATTAAAATTCATAGCGTAACAAGCAATGTGGAAACCAAGATACAGTGTGTCAAATTTGGAAGCCAGACAGTTCTTGGTTTTCAAGTCTAAGAAAATAAAAAAAAATACTACAAGTTTTACAATCATAGATTTACATAAAAAAAAATCTGAAACAGTTGTTAGAACATACATGTAGTACTGCAAATGTCGAGTTTTGGGCAGAATCTTTTAAGCTGAACAACAATTCTACCGCGGTGTTACATTCTATAATTACCTCAAACCAGTTAAGGTCTTCCTGCCAACTTTCTGATCACTTTATAGTAAATAAAGAGACAGTATTTCAAAACATTTTACATACCATACACATTACAACAGTCATTTACTTTGATAGTTTTGACCCTTTTCTGACCAACATTTAAATACATGTCCATTTGGAAGAAAAAAAAAAATTAAGATCCCCTTTTTGTGTCATTTTGCACCCCCTTCTAACTAAACCAAGAAGCTATATTTTTAACTTTTTATCATAGCCTCATCATGAAACCTGCTATTATTCATGTCTCGCTTAGAAAACACACTTAGAGAATTTAAACATCACAACTTTTACAGGAATAAAACAATTTTATAAATGGCACTTTTTAATCAAGAAAATAATTCTGAAGTATCTACCTGGATCTCGAGGGTGAACGACGGCTTCGTGTTCGGGATCTTGAACGAGACTTTCTCGATCTGGATGATCTAGGTGACCTGAAATACAGGCATTGCTTTACAAAAAGATTAAAATGAAGTCTGTTCATTATTTAAACAAATAAATTTTAATGTGAACTATTGAACACAGTTTAATCCATTTTCTGGTTAAGTATCAACATATGTAAGTGGGATTCTCACCTAGATCTTCGTCTTCTGGATCTTGAGGTTGACCTTCTGCGGGACCTTGACCTTCTCCTTGATCTTGACCTTCTTGACCTGGACCCTTTTCTTGACCTTGACCTTTTTCTTGATCTGGACCTCTTTCTTGATCGACTTCTCTTCCTTGACCTAGATCGGGACCTTCTTCTATTTTTAGAGCGAGACCTTGAACGACTTCTATCATCTAAAATATAAAATCAAAGACAAGAATATTATTTTGGACATTTTACTGTAAAATAAAGATAGATTGAATATATATCTTTTCACATTTTTATAAACAATTAAAATATAGACTTCAAATAAAAAGCACAAAAAATTTCAATCCACTGTCAAGATTCACACAGATTAACCGCATTATGGGTTTGCTACACTACCTCTTTGTCTGTTTATGCATTAACTACTAATTAGAGATAGAGACTTCATATTTGGTATGCATACTGCGTTTGCTGGTTGTGAAAAAAAATTTTTCCCCATAGGAGAGATATTTCCTATATTCCTGTGTATAATTTTAGTCCCTCTTTGTGGTACCACCTCCCCTGGGAGACATTAGTTGAACAAACTTGAATGTACATAAATTTCATTTTTTTTCCCAGTTCAGTGGTTTCCATGCTAATAATTTTTGAAAAATGTCATACAATTTACCCTAATTCTGAATTACTTCCCCTTGAATTAGGATGAGGCATTTCATGTCACTAAAGGATGCTATGTAGCAAATTTGGTTGAAATAAGCCCAGTGAATTTTGGAGAAGATGAAATTGTTAAAAGTTGATAGGATGCCAATTACAACAACAAAGCCAATAACAGAGACTGGAAAAAATTGATCAGAAAATCTCACTTAAACCACAGGCTCCAGTGTGTTAAAAGTGTGTTTTATTTGTAGAGATTAAATACCCTGTTTTTAGTTCAGAAGTGTCAGTGTAAAAAACATTCTTACGTGGTTCATCCACAGCAGCTGTGATAAGAGACTGGGCCTCCTTGACTTTTTTCATGGCCTCCTCTATCTCTCTCTGAGCTGCCTCCTGTGTCTTTGATATTGGCTTAATGATGCATGCTGTGGCATGGGTAACACTAAAACAAGAAATCCAGAAAATAAAATCAAAGCAAGAAACAAAAGCAATCACATAAAATCTGTCCCTTCTTACTTAATATTTCGTCTAGACATAGCTGTGTATATTGACTATTGAAATTTAAAAAAAAAGAAAATTGTTTTTTTTTTCAATTTAATTTGTGTTAATCCTATTTCTGCCACAAACTCCGTTACCTAATTGGCAAGCCCTGGAACATAACTCCATTATAAGTCAGAGCAGTTGAGATGGAGCGTTGGTCCGTAAATTCAACCAGAGCATTTCTTGTGGGTTGTGTCTCACCCCCTGCCATTCTAACATACTTTACCTCCCCGACCTGAGAGAAAAAGCTCAGCAACTGTTCTGTTGTCACCTGTTATAAATATAAACCATTATTATAATCAACTATACTTATGCATTGTAAAAACACATCTCACAACAGCTGCACGATTGAAAATTCACAGAAAAATCTATATGCTACTAAGACTAACATTTTTGGCCAGGTTCCCCACGTAGACGGTTCGTCTGATTTCCTCAATCTTGGCTGGGTCAGTGTTCCCTGGCAATGGGGGATACTGAGCAAGACCCAGGGCAGTCAGTTTGGGGTCATGGGTCGTAATCATCTGGGTCAGGCCAGTTCCCGTCATCTGTAATATACAGATTCAAAATAATGAAACTTATAAAACAAGATTAAACTCACTCTTGTTCTTTATTCCTTAAAATTAAAAAGCATCAGATACATGTAGCACCTGTAAAAAAAATAATTCCATCTATGATCATTTATAAGACATATTTTGCTTCATGTATATAACTCATAGCATACCTGACTGATAACATTGCTAGGCCAGCTAGGTGTCCCAGGAATCATGCCTGCAATAGCTGAGGGTGCAATCTGCAAGGCTGTAGTTTCATCTGGAATCTTACCTGTAAAATGTATGTTCTTTTGTATTGAAATTTATCAGTTTCACTTGGAGTTAAAAAAAAAAATCATGTTACAGCATTCCTGGTTATTTTTTTCCACTTACAATTGTTTCTTTTTAATTCTGGTTCAATAAATGAAATATCTGTAGTTTAACTTTACTCCAGTATGTATTTCAAAATAAACAATTTTCAATACATCCTGTATTTTACTTCATTTCTTTTCTTGTATCGGTCAAAGCAAGCAAAAATGAAAAAAATAAAGTTAATCCGTCAATTTTCTTCTTAAAGATTTAAGATTTTGAAATGTACTCACCATCCATAACTGGGACAATGATCAAGGCTCGGTCAATGAAAACAGTATTAGTTAAATGAAGAGCGATTCCACTGCTTACGGAGTCATCATACTTCACATAGCACACCTTGGTAGAGGTATCCCCCTCTGGTAATCTAAATTTTCAAAAGAAACATAGAAATTATTCATTTGTCAATATCATATTATAAGTAGGGGTGGAACGATATACCGATACATACCGATATTTTCCTCTAAGATACGGTTTATGATACAAGCATTCAAATATCGGTACAAAACGATACACAAACGACCTATCCAAAAATTGAAAATACCTGTCCTTGGAAAATGGCGGTTTGTTCGAAGCGAAGAGATGATGTTGATATTGAAAACACACTGTAGACATTAATAAGTCGTTGATAAGGGGTAAATCATTTTCACTTTAAGCAGCCTCGGATGACTGGATAAGAACAGTTCAATATGTTAAGAGTGCTATACACAGAAAGTATCATTTCCCGAACATTTGATTTGTAAGTCCATCTCGTACTTATTTTTGTAATCTCAACTTGGCTACAGACTTTCAGCAATTAATAATAATGTAAATGTGATGTTTTTAAAATGAATTTTTTTTCAGTGTTCTTTGATGAACTACACAACTATTTGAAAAGAATGTAACATAAGACGAATGTAGACTGGCAATTCATCTTAAGATATTACATTGCAAGTTTACGCGAATAACTGTGGTACGACAGAGGAAATGGCAAGTAAACATCGTACATCTAAAGAAATTTCACTCACACATGCCCTAATTTGAGAATTTTCACAAGTCCGCTGGCAAATTTACCAGGTCCAAGGCATCAGGCTCCCGGGTTAATTCGAAGACTGGGGTCATCCCTTAGACCCAGGAATGGGGGAATATTCCCTCCTATGACACAATGTACTGTTTTTTTTTTTCAGGTATTCCCACTCAGCCCCCTGTTAAGGGAGCACCCCCCTCTATTTTTGATTTTAATTCACTTCTAAAGGACAACACTGGTGCATACATTTCTATTGTACCGTATAATCCCTATTAACCGCCCCTGCCCCTATAAGTGCCCCCTTGGGTCTTTCTCAATTGTCAGGAAATAAGGGCCCCCTGTACAGTGATTATATTATCTAGAATCGTATAAGAAGTCTGCCAAAATTTGTGGGAAGTGAAAATGAAACTTGTTTATTATCCAATCTCTTCGTGGAAAATGATTCATTTAGCATAATTTGGTTGGATTATCTTCATTTAAAGTAAACTTAGACATTAATTTACACTAACAGATTCTCTGAATTTCTTTTTTTCTTCAAAATATTATTTTGAAGTTAAGATATGATATTAAATATTACAAAGAGAATACCAAAATAACCACCCCCTTTTTGCAATTTTTTAAGTGCCCAGAGCAGTTAATAGGGATTATATGGTACCATATAATCCCTATTAACCGCCCCTATCCCTATAAGTACCCCCTTAGGTCTTTATTAATTGTCAGGAAATAAGGGCCCCCTGCACAGTGGTTAGAATTATCAAAAATCATATCAAAAGTCTACCAAAATTTGAAGGAAGTGAAAATGAACCTTGTTCATTATCCAATTTCTTGGTGGAAAATGATTCATTTAGCATAATTTGGGTGGATCATCTTCCTTTAAAGTAAATTTAGACATTATTTTGGAGATTCTTTGATTTTATTATTTTTTTTTCAAAACATTTTTTTTAAGTTAAGATATGATATTAAATATTACAAAGAGAATACCAAAATAACTGCCCCATTTTCGCAATTTTCTATGTGCCCGGGGTGGTCAATAGGGATTATACGGTACTTGTTTTTTAAAAATTAATTATCATCTCTGTTGGCCATAAACACTAGCCGATGCCCTTACCCTAGTACAGTCTTCGCGAAAAAGAAAAATCGCCACAGGACATTCGGATAGACAGTTAACACAATTTTACAGGACCAAACGAATTTTCACCGGTCCAAAACTTTTTCATATAACGATCATAATGATGTTTTTTCATAGCATATGAATCACTAAACAGATATTACATTAAAAGATTTACTGAAATGTTTCTTTTTCTTTCCTGGTAGTGTCCCATCGAAAATTTTTAGAGACATCGTGGCGGAAGTAGGTTTTAAAACAATCACAATCAACAATATGTTTTTAATAATGTATTTTTGTATTAGATTAAGCGTCTAAATGATGAATTAAAAGTATAAAATTTAAAACCCAACCAAAACGAACCTCAGACAAACGGATTTTCACCTGTTTTGTCCTACGGACCGGTGCTTTTGGGATAGACTGCTAGTATTTATTCAGTCAGGCTAGCAGAATGTAGGATTAGACTAGTAATATAAGAATTGGTACCAAATGTCACATGCTGTTTGACTAGCCCAATCTGAATTAAAACGGAGTATCTGCGCTTGCCCAAAGGGTCGCACCTTCAATGTATTAATCGTACAGCGAGCGCAGCAAGCGTCGTGAAGAGACACTCATCATTGCGAGCTCTCAAAGCAACGCCTGGGCGATAGAATTTTATAACGCAGTAATTTGGACCCACAATTAATGCATCACTTGTTTTAGCTACATTCTCGCAAGAATAACGACAAATCATGAAATCAAAAAGTTTAATCGCCTTAATTTAATGGATATATAATTCTGGTTGTAACGCTGTATTTGATTGGATAAAAAATTTCCTTTATATCGTATAAAATGGGTTGCCTACGTCACAATGACTTGCGTCAAAAATGTATCAATCCGCCTGACATTACATTCAAATTTTGTCCAAATTAAAGTCATTTTGTTAGAACAATCATCTCTTCTTCTTACATCAAATGAATGAAAATTAAATTAAAGCAATGAATTTAATAGCTACCCATTTTGTACCGTATATACTCGATTCTCATTATATCGCGGGTTTCATTGTATCGGGTATGATGGAAATCCGTATTGGGCTCATATGCTTTTTGTCCCAATGTCATCTGGATTTTTGTGATTTCACATGTATGGAACATGCGTCGTAAAAAAAATTATTCAAATAAAACGTACTGTGTTACAGAAATCCATTATTATTTTTAGCCCACTGAAGACCTTTTTCAATATAAAAAAAATATTTGTGCATATTATGAAAATATTAGTTTTAATACAATAGCAATCAACATAAAATATCGTTAAGGTAACAAGAAATTTAACTAAACTACCTACATAAACTGTTTTTAGCCGAGGAGGTAAATAAGACCATTTTTATTTACAATAACAACGCTTCGAACGAAATAATTTGATGATGAAAATACGCCTCGAGGAGACGTTTATGAAAATCGGATTTGATGAAAGGAAAATTTCAAAAAATTGATTAGCTTATCAGTAATCCACAAATTTGTCTGAAGCGGGATAATATATGGTATAAACTGGATTGGAACAGTTTACGCTTTTTTATAAACCGCTTTGCAGTTTATAAAGTGTAAACTGCCCCAACCCAGTTTATACCGTATAAAATCGGTAGCTATTAAATTCATTGCTTAATTATTGAAGATAAATAGTAAACGAACGTTCTTCATTAATTTTCAGCACTGTTCAGGCTTTTACTTGAATACTGCATACATACGACGTCATGTAACGTCAGAGACTAGACGCACCAAATGTCACGTGCGGTTTGACGAGCCCGATCTAAATTAAAACAATAGAAGGGTTTGTGCTCGATCTAACGGTCGCACCCTCAAAATATTAACTTGAACGCACAATTTACATAAGATTATCTAATTTCTATGTAAAAACTCACAAAAAAAGATCTTTAACTTACTCGTTCGATGGATACATTTTACATTCATCAATGCGCCCCAAATATCCAAATAACGTCTTCATCTGGTCCTTGGTGGCATTTGGTGCGATGTTGGTGATTTGAATCACCCTTGTTGTTATTTTTTCAGACATTGTTTTGGCTAGAATCTAGCTGTATTACAAAGAACCCAACTTCAAAACGTGAGTAAAACGAGCAAGATGGCGTCCGCAGATTCATAAAAAATAGTAACTCGTACATTTATGATTCGACCTTTATGAACCTTTACAATATATAGATGTCATCAATTGACTTTAAAAGGTAGATCTTTTAAAATTACATTCAAAGAAATGAACATATATGAATACATACAACAAATTAATTAGAGACTATTTTAGAGACTATTTTTAAATACTTTAATGAACCTTAGATCACACTGAGATGCATAAAATGAAAATTGTTGCATAAAATATATGGAACAATACAAAGTAGGAGCACTCCGAGCAGAGCAAACACGACCTCTAAACATCAGAGATGGGATAAGGTGCCATGGAGGAGTGAGCATGCCTTATCGACCGGTCACACCCGCCGTGTGCTCCCTGTCATGATCGGGAAATAACGGGGAAACATCCGTCGTTTAAATGGACTAACATTTGGTAGGCCAGTCAGTATTTGACTCAGTGATAAATTGTATTTGCTGACAAGGTCATTGTAATGACCATAGAACTCACGAAACGACGACTTTAAACGAGACTGCCTATATTCTTGTTTCATCAACTTGTTTGTCAATAATTTGCCTCGTTCTAGAAATTGTGCATTCGTAGAGCATGCATTTGCTTATCGAATCAGCTGAGAGATATAAACTCCGTCTGCGGATGGTGAATTTAAGGTACATGTTTATTGCAGCATAATTAGGGGAAGTTGAAGATTGAAATTGAAGTCATCATGATTATCACAGAGTTTGGTTGTAAGATTACCTTTAAAGTCTTTTTCAGGTTAAATATCCAAATATGAAAGAGATGTGTCAGACTCTGTGGTATCTTTTATCCCAAGCTCACTGGGACATACCGAATCGACAAAGGAATGGTATTATTAATCGACAATATATCGAAGTGTCGAGTTCAAGACCACAACAAGTCTTTCCTTCAATTCACGCATACGATTTTGGACAAATTTTGCTTCATTCGAATACAAAAATAGGTTTGCTAATAACGGGGCGCAATTGGTACCCATGGGTATTCCAATATATTGTTGGAAAACCTGTCTCCAAAAACCACATAGATATTATCAAACAGAAACTCAAGCATCTTATTTATGTCAACTCCAGAGTACTTGTGTGTACAATTAAAATGTTTTTAAACAGAATAATTTTGCGAATGATCAATGACAGGATAAGTAAATTTACAAGTTCCATCTTTATTGAAAAAATCAGCTGTCAATGATATTAAAAAGCCCGGATTTTAATGTATCCTGGGGAATGGTTGTGTAAAATCGTTAAGTTTTAAGCTGTTGATTTTGGTAAAGTCTTGTGATTTCAAATTGTCCAAAAGTTCCTTGGAATTTTAAGCATCTACATCTAATTTACACCACATCATCGAATACCAGGTTTATTGTTGCACAGTACTCTTGAAGTTTTTCCTTCACTACTGTTAATATATCAGTGAGGAGTAAAGAAAGAGGCTTGGTGGAACATTTACTTGAACCCCCTATGTACATGCGTTTTTGTATAAGATTTCAATTTCAAATTTCATTTTGAGACTTTTCAAATAAAATAATAAATTTATTATAAATATATTATAATATAACTGTTATTCTTCCTGACTGAGGATCAGATATCCTTAAGCTAGAACAGCTACACAAAACTTAGCCAAACCTAATAATTCATACCCTAGGAAATCAGACGTATTCATTTCATGAAGTATTTACATCCAATGAATATTTTTCTCCTTTATTTCTTACGAAGACCATTGCCATTAATCCTTGCGACATTAAGCAAGCCACGTGAATAAATTTCTCAAAAGCTGTTCCATTAGTTATGCATACAATGACATATATGTGCATAATACAATATTTGACATTCTTAATTTCTTGAATGTTTTTTCATACAAATGTAATAAAATAATACAATAAAATATCGTTCTTTGTTTGTTAGTACGGGGGATTAACGTCACAGCTTTTGCAGAAAAAATTACATATCTATCACATATAACAATTTTTTTCAGCGACAGCTGCGACATGAATTCCCAGAGTAACAACCAAATAGAACAATTTATCATATAAGAATATTGTGTTTGGGTTCATAATATAAATATACTTCTAAATACGTGTACTGTTAAATATGGTACCGTTAAATATACAATGTCACGTTCTGCAATAAATTTCTTCTCTATTTTATTCATAAAATAAATGAAGAATGAAACTATTCACCAATTTCATTTTTTTTTTTGAATGCTTAAAAATTCTAAGGAACTTTTGGAAAGTTTCAAATCACAAAAGTTTACCAAACTCAACGATTTCCCATGATAAATTATATTAAAGTACGGAATTTTTTAAATCATCGACAGCTGCTTTTTTAATAAAAACGTAACTCGAAAATTTACGTACCGTGTGATTGTTCATTTGCAAAATTGTTTTGTAAATAACATTCTGATTGTAAATACAAGGACTCTGAAGTTGATCATAAAAAGACGCTTGAATACCATCGTCTCAAGCCACGGTCCGGAATCCGCATATATAGCTCTCTGAGAGGAGCGTACATTTTGGCCGTGGTTTGCGACGATGCTTGAATACCAGAACGAGGCAAATTATTGAGAAACATTTTGATGAAACAAGAATATAGGCAGTCTCGTTTAAAGTCGTCGTTTCGTGAGTTCTATGGTCGATACAACGACCTTGTCAGCAAATAAAATTTTTCATTGAGTTAAATGCTGACTGGCGCTTTTTATGCTAATTGTTAGTCCATTATTTATACACTGAATTGACGAAGGATTTTTCCATTATTTCCTGATCATGACAAGGAGCACACGGCGGATGTGACCAGTCGGCATGGGATGCTCACTCCTCCATGGCACCTGATCCCACCTCTGATGTTTCGGAGGTCCGTATTTTCTCTGCTCCTATTTTGTATTGTTTGTATGGACTTTTAAACTTGAATACTGTTCGTTATCACCATACGTTTCATTGAGTTTTTGTTTGATAATATCTAAGTGGTTTTTGGAGACAGGTCTTCCAACAATCTAATGAAATACTCATGGGTACCATTTGCGCCCTGTTGTTAGCAGACCTATTTTTGTATTCATTTGAAGCAGAATTTGTTCAAAATCTTACGTCTTACATGTACGTGAAAAGAAGAAAACACTCGGTAAGGCCTTCAACTTGACATTTTATATATCAACGACGTACATGTATTGTCAAAAAAACAATGGGCTTTCCATTCCCATGTAGACAAGATATATCACAGTGAGCCCGAAATAAAAGTTACCACAGAGTCCGACACATCTACTTCATATTTGGATATTTTACCAGAAAACGACATAACGACAAAGCTTTTATATGATAAACGTTATGATTTCAACTTTTCAATTGTCAACTTCCATTAATTATGTTGTAATGTACCATTATCACCTGCATACGGAGTTTATATCTCTCAGTTGATTCGATACGCAAAAGCATGCTCTACGTATGAACAACTATTTCTCAAAATCTAAAGGTAAATTATTCACAAACAAGTTGATGACACAAGAATATCAACAATCTCGTTTAAAGTCATCATTTCGCAAATTCTATGGTCAATACAATGACCTTCAATTATTCACATATATATTCTATCATTAAGTACAAGCTAATTCAGAGAATGTGTGTCCCCCGCTTAGGGAAAAAGTAAACCATGTGCAATGCGGGGGTAGGGGGGAGGGGGGGGGGGAAGTCGGATCTCCCTGACATGTATACTGAAGCAAATAAAATATAAAGATTTGATTGCTTATTCTTGATTATGTGTAAAGAAGATTTTTTTTTATATGGAATATTTATCACACTGTAATGATGATTTTATATGAGTTTGTACAAGCTAGACCTCATAATGTTTTTCATTTCACATGCTGAATACTATCATTTAGTAAAAAAGAAGTATTTCAAAAAAAAAAGAAAGAAAACGCAGCGATCGTGATTCGAACCCCGGAACTCTCACATGTGAAGCGAGAGACATACCACTACACCATGGAATCGCTGCAAATTAATGAAAAATTAAATGAAAAGATGAAGTCGCATACATGTATATATTCATGTTCGATATTGTCAAAATTTAACACAATGCATGGTGTCTAATTTAACCTTTATTTAACAGTTCTGATAGATGTAATAAGAATATAAAGTCCTCCGAGAACCTGTTTTATAAGTAATAACTCTCCTCATGCCGCTGTGCTAAAAATAGCGACATGTAATACAATAAATACTAATAAAACAAACGGGACGGGACACTTTGAGAGGGGCGAGAAAGATCCTAGGGAGTTTTGGTATAAAATTACACTGCAAAAGCTCAAAATCCTCTTGAAATATCGCCCGGAAAGGATAGAGTTACACACAGACAGAATGTATAAATCTACGACCTTGAACTTTGACCTTTTGACCTCAAAATAAATAGGGGTCTTTCTTAGGCCACAGGGAGTTGTTATGTAAAATTTCATTGCAAAAGCTCAAAGGGTTCTCGAGATATCGCGCGGAAACGAAAGTGTTATTACAGACAGAATTTGCGAATTTATGACCTTGACATTTGACCTTTTGATCTCAAAATCAATAGGGTTTTTCTTTAGTTCATAGGGAGTTGCTATGCAAACTTTCATTGCGAAAGCTCAAAGGGTTCTCGAGATATCTTGTGGAAACGAAAGCGTTACAGACAGACAGAATGACAGACGGACGGACAGACCCAAATTAATATCCCCCACTTTCCAAGCGGGGGGCAAAAATGACACGGGAGACGTTTTTCATACTGGGCTATTATTTACACACTGGATTGTCTTCGAATTATTTTCCCTTATTTCCCATTCATGACAAGGAGCACACGCCGGGTGTGACCGTTCGGCAGGGGATGCAAACTCCTCCAATGCACCTTATCCCATCTCTGGTGTTTTATTGGCCCTTGTTTGCTCTGCTTCTGATTTGTTTGAATGGACTTTTGAGCTTTAAAAAAGCCAAGAATTGCACGATAGTGTTTTAG